TTAAACTAAATAGTTGCACCTTTTGGTTTAAGGTTCGTTTGACCAGAAAGTGAACTGTGGCTTTACACGTGAAATTATGCTGGGGTTTTTAAAAATAATATGTATGTTTTGTAAATTTAGACTATTTTGAACAAGTTTCAAATTAGTTAAAAGTCAATGGAGTTCATACTGGAAATTCTCATATTATATGTTAATTAATTATATAGCTAATTAATATTCAAACCATCATTAATGAGGAATTATTGATTATATACACAATATGGTTTTTGTTGAAAAATATATTAAATTGTGATTTTTTTTTTATAAGCTTCCAATGAGTCCAAACTGTGTACAGTTTTTAAGGCATTAGGAGGGTTAGTAATGTTTAGATATTTGTACTGGAAAACAAGACATATACACAGGAAGAACATCTTTTTACAGTGAGAAATATAAAACGACTAATTTCCATAAAAATATCATTCTTAACTAAAACAACATGCACATGTTAAACATAACTTTCCTGTCGTTTCCAGACTAAGAATGCTTGGAAGTTTCCCGGCGGTTTATCAGATCTTGGAGAAAACATCGGTAAGATTCAGATCCAGAACTCATAATCATAATATCATATATTCCAATAATACATCCAAAAGTGCATTTATAAGATCATCTTCTACGATTTGAAACCCTCAACACATTCAGTTACAAAAATACCCTTCTTTACCACACAAATGACTTGTATATAAACTGCTTATTGATTACATTTTTACATAAATCACAATGCTATCTCTGAAAAATAAATGTTTCGTATAAACAGTTACATTGTGTTCACATGCTGAACAAGACAAACTTTCTCATCCTACTGTATGTTTCTCCAAATCTCATGATACAGTAAACTACGTTTTTACAGTGTTAATAACTGTAATATTAAATGTGAATTTATTCCAAGAAAGTTTCTAAAACGGTTTTAATCAGCAGCTCAGATGCTACTTACTTGTACATCTACACTGTAAAAAAAAATTAAGTTGTGACTAAACAATATTATTGGAGTATATTTTACAAAAAAATACTATTTAGTGTTTATACTACAAAATTAGATGTGTTGCTTGCAGATTCTTTGTGATTATTTAAATTTTCTAGCGATTTCTGAGTGAAAATTGTTTCTACACCAAAATTATTTTTTAACGGCTTAATATGATCACTTAGCATGTGTGTCTTGTTTTCCATATCGAAACCTTCTTAAATCAAGATTTACTGGAGAAGCAAAATGACTGAAGATATTAAGTCTTGTTTTATGAATAAATCATTCAAATAAAGCGAGTTTGAAAAAAATCAAAGGGAACAATTTCTGACTCCATTGGCAGATATTTAAAGCAAAAACTTGCTTAATTTTGATACATTATTAATTTATTATTACCTTTATTTGTTATAATTTTAATGATTATGGATTACAGTTTATGAAAACCCCCAAAGTCAAAATTAGAATATTGTGAAAGGTACGAAAGGTTTGTTGTTTGATCCATAATCATCAAAATTATAACAAATAAAGGCTTGAAATATCTCACTTTGCATGTAAATGATTCTATATAATATATTAGTTTCACCTTTTAAGTTGAATTACTGAACTTTTGCACGATATTCTAACTTTCAGTTTCACTTGTAATCTTAATTCAAAGTCAAAATTAGATGTTTTTTTTTTTTTTTACTCCATTGGCAGATATTTAAAGCAAAAACTTGCTTAATTTTGATACATTATTAATTTATTATTACCTTTCTTTGTTATAATTTTGATGATTATGGATTACAGTTTATGAAAACTCCAGTCAAAATTAGAATATTGTGAAAAGGTTTGTTGTTTGATCCATAATCATCAAAATTATAACAAATAAAGGCTTGAAATATCTCACTTTGCATACAATGAGTCTATATAATATATTAGTTTCACCTTTTAAGTTGAATTACTGAACTTTTGCACGATATTCTAACTTTAAGTTTCACTTGTAATCTTAATTCAAAGTCAAAATTAGATGTTTTTTAACTCCATTGGCAGATATTTAAAGCAAAAACTCACTTAATTGCTACATTTTTAATAAAACCAGGCTAAATAGTCCTCAGTGATTTTAGGTCTCCAGTAAATGTATCTTGCTTTAAGAATGTTTAATCTTTGTGCTGTAAAACGCGAGTATTTTCTCAGTTTTGACGCTTTGTTCCAGGGGAGACGGCCGTTCGAGAGGTTTTCGAAGAAACCGGGATCCGATCTGAATTCCGATCTCTCCTCAGTATTCGTCAGCAGCACAATCACCCGGGAGCGTTCGGGATGTCCGACATGTACCTGATCTGCAGACTCAGCCCGCTCTCGTACGACATCGACTTCTGCACGCAGGAGTGTGTGCGCTGCGAGTGGCTGGACCTGCGCGAGCTCGCCGAGACCAGCGAGACCACGCCGATCACCAGTCGCGTCGCCAAACTCCTGCTGTACGGACTGGGAAACGGCTTCCACAACATCGACCTCACGATGGAGACGCTGCCGGCGGTTTACTCCGGCTTGTTTTATCAGCTTTATCTCAGAGACACCACACACTCCTCACAATAAACATCCCAACTCGAACTGGAAACGCCTTTACATACGTCTATATGGAACAATTTTAACGCTTAATGCTAAAGGAGAAATGTTTTAAAGTCCCCCTGTGGTGTAAATCCAGCTTTTAATGTTGTTTATGTGTCTTTTTAATACGCTTAAACCGTGTGTAAGTTCATAAGTGGATTCATTTCCTCCTTAAAACTGCAGTGAGCCAAAGACAGTCTCAAAAACACGGAGGCGGGGCTCATTTGCATATTCATAGAACCAGACATACTAAATGAGGCGAGAGTGTCGAGTTACATTCAAGCTAAACGAAAAAAGCGTTTAAATACGTAATTCTGGTTCATCTAAGATGAGTTTTAAGTGATCAAATGATTGACTACAGGGGGACTTTAACTGATTGCATGATACTTTCATGTTTAGTCAATTTTCTAAAGTATGTTTAAGTCATACTTTTTCATTTCAATTAGAAATGAATTAAAACAAATGGTCTCTAATGGAAACGGTTCTACACATGAAGTGCCTGACGGAGCCTTTTAAGGTCAATATAGTTAGAGTGATATTTTGCTCAAGAGAGTGAATCTTATAAAGACTTTATCTTCAAAATACACACTGTAAGCCGGGTTCACACTGTACGATTTATTAATAGATCAATCGTTAAACAGCAGATCTGTGTTCTGATCCAGAGATCATTTCTCTTACCATAATTCAAGTGATCTCAGAATTACTGGATAAAAGGTTATAGCTGGGATATAAACACTGAATTATTCATTCAAAAATTCTTTCAAAAACACCGAAAAACTCACGACCAATTCGTACGAATTCGACAAATGATTAAAAAGTGTCTAATTCGTACGACCTCACTCGTACCAATTTGTACGATTTGTCTAAACCCACGTGATGGTTAGGTTTAGGGGTGGGGTAAGGGGTCGGTCATTCGTACGAATTCATACGAATTGGCCAATTCGTAAAATATGTACGATTTAGCAAAATCGTACGAATTAGCCACTTTTTAATCATTCGTACGACTTGGTCTTGAGATGGGGTTGATGTGTGTGACGCAAGTGGTGGTTTGTTGTCAGGTTCAGCGCTCCTGGATTTTGATTCGATGGTTGTCTTTGAAAAAATTTGATTTTTTGGGACGGTCAAATCGTGCAGTGTAAACCTGGCTTTATGGAAAACTAGTTTTGAAGAGTGTACACTTTTAAACCTCATTTACCTCAAAGAAAAGATCAACGTTACTGTAACTCTTACTGTTACTCGCAGCAACAATCAACACTTGTGTAACTAAACTCAAGAGAAGCTTATTTTCTCTGACAATATGATATATGAAAAAAGAATAAAGTTGTACGACAAACATTCACTGTGCACTTCCCTTCATCAAAGCAGAACTTTGTCTTTGCAAAACCCTTTTTTCCCTCTAAAATACAGTATAGATTAGAAATATATTTTGTGTTAAGAGAAACCTCTACGGAGCAGCATTAAATAAACTCACATTTTGTGGCCGTACTGACATTCCTGCGAGAAGATGCAGACAAAACCCCACGGAAATGCAGATCGCGAACTCTTCCAGCCAAACCATCTGCAGTTGAACCGTGATGTGCGGAAAGTTGGATCTGAGATCGTCTCGTGGGATTTGGACGAGAGAGAGGATATCGCTGAGAGACAGTCAAACCCAAATGTATTCAGACACCTTCAACATTTCTCACATTATCACAGTTCATTCACTATAGTTTAGAAAATAATAAAATAAGACAAGACTCTTTGGTTTTGTCCATCCTTCTGTTAGACTCTCACACATGAATTATGTTGAATATCTGTCAGCTGTTAAATTTAACTACACAATTATTAGATAATACCAGTTTAGCTCAACCAGTGACCAAGCAATGCTTCAGGTTGTTCAGTGTGTGTGTGTAAAAAGAGCATTAGCAATTTACACACTTCAGCAAAACATCATCACACCGTGTCGTAACTACACGCGACGCCGCGACACGCGATAAAAGGTAACGTTAACGTTATCTTTTCCAGACGCGACGGCGACACGTGAAGTTTCTAATTTAGAAACGGTTACTAGCCTATTTCTCCGACGTCGCGGAGAAATCACACTGGTTATGCGTACACCTTGTTTATTTTTTTTTAGTTAAAAATAGATTCGCTGTGCCACAAGCGATTCGGATCATTTACCTCAGATTTTGAAAGCATACAATATAGCGCTCAAAATGAATTCTATGCAAACATACACCTGTACTTCATAACAGAATTAGTCAATGAGTATATTTTGCTAATGTTTTGATTTTTAATAATGTTATTTCTTGATTTATTTTGATTATGTCCTTACCCATTTGTTGTCCGAGTGTTGAGCGCGCGTTCACAGAGAGACTCCGCCCATACGCTGTTCTGAATGGCTGTGATTTTTGATTGACGTGTGACGTCTCACAGTCGCGTCGCGTCTAGTGTGGACAGACACACTTGCTGTCGCTGTAATTTTATCGCGTCGCGTGTGGTTAGGACACGGTGTCAGCTCAAAATGGAGGAATTATTTGCTGGCCACAAATTGTTATAAATTCGACTGGTATGAAGAATTTTTGGGTTTATTGTGTCATCGTTATTTTGTTCTCCTCACTTATAGATGATATAGTGTCCTGCACACACTAGTGAAACAATATATATCCGGTGTCTGAATAATCTTTGGTTTGACTGGATCTCCACGAACAAATAAACTCAACTGTTGAAACGCTTCATAGATTTAAATGCCAAAGGGAAGCGCGTTTTCAACACACGGATCTTGACGGTGAAAAATCTTCCCTTCTAGCGATCCGGTTGACTTTTAACCTTCTGGATCCGCACATCGGGTCGGGGAGGAGCGTATCAGTCTGGTTTGGGGTCGATCAGCACTTGGCTGACATGGGCAGGAACAGAATGGCCTTCTGGCCCGGGCTGGTTTTGGAGCCGGATTTATACTGGCCCGTCCTCTTCAGCGCCACGTACCAGTCCGGGTACTTCCGGGATCTGTACGTGTTGTAGTTGTTGGACTCCAGGCGCTCCAGAAAGTAGCATTCATCTGTTGTTCTTCTCTGAGAGGGAGAGACGGAGACAACAGTAAGACACATTGAGACTTTTTTCACTACAAAAATATATAATTAGCATAACAATTGGTAAACGTTTTAAAGTCCCCCTCTAGTCAATCATTTTATCCATTAAAACTCAATTACATATTTAAACGTTTTTTCGTTTAGCTTGAATGTAACTTGACACCCTTGCCTCATTTAGTATGCACGGTTCTATGAATATGCAAATGAGCCCCGCCTCCACTCACTTAGAGAGCCATTGGTTGTCGATCACACGTTTATCTGATTGGTTACAAGGTCGTTTGTGACGTCAGAAACACCAGCGATTTCAAAGCGTGTTTTTGAGACTGTCTTTGGTTCACTGCAGTTTTAAGGAGGAAATACTCAGCAATGCTGTCGACTTATCAACGCACACACGGTTTAAGCGTATTAAAAACACCACATAAACAACATTAAACGCTGGATTTACACCACAGGAGGCTTTATGTAAGGATGTCCATGCATTAATTGCTTTTTGACTCAAACGGAGCTAAACTGCAGTTCATCGTCTGGCCACTAGAGGCCGGCTGCAGAAGAGAGTCAGTGCCATAAACCCCCATGTTAAAATGCCCAACTTTACAGCAGAATAAAACATGTTTACAGCCTGGTGTTAAAAGTGCTTTTGGTCTATATCGCTAATCTTGCCCTTCATGACGACTGTGAGTGGGGTGAATTTTTGTATCACTCATCCGTTTAAATTATATTAAGGCTTAAAGTTGTGCATAATTAAGGGCGTGGCCAGTTGAGTGACAGGTGGATTGCCGCTGCTGATGTCACTGCTAGTGTTTGTCTGTTAGCGTCACGTCACCTCAGCTAATCGTCTCGCTGCACATTTTAATTTATCCCGGAGTGACGCGCGGCCAAGATGATGATGTCACACACACTACGCACATATTTATTTTCAGTCAATGGTTTTTGCTTTACTTTAAAAACGAGACCTTCGCCGACTTCCTAGTTTGTGAAAGCCTGTAGGACTGATGTTTAAATGAAGGATTTGGGAAAATCAAAAGGATGTGACGTTTTCCCGCTCTGTCGAGACTCTCTTCCGTTGAAGCGAATGCTTACAATGTTCAGGATAAGAGCCGTTCTGTACTGTAAAGTCAACGTGTCGTGTAAAGACAAGCTTCAAGAAGAAAACCCGTTGATGATGTTCTCCAGCTTGATTCGGTCCTCATACTTTCTGTCTGTGTCCCAATTTCCAACGTTTTCCATCGGAAGCTTGTTCAGCTTCATTTCTCAGCATGTGAAACGCTGCAGTTCATTACGGGAATATTCCCTCTTCTCCTGAGAGTGAAACGGCCCGAGGTCTGGAGAACGTCTCCTGACAGGAGTGTGACCTCTGTGATGATGACATGTTCAGCGTAATGTGATGTGGAATACTCAACGAGGGTGAATGTGGACTTGATCAGTGTTTCTATATGACGGTTGTTGTTCAGGGAGAGGGTTTGATGTATCCGAGCTGTTGAAGCGTCTCACTGTGTTTCTTCTGGTGAGATGAAGAGCTGGAACAGAGTCAGTGTTCATTCACTGTTGTGCAACACCTTCGTCATCAGTGGCGGTGTTGTTTCACTGATGAACTCTGTGTGTGTGTGGCTGTGTTTGAGTGTTCAAATTTATACTGTATTGCCTATTTATTGTTTTTTAGATATTTAAAAAGCCATTTTCTATGATTAAATGGGCTATACGTAAATATTTTCATGTATTAATCACTTTTTTATAGCCAATGTGTGAACAGTTATTAACGAACCATAAACAAACTAGACCTTCCTGGACTTCTTAGGTAATCTACGAACTCGGGTCACTTTCCCTGGAAAGTCAAAAGGACGCATGAAGCGAATGCTTATACAATGTTCAGGATAAGAGTCGTTCTGTAATCGGTAAGGATTTTTAATGTTTTAAAAACAGAAGTCTCTTCAAATAAAAACTTTCTTTTCGTCAAAGAATCCAGTTTTTTTTTTAAATAAATGTTTTTTAAGCATCAAATCTTCTAAAGGATCATGCGACACATTTGATAACAGGAAAATAGAAAATTGTCATAATATTTAAAAATATTACTGGGTTCTTTTTTGTATTTTTAATCAAATAAAACGCAGCCTTGGTGCAGCAGATGAAAATTAAAAATTAAAAAATTTACGGATCCAAAACTTTTGAACGGCAGTGTATATAATCTAAAATCTCAAATATTCTTTATAATCAATCATAACAGTGTAATTTTAATGACCTTTAAAGACCATTGAATCATGTTCAGTCTCTTGTGCGCGAGTGCAGTTCACTGAACGGCCACCGGTGTCGCTAATAACGAGCGTTTCTGAATTCTACTCATGAACACTGGAGGAAATATCCGATCTGGGATCATCGTAAAGCGTCTCACCGATCCGAAGAGGCGTCCGTCGCCGTTCATGGCGAGGTATCGGTTCGCACAGATGCCCTTGATCACCAGCTCCCCGAGAGCCGTCGCCTGGAGCTGCAGGCGAACTGAGAGACACACAAACACCTTCTGTGAGAACACAACGCACACACACACACAACATCTTCACGAGTTCATATGATGGGATTGAGACAGTGTTTCTGGCTCTTCTTATCAAGATTTACAGTCAAACCCGAAATTTATTCCGATCGGGCTCCGGAAGTGAAAAACACAAATATCTCGTATCGATTTTTATCGAGTGGAGAACGGGACGAGACCTTTCGAAAGAGACCACCCCCAGCCTCGTGGGCCCGAGATACAGGCCCCCAAAGCCCCTCCGGAAGTGGAAAACGTGAATATCTCGACGAAAACTCAACGTATCCGTCGGAAACCGGGCTTATTTGAACCGTCTTGCCGAACCGAACAAAACCATATGCGTTTCGTCATTTTGGTGGAGAATTCGCGGAGATATTAGCCGAAAACCGTCGGCCGAGCTCTGAAATGGCGCCACGAGCTCGGGAGAAAATCGCAAATATCTCGGCAAAAAAATCAATGTTTCGACGCCATTTTTTTATCGAGTGGAGAACGGGACGAGACCTTTCGAAAGAGACCGCCCCCAGCCTCGTGGGCCCGAGATACAGGCCCCCAAAGACCCGCCGGAAGCAAAAAAACGCAAATATCTTGGTGAAAACTCAACGTATCCGTCGGACACCGGGCTCATTCGAACCGTCTCGCCGAACTGAACAAAACCATATGCGTTTCGTCATTTTTGGTGGAGTATTCGTGGAGATATTAGCCGAAAACCGTCGGCCGCGCTCTGAAATGGCGCCACGAGCTCGGCAGAAAATCGCAAATATCTCAATATTATGAAGCTGCAGACTCGGAGCCTGCATCTACAGTCCCCCAACGAGAGTCCCACATTCTCAGACCACTCGTTTTTCGAACACAGCGCCTCATGCTGTTCAAAAGATCGAATAACACCCGCACACAGAGTACAGCGCATTATCCAAATGCAATTAAAAACAATAGGATGCAATATTACGGTCTTCAAATAAATTATCCAATAAATATTTGTGTTCCCTGCTTAATGCATGTGTCAAAAAAAACCCTAATTGTTACTGATGGAAGGGATACAATTAGCAGATTTAACTATCTTCAGAAAAATAGTAGGCTATATTATATTGCTACAATGTTTTTTTTTATTATATTTTTTTATTCAAATTCCAATTTTTCTTTCAGTTAAACCTATAATGGTCTAATTAACATTACCATGCTAACATTACAATATCTGTTTTTTGATATTTTGAATGCGAAGCAAAACAAACCAGAATAGACAAAACACCAATAATAAACAATTCTGTACTTTATTTAATAATCACCTAAACATCATCTTGCTGTAAAGAAAAAAGGAAGAAAAAACAGTGTTTTTGACTTTACTTTTCGTCTTCAATTGCATTAAAAAAACTCATTTATAAGTCCCTTTGCATAATCATAAAATGATATGTTGCTGGAGTCGGCAGGGGCAACTCCATAGGACCGATAGCACATGTCTTATGATGTTTCAAAAAGAAAGAAAGAAAAAAAAGAAAAAATGTTTGCAAATGTTAGTTACCATGTTTCACTGCTCTGTTGAAGTGTCCCTTGAGATGTTTTTGAACTTTGGACAACTTTGTGGGTTTGAAATATATGGGGGCACAAAATGGGCAGTGAAAATAACTGCAGCATTTAAGACATTTCTACAAAAAGTCCAAGGTTAAAGGCTAACGTAAACATAAGCTATCTAAATATTTTCGGGGAGAAGAGGGCGAAAAAACATACATTAAACGGCTCAAATCTTGTTTCAAACTATCTTTACAAATATTAAATGGACTATTCATATGTTGTATCGATGAGCTAAATTAGTTTTATTAACAAAATAAATCAAACGAGTAGTCTACTACGAATCGCTAAATAAAATTGAAGATTTTATTTATCTACTCATGTTTTGGCTTAAGTTCTTCACATGTTCTTCACATGTTTATCCGATACAATTTGATAGGAGGCGCTGTCTCGAAAAACGAGGGGTCTGAGAATGCGGGACTCTGGGTGCAGGGGGACTGTAGATGCAGGTCTCCGAGTCTGCAGCTTCATACTACTCAAATATCTCGGCGACAACTGAACGTATCGACGCCAAATTTTTATCGAGTGGAGAACGGACCGAGACCTTTTGAAAGAGACCACCCCCAGCCTCGTGGGCCCGAGATACAGGCCCCCAAAGCCCCTCCGGAAGTGGAAAACGTGAATATCTCGACGAAAACTCAACGTATCCGTCGGAAACCGGGCTTATTTGAACCGTCTTGCCGAACCGAACAAAACCATATGCGTTTCGTCATTTTGGTGGAGAATTCGCGGAGATATTAGCCGAAAACCGTCGGCCGAGCTCTGAAATGGCGCCACGAGCTCGGGAGAAAATCGCAAATATCTCGGCAAAAAAATCAATGTTTCGACGCCATTTTTTTATCGAGTGGAGAACGGGACGAGACCTTTCGAAAGAGACCGCCCCCAGCCTCGTGGGCCCGAGATACAGGCCCCCAAAGACCCGCCGGAAGCAAAAAAACGCAAATATCTTGGTGAAAACTCAACGTATCCGTCGGACACCGGGCTCATTCGAACCGTCTCGCCGAACTGAACAAAACCATATGCGTTTCGTCATTTTTGGTGGAGTATTCGTGGAGATATTAGCCGAAAACCGTCGGCCGCGCTCTGAAATGGCGCCACGAGCTCGGCAGAAAATCGCAAATATCTCGGCGACAACTGAACGTATCGACGCCAAATTTTTATCGAGTGGAGAACGGACCGAGACCTTTTGAAAGAGACCACCCCCAGCCTCATGGGCCCCCGGGAGCCCGAGATAAAGGCCCTGAAATGCAAATATCGTGACGAAAACTCGATATATCTGGCAGAGACCGGGCTCCTTCGAACCGTCTCGCCGAACTGAGGAATGTCCTCATTTGTAAACACACACACACACACTCAGACTCACTCACTCGCACACACAGACATTCACTCACACACACACACTCATTCACACACACATTCACTCGCACACACAGACACTCACTCATTCATTCACTCACACACACTCACTAGTACACACAGACACTCACTCATTTACTCACACACTAACTCACACACACACTCAAGCGCACACACACATGGACGCACGGACATTCATGCATACACACACACACACATACACACTAACTCATTCACTCACACATACACTCATGCACATGCACGCGCGCAGAGGTTCGGGTCAGAGTGAGTGAACTGTGGGGTGGGCGGGGTTAGTGAAGTTGCCCTGATCAACTGCCCGAGAGTCTGAAGGGGCGACTGTTTCAGTTTCTACTTGACTCGTATTTCTTGTGTTTTTCAGGACTAAACTGAACCTGGAGCATGGAAAACACTTCCTCTTCAAGGTGAACACTTTGGTCTCACACACGCACCAGCTTTAAAAAGTTGAATAAAACATGAATAAAAGCTTTTAAAAAGTGAACGCGCACAAATTCTACACGCATAAACGTCAGTGAACTCTTTCTGAACCGAGAAAATAAGTTGGAAACCCGTCATCATCAGGCCTGGTTTTCATCTGTGACGTATATAAAGAGTCTTTGTCCCCTCTCTCTCCTCTAGATCCTCGTTTTTCCATGGAAAGAAGGGAATAAAAGCACTCACTGTGCGGGTCGCTCTTCTCCCGGACCCCGTCCACTCGCCCGTCCGACAGGATCCGCAGGAAGAATCCGCCGTTCTTGCAGTAAAGGCGTTTGGGCTCCCTGAAGCTCCCGGGAGAAAAGGCTCCGCTCGCCCCGTCGTCGGGAGAAGCCGGGAGTGTAGTGATTCCTCCCGTGGCCATCGCTCACTCTCTCTCTGCTGCGATGAACACACACACACACACACACACACACTCCCTCCTCCTCCCGCGTCTCCTTCCGGCGCTCCGAGACACGGAGTCTCATGAAAGCTGGGATAAACTCTCACAGCTGCTGGAGCACATCTGAGGAGAGAGAGTTTATCTGGGAAGAGGAGGTCCGGGATGAGGATGAGGATGTTGAATCTTTCCTGTTGCTTTCCGACTCTGGGCTGTTTACTGTACACTCTCTCTCTCTCTCTCTCTTTCTCTCCCCATTGGGCCCCTGACCACATAACTCCCTCACCCACTGTGTTTGCTCAACCTACTGCAATAACACATACACACACATAGCAAACGACCCTGTAGCCAATCAGATCAACATGTGATCGTCAACCAGTGGATCTCTGAGCTGAGTGAGTGAGTGGAGGCGGGGCTCATTTGCATATTCAACTGCATATACTAATTGAGGCAAGGGTGTCGAGTTACATTCAAGATATTTTAAGGCATGAAGACGTTTTCATCAAGGAAAAAAAACGTTTAAATATGTCATTTTGGCGATCAGAGATGAGTTTTAACCGTCTGGGGTCGGAAAGTGTGAAAGAGGCTCAACTAACTTTTTGTCAAACATACAGATGTTATCCATCATTCAAAACTGTTAAATGTGTACTTTTATTTGTGTACACATTATAAAACAAAATGTTATGCTTTTTGTAAAAGAAGTGTGAAGTTCATTCTGAAACGCGACAGAAAATGAACTAACTCGGCGAACACTTGCCATGAGAGATATCTTTAGAAAGCTTAAATTTTAAAGGTCCCGTTCTTCGTGCATCCCATGTTTCAATCTTTAGTTAGTGTGTAATGTTGATGTTATAGTATAAATAATATCTGTAAAATGATAAAGCTCAAAGTTCAATGCCAAGCGAGATGTTTTATTTAACAGAAGTAGCCTACATCGAACGGCCCGTTTGGACTACATCCCTCTACTTCCTTCTTTAATGACGTCAGTACAACCGTTTTTTGACTAACATCCGCCCACAGGAACGCTCCCTCAACTCCCTCAACACAACTTACTGTGTTTACTCAGCTCTTACGGTGATTTTCTGAAGTGTAACGTTAACTGACGCTTCATCTTTTGTGTGATGTACAATAAACTTAATTAAACTCATCAGTATATGTTTGATCATCATTCGGACCTGGTACGAAACAGCCGACTTGTAGGCTATTAATAAATAATGGATACATACAAGCAGATGACAAATACGTTATAATAGCCGCAATTAAACTACTAAACTATACCTGTTCCATCTCTATACAGCACTCTGACTCTGTAGGCATTATTGTCCGACTAGAAATGAACACCGACCGTTACTGAGAGTTTCTGATATTATCGTCGTCCTGAGAGACTGAGCGCGAGCACATGAAGCTCCGCCCCCTGTGCCGGCAGCAGCAGCAGCTCATTTGCATTTAAAGGGCCACACACTCAAACAGCGCATTTTTCTGAGCCCCAAAAAATGACAATTTAAACATGCTGTAAAAAATGATCTGTTGGGTATTTTGAGCTAAATCTTTACACACACGCTCTGGGGACATCAAAGACTTGTTTTACAGCTTGTGAAAGGGCATTATAGGACTCCTTTAAACTCCTGGAGTCCACTGTATAATTACAAACACAGGACTAAACATCTGTCTGCGATTAACAAGCACTTCCTGAAGGAAAGATCTCTCAGTCTCTCCTGGACTGAGATGGAGGATAATGAGATCAAATGCGTCTCAGATGTTTCTCCTAGAGAAATATCCCAGTAATCTCACTCTCCACAGCCATTTTCACTGAAATTATCCTCCCACCTCAGACACAGCTGAGACATATTCATAATCTCAGACACATGTTTATTAATTACATTTTCTTAAATAGGAAAAGCCCGTCCTCATGTTTTTAGGAGCTACCGGTTTCTTCTCATCTCTAGTTTTAGCAGTGAAAAACATCTGTGTGTGTTCAAAGGAGCGTTTAGTGATTGGCATCAGTGGAGTTAGCTGACCACATCACAGCGGCGATGGAGATCTGTGCACTCGGCCCGCTTTATGACATTCATGATCATTAGAGAAGAACCCGACGACAACAAACCACACTGACGTTATACAGGCTTCGTTCCAGCCACGAGCAAACCCAGCTTCAGTTCCAGCACATGTTCGTCTCAACAGAGCTGTCATTACACACCCTACAGCCCCACACACACACACACACATCTGGTTTACTATTTTTGTGAGGACTCTCCATAGACGTAATGGTTTTTATACTGTACAAGCTGTATATTCTGTCCCCTTAAAGTAAACTAACCCTACCCATCACACACACACAGAGAGAGAGAGAGAGAGAGAGAGAGAGAGAGAGAGAGAGAGAGAGAGAGAGAGAGAGTGTGTGTGTGTGTGTGTGTGTGTGTGGCGGCCTCTGGCGGCCGTACATTGAACTTCACGCTCGTGTTGTTTAGGGTTGTTGCGTCATTTCCGGCGGCCGTCCTTCACTGAGTTTCTCCTGTATCTCGTGACTGTCAGAGAGAAACATGGCGTGAGTTTATTAACCCTCATAAACACAGAAAACCGCAGCAGCGACAGACATGATGTGGAGGATTCAGAGTTTAGTGGGCAGAGGTGAGGCATTATTACACATCACCAGCTCTCACACACTCACTGCTAGATCGATACTGATACACTCATTTATTGTTATAAATTATAATGTTTCATTGCATGGGGTCTTTCTGCAGTTTTGTCAGTTTCGTTGATTTGAACATGACTTTAATTGTGTATTTTAATAAATCATGTCATTTTAGTAAGTCTGAAGATACTTTCACTTTTGACACGTGATCAGATCAAATGCCAAATATATTATTATCGTCAAATATGAGAAATCAAACGCTGTCTTTTGCATCATATGTGGATTTGCTCACGAGTAGACAGACATATCTGCTTTACTGATTCATGAGGGAGACGTGGAACATATCAACAAAAACACAGGGAGAACACACACACACACACGACAAGTAAATACATGCAAAGACTTCCATAACCAGCAGTAGAGATGGAGTCCTTCCTTCCATTCATCTGATCATAAATGAACACTTCTTCACGTCTCATAACAGCGTGAAATGTGTGTGTGTTCACAACATATGTTGCATTTGTCAGTTCATAAAACACTTTTGTGTGTGTGTGTGCTCTGGAACCACAGTGTTGAGCCGTTGCCATGGAAACGCTTCACTACGACTCTCGCAGGGACACTCACACACACATGTGGAGGACGAGCTCATCAACTCCTCAGTCCTGACCTCAGGACGACACGCTTCTGACTGCAGCAGGTACACACACACACACACACACACATTAACCCTACTCATAACACACACTCACACACACACACTCTCTCAAGTCCCGTTCTGTCTGTCTGTCAGTTCTCAGAGGGATGGAGATGATCAGAAAAGGCGCCGCTCTGAGTTCTGCTACTCTGGCCTGCCGAGATACACGGCTCTGGACGCCATGGGCTGGGTGAGGATCAGCCAATCAGAGGACAGGAGCACACCTGTTCACTTTAGAGTCCGCAAGTGACCGTGTGTGTGTGTGTGTGTGTGTGTGTGTGTGTGTGTGTGTGTGTGTGTGTGCAGGGCGCCGCTGCTGTTCTCTTCATGCAGCTCTGTCGCAGGATTCACTCCCGGTTTTCCTCGCGTGCGGATCAGAACCGGATCACAGACGTCGGGCTCGTGCAGAAATGCTCCTACAAGGTCCTGATTGACATCTGTGAGTCCTGCTGTCACACACACACGTTTTGACCACTAAAACATTAACTTATATATACATTATATTTACACACTACCAGTCAAAAGTCTGGGATTGTTAAGATTAAAAAAAAAAAAAAATACAGAAAAATAGTGAAATATTATTATAATGTATATCATCAGTTTTCTATGTGAATATACAGTAAAGTGTAATTTATTCCTGTGTATTTTCAGCATCATTACTCCAGTCTTCAGTGTCACATGACCCTTCAGAAATCACTCTAATATGAGGATCTCATGATCAAGACACAGTTATGATTATTATAAATGATGAAAACAGTAATTTAAATTTTATATTTCAGGATTCTTTGCTGAATATGAAGTGCAAAAGAACAGCATTTATCAGAAATATAAAGATTTTGTAACATTAAGCACTACCGTTGAAAAGTTTGGGGTCAGTAAGAATTTTTATTTTAGGAGGGAAATAAATAAAATAAATCAATACTTTTATTCATTAAGGATAAATTAAATTGATCAAAAGTGACAGTAAAGACATTTATAATGTTACAAAAGATGCTTGAACTTTCTATATTAATAAAAAAAAAAATCCTGTTTTCAACACTGATAATAATCATAAACGTTTGTTGATCATCAGATCCTCATATTAGAGTGATTTCTGAAGGATCATGTGACACTGAAGTAATGATGCTGAACATTTACAGGAATAAATTACACTTTACTGTATATTCACATAGAAAACTGTTATTTTGAATCGTCATAATATTTAACAATACTACTGTTTTTATTTAATTAATTTGTTTTAAACATTAAAAATCTTACCGATCCAAAACTTTTGAACGGCACTGTCCAGTATAAACACATTTACACACACGTACAGTGTCCCAGGAGAGTGTGTTGTCCGGTGGCGTGACGGTGAAGTGCCTGCAGGGGGCGCTGCAGTCTCCAGAGCCCAGTGGTGACATCAGTAGTGACACCAGCAGTGATGAGGATCTGACCTCTGACCTGCAGACCCCTGAGACCGCCGGCCCGTCACACTCCGGTCAGAACCAGCACACTCACAGACTCGTGTAATAAAGATGTGAAGTGCACAGAAGCTGAGTCTTCATTCTTGATTCTCTTACAGAGGAAACTCTTTTTCCAGAACCAGTGAAACCACAGGTAATGTTTTACACCAGTTTGTAGAATTCAGACACACGTGTTATTAGCGACACCGGTGGCCGTTACGTGAACTGCAGCTAGAGACTGAACGTGATTCAATGGCTTCCCTTTTCCGTTCACACATTTATAGTGTTGAGTATCGCTTGACTTTCAATGTTTCGGTTTCCGATTTAGGTTAAAAACATTTTTTAAATAACATTCACATTTATTCTTATTGCAAAACATGCGATTATTGCCAAATATCATGAACAGAAATCATCAGCTGAAGAACACTGACTGACACAAGGAGAATTTGCCTGAGGTTTAAAAACACCAGAAGAACAACTAGCCCGACTAATGTTAATATCAAGCATTAATAAAGACAATAAACACTCAATCATTAAAAAAGAACGAATAAAATGTCGGCAATTGCAACAGGATTTAAGATTTTCAGGTTCAGAAACTGTAATAAAATGTAAAATAACTCTGCAGTTTATAAATATAATATACATTACAAATATAGTCACAAAAGTTATTCAGTGAAGAACGAGTGAATTTTCTCTTTGTGTGAGGCAGGAATATGAGCGCTGTCCCTTTAAGAGGCACACAGGTCCAATACACTGATACACGTCTGCGAACAACACAGAAAACAGAGTCTCACGCTTAAAGGGTTAGTTCACCCAAAAATGAAAATTCTGTCAGTATTTACTCACCCTCATGTTGTTCCAACCCCGTAAGACCTTCGTTCATCTTCGCAACACAAATTAAGATATTTAAGATATTAAGATCGCTCCTGCATACTAGTCCATAGGCTTCTTGAGGGAATGACTCGAAAAGACATCGTTAAAATAGTCCAAGTGACTACAGTGGCTCAATCTTAAGTTTATCAAACGACGAGAACACTTTTGTGCGCAAAAACAAACAAAAATAACGACTTTATTTCAACTATTCACTTCCTTCTCCATGGGCCTGTAGTCAGTTAACGTAGTGTGATTGCGTAAAGCTACGTCACACGAAGGCTCACTATTGGCCGACGCTGGTCATGTGTGTGATGCGTGTGATGTATAATAACAGAAGCTTACGCTATTAAACTAGTAACCTGACTCGCGCAGAGGGAGAAATAAACCAATAGTTGAAATAAAGTCGTTATTTTTGTTGTTTTTGCGCACAAATTGTTCTCGTCGTTTGATAAACTTACGATTGAGCCCCTGTAGTCACTTGGACTATTTTAACGATGTCTTTAATGACTTTTCGGGGAAAGCAAGAGTCATTCCCTGAAGAAGCCTATGGACTGTATGCAGGAGTGATCTTAATATCTTAAATATCTTAATTTGTGTTGCGAAGATGAACGAAAGTCTTACGGGGTTGGAACAACATGAGGGTGAGGAAATACTGACAGAATTTTCATTTTTGGGTGAACTAACCCTTTAATGCGTTTAAAGGTCTTGGGAAGGTCTTGTTTTTAAGTTTTGTTCACAAATCGGTAATACAAAAAGCTACAATAAATAAAGATTCTCACACATATCCTCTTTTAAACGTGTTTTGCTTCTGATTAACCCTTGTGTTTCCTGCAGGAACGTCTCGCACCCGATGAAGCCGCGCAGAAGTTGAGGCACGTGGCAGACAGCAGCGTACCCATAATCCTCAACATCATCGGTAATGATGACCTCACACACACACACACACACACAAACTCCGTCCGAGGATGCTGTGAGAACACGGTGTGGTGTTTCAGGTCTGGAGAGCGCTAAAGCGGGGGATTACGAGGCGGCGTTCTCCTGTTTCCTGGCTTCGGCTCAGCACGACTACAGCAAAGCTCAGTTTAACGTGGGAGTGTGTTACGAGAGAGGACGTGGAGTACGGCGAGACCACAGCAAGGTGAACGTGCTTACTCAAGTCACCTTCATTTATACAGTGGTGTCTGGCCTTAAAAATTCATAATACAGAATTTTTTGTATAGATGTGAACGTTTAGATGGTCTCTTCCGTGTTTATCCACACGTGACTGTCGTCTCTCAGGCGGTGCTCTACTACAGGCGCGCCGCAGTCGCTGGCCACCGCCAGGCTCAATACCGCTGTGCTAAACTCCTCCTGAACAGCAGAGGGCAGCAGAGCTCAGAGAGCGACTCCGAAGCGGCGCTGAACTTCCTGTACGCAGCGGCAGACGCCGGACTCACGGAGGTACGGATGAAGTCTTATCGACACTCTCACGGATATGCTCAGAGTATGTTTTTCAGCAGACTAGTATGCTAGCACAGAACATATTAGCATCCACACAACAATAGATAAATAATCTCCTGCCCCTTAAAGGATTAGTTCACTTTTGAAAAAACGTTTGCTGATAATTTACTCGCCCCCATGTCATCCAAGATGTCCATGTCTGTCTTTCTTCAGTCGAAAAGAAATTTAGGTTTTTGATGAAAACATTCCAGGCTTTTCTCCATATAATGGACTTCAATGGGGACCAAACGGTTCAAGGTCCAAAAGACAGTTTCAGTGCAAACTGTTCAAATGTCTTTAAACGACACCAGATGATGAATAAGGGTCTTATCATGCGAAACGATCGCTTATTTCAAAACTTATTCCAAAAATGTAACTTTTCTAAGGACAAATGCTAGCCTTGCTCTATTCTGTGAGGCGCGTTTGTAACGTCACGTAATACGTAATTACGTTCAAAAGGTCACGGGCGACGTAGCCGGAAGTACAGAATCAAAATCGTCCGACATCGTTGTTTTACCTTTTAATTCCTTTTTTTGTAAACGGCGTTTGAGTTAGTTTGCACGTTCAACCTATGCGTTCAACTTGTAAACACTGACTCTGTACTTCCGGCTACGTCGCCCGTGACCTTTTGAACGTAATTACGTATTACGTGACGTTACAAACGCGCCTCACAGAATAGAGCAAGGCTAGCATTTGTCCTTAGAAAAGTTACATTTTTGGAATAAGTTTTGAAATAAGCGATCGTTTCGCATGATAAGACCCTTATTCATCGTCTGGTGTCGTTTAAAGACATTTGAAGCTGCATCTGAAAGTGTCTTTTGGACCTTGAACCGTTTGGACCCCATTGAAGTCCATTATATGAAGTCCATTTTCATCAAAAACCTTCATTTCTTTTCGACTGAAGAAAGACAGACATGGACATCTCGGATGACATGGGGGCGAGTAAATTATCAGCAAAAGGTTTTTCAAAAGTGAACTAATCCTTTAAACTGTGTGTGTGTGTGTGTGTGTGTGTGTGTCCAGGCTCAGATGTATCTGGGTGTGGTGTTGTCTCAGGGTTCGGATTTGGACAAGAAACAGTCCGTTCATTATTTCAGGATGGCCGCTGAGCAAGGGGTAACACACCTCTCGTCTACACACTCTATACTAATGATGGGCTTTTTCTTAGGAATAAACAGCTTTATCGTGTGTGTGTGTGTGTGTTTGAGAAGGACAGCGGTGCTCTGGTGTGTCTGGCTCAGTGTTACGAGAAGGGTTTGGGCGTGTCTCCGTGTGTCCACACCGCAGTCAAGCTTTATCAACAGGCAGAAGCCCGAGGAAACCTGCAGGCCAGAGACGTCCTGACAGACCGACACAGCAGAGAGGGTGAGAATAGTGACCCTGGACCACAAAACCAGTCACAAGGGTCAATTTTTGATTTATACATCAACAGAAAGCATTGTGTTATGATAGGACAATATTTGGTGGAGATACACACAACTATTGAAGATCTGGAGTCTGAGGTGCAGAAATCGAAATATTGAGAAAATCTCCTTTAAAGTTGTGCAATTATGTTCACGATTGCTGCATCCACTCACAGAAACACATGTGTTATATATTTACGGTAGGAAATGTACAAAATATCTTCATGGAATGTGATCTTTACTTAATATCCTAATAATTTTTGGCATAAAAGAAAAATCTATAATTTTGACCCATATAATGTATTGTTAGCGATTTCCACAGAAACACCCGTGTGACTCGATACTGGTTTAGTGATCCAGGGTCACATGACTATATAAAATATACATATTAGAATCATTATTATTTTAGTTCCCAGGCGGTATTTCTTATTTTTGTTCGGTTTTAATTTGAAGCTCTAAAATTACTAACTGGGAATAAATAAAAACCAAAACAGAACTTTAATAAAAAATAAAATTAAGCTTAAATAGTAATGTAAAAAACAAGTAACAAACTTACTAAAAAACGAAAATCTAAACATGAAAATAATATTAATAAAAACTATAATAAAAACAATGTTGAAATAACACTGTTCTTAATATATAATATGCATATACAATAATATAATATTTTTATAATAATAAATATAGCTGCAAGCAAGTGTGCATCAGACCAGCTGCAGGAGATTTGGAGATGATTTTAAGCTAAATGGTTGAAAGCCTAAGAATACAAGCACTTGTCATGTGACGTAATTGCGTATTACTTTTGACCAATAGGTGGCGCTGACACCAAACTGATCTGGTTTGGTCAGGGTTGGGTGGCAGTGACACGCACCAATTTTAGTGTCAATCAAATGTTTCCAGAGATGTGCCGTTTGGCATCAGACATCATGTGTTGATGTGGTTTACGAAAACAGTTTCGTCTATCGAAGATGAACCAACTCGAATTTTGCGGAAAATCGGTAAAAACGGTCTAGGAGAAGATATTAATAAAAAAGTTGGTTTTAATAAAAGATCAACAGGAAGTTTGACAGACTATGGCAATATTGGTATCCTCAAAGGTTATTTCGTTATAATTTTTGACCACAAGATGGCGCTGTCCCACACTTGCGAGTATCTTCAGGGCATTGGGTCGAAGACAGGTTGGGTATCGTTTAAAAAAAAAAAAAACTTTTATTTAACTTCTAAAGTCATAATGAAATGCTCACAAATCAGAATCAAAATTTTAATTTGATATTTGATAACGCTAAAAAAAGCGCTAAATAAATTAAGGTGATAACAAGTATCTGATTCCCAGCTCTATTGAAGACTCGTACCAGGTTTTGTAACGAAATTCTCTCTCTCTCTCTCTAGTCTTGCGCTCGATCCGCTCTGCTCCTTGCTTCTCTGTGATTGGTCAACTGAATCTGAACGCCATCGTTCCTCAGAAGCCCCGCCCACAGCATGAATCTGACTGTCAATCAAAGTCGCTCTGTCATTCCTGGAGCACGGGAAGTCTGAGTTCGCTGTCGTCGATCACGCTCCAGATGCTCAGCGCCGACAGCAAGGTCTGGACGCCGCGAGTGCGCTAACGTCACGACGGATTCATATTCATCTATTAGCAGTTATTTATTTTTAATAATCAGCTGGCCAATGATTCGACACGTACGGTACTGTCAAACCAAAATGTATTCAGACACCTTTAACATCATCTCAGTTTAACAACGCACACACACAACACAGGTTATGATGGAGCGAGGCTCAGGTCTGACGCATGAATGTTCTCGACCAATCAGAGAAGAGCTGCTGAGTTCAGAGCTTCTGTGATTGGTTGATTTATCTATGATACGTGATATCTTGTTTCTGCAACTGTGGGAGTGGGAATCTCTTTGTGATGTGTTTGGTTGTGTACATATTTGTGTGTTTGGTTATGAAGAGTGTGTGTAAAAGAGTAGGAGCGCGTTTCTGCCACGCAATAAAGATATAAAACAGGTAATTGTGAACTTTTGAGGAAAAATATTAGTGCAAAATATATATAATGAGATATAAACTCATTTTAGAAAAGAAAGTCAAAATTGTGAGATGAATTATGATAGAAACTCACAATTTTTAGGAAAATATTTAAAATTGTAAGATAAATTGCGATATATAAATGAAAAAATCTGAGGAAAATAGTCAGAATTGCGATATGTATATGGCTAGATATAAACTTATAATAAACATTAATCAGAATTCAGAGATGCAAACAAGCAATATTGTGAAAGAAAGACTGAATTACCTTTGTTTTTATTCCGCGGTGGAAACACGCTTCCATATAATACAGTGATTGTGAATGAATGAGGGTTTTGTAAAACATGAATAAGCTTTTCTCGATATTATTTGTGTCAAACTTGGGAAGGTCACATGGTGCTTTTATTTATAACTCATTTTCCTGTTTTTTTTTTTCAAAAGAGTTGAACACATTGTTTACATGATTACACTAAAACCGCAAGTGCACATATTCATCCAGAAGCAGAATTATTATTCATTAGAGAGAGATTAGCACCATTTGTCTACTAAATGAATTGCATGCGCCAAAGGTTTAATAAACATATGTGCCTTAGTTAGATTATTCACAAATACAAGCCAACAGCAATTTGTCACAAGTATTGAATATCATAACCTGATATTGTAGGTTTGTCTTGATGTGTTCAACACTTTGATGTGTTTATTGAAACAATAAGCATCCTAAAGCACTTAATAAAGACTTCTTTTTTTACACTGTGTTTGTGTTTGATATTCATTTGTTTAATACTTTAAACAATAGAAGATGTGTTCAGAATCTCTGAATTTAATTAGTTCTTTAATACAATTTTTTTTTTTTACTGTAGTCACAAGTCGAGCCACTTTTAACAAAACGGTGTTTTCAAAGCAGCTTTACAGAGATAACAGGAGAATAATGCAGCAAAGTGTGTTTCCAGAAGAAAACAGCGTCACAGTCCAGCTTAAGTCAGTTCAGTGATGCTTTATTTCTGTTGTAAAAAGTTATTAATTTAGTTAATTTATTGATATAAAGCTCTGGAGAAAACCGTAATGTCATAATAGCTGTTGAATGTCAGAAACAAATATCAATAGTAATATAATATTTGTCAAATGTATTTATGAGGGTTGTTGTTTAGGAATGTTTCAACTTCAGATAAAAAAAAAATTGATTATGAATGTTTGAAAAAGGGATTAATTTTAAACGCTACTTGTCTCATGAATATTAAGTCACGTTTCTAGCGTGAACTTATTAATATTCATGGAACGGCTTGCGCTCAGCGCTCGGATTGGTCGGCGCGCGCTTCCACGGAGCGCATGCGCAGAGAACAGCGCATCCTGTGCGCGGTGCGGAGAGGTCTCGCGTTGCGGGCGTCTGGACTTTAAAAGCGGGCGTCACCTCGCGTCTCCGCATCAGCATCTTCAGAGAGAGGACAGCCGAAACACTCGCGAACACCCGGTGCTGGTAAGTGTCTGTCTCTGAACAGATGACGTCATGTTCATACACACACACATAAGCGCGCGCGCTGAATATTGATTATACCGATTGATCCGATGCATATTCGTTGCAGCAACTTTACAGAATTGAGGATTGAATTGAGTTTGTCATGCACAGGGTGCGCGTTATGAGAGCGTGACTTGACACTTCTCACTGTCACATCATGTGTATAGGCTATATGATGATGATGATGATGATGATGCATGGGGCAATTGTTGCAGACTGTGTGTTTGTGCAAGTTCTGGTGTGCGTCATTAATCGCAGCGAATGTTTTGGGCCGATCTGAGCGGATCTGTCATGATCAACAGCAACTTCTGTGTGTGTGCACTACACGATGATGTCATCGCTGGATTTGGTCAAACTTATCAAATATGCACTTTAATACGAGGTTGCATTTCCAATTCTATCGCTAAATGATTATAATTAACAGATATAATTGGATATAATCCTATATGCAACGGAAAACTGTACAATAAAATGCAATACACTAGTTGAGTCTTGCAGTTTTGCAGTTATGTTCTATTTTGAATTTTATTGCATAGAGGATTATAATCACAATTAGCAGTTATTAGTGCTTTAAATTTGATTGCATACAGGATTATAATCAAAGAGCTGTATGAATGATCCAAGAGACTTCACTAGTATAGTAGGCCTACAGTATAGCATCATATAAGAGTCCTGCATGATTCTTGTAATTTCAAATTTAAATTGCAAATATAGATTTTTTTTTATTGCAAATTGGGGTATTCAATCATTGCTTCACTGTACAATAGAAAAGTTATTGAGTCTTGCATTTTTGCTGTTATATTTTAAATTGAATTGCATATCTGTAAGTCTGTAATTTCTTTTCCAAGAGTATTTTACAATGTTGTTATGCAATACTATACTTGTATTTCTTGTATCTTATAATATTTTTGCAATGTTGCAAATGCAATTTTATTGCATATGATTATAGTTAAAAAGTTGTATGATTATAATTCAGTAATGCAATAGTATACTAATAGAGTCTTGCATTTTTGCTTTTATGTCCAATTTCAATTTATTGCATATTGGATTACAATAAGAGTTAGCTTAAATTATTAAACTAGAGCTGAAGTTATTAAGTTTAGCATCATGTTTGCTGTTATATCTGTATGTTAGAGCATTATTATAGTACAGTATTGCATAATATAGTAAGAGTCACTGAGTCTTGCAATTTTGCTGTTATATCCTATTTCAGTTTTTATCTTTTATTGCATATAGGATTATAATTTGTGTTTTTTGGTAAAAAAAAAAAAAAAAAAAGAATAATTCCAAGCATATTTATTGGCTATATCATGCAATACTTTACTATACATTTAATTATGGAGTTTTGTATTTTTGCTGTTACATTTTATTTAATATTTTATTGCATATGCAAATATAAACGATTTGTATTGTCCAAGATGTGTAAAAGTGAAAAATCTAAATTATACCAAACATAGCTCGACACTTATGAGTTTAGTATCCACTTGTCTTCTTGAATGACTTTATTTTTTTTAATTTATGAGTTATTAATGAAGACAAACACAAAAATCTAACATGTTGAATACTGTATCACTGTTGAGATCAGTCAAAACAACAGCTTTTGGCTGATGCATAGAAAAATAGTGTGTGTGTGTGTGTGTGTGTGTTTTGTATGTGGGCTGTTGGGCAAAATATTGCTGTATAATCACACTGATCTTCAGTAAAGATCTGCAGCAAACACATTTTCCACCCCAGTCCTGTGTGTGTGTGTGTGTGTGTGTGTGTGTGTGTGTGTGTGTGTGTGTGTGTGTGTGTGTGTGTGTGTGTGTGTGTGTGTGTGTGTTGCCGTAAACTTGAGACGCTGTGCTGACGGTGCAGTTCATGTAAAGGTGATCTGGTCTAAGAGTCACACAAACACACGTGAAACACGGCTGATTAACAGAAGAAATGTAATTACTCAGTAGTCGTCATTTTTTAGTTAAAGTAAAGTTTAGTGACCGTAATTGATGAAGCTAAGTAACTAACGTTCTCACTCTTCACAGGCGATTTATCGTTTGCAATGATGTCACTGCAGAAGCCTCCCCTCAGACGCAGCGCATCGACCGTAGAATCGACCAATCACAGCGGCCCGTTGTTGACTCCGCCCTCCTCTCTCAATTTACGCTCCTCCCACAACCAGCAGCTGAGCTGCGACACCATAAAGGAGGGCGTGGTCGCGGTTTCCAAGGAAGCGCAAGGCTCTGCGAAAAGTCGTCAAAACTACGCATTGACGAATATTCAGAACGCAATGGGTTTGAGCCAAAGCCACGCCCCCGTGCACTTTAAACCCGCCCCGACCAAATCCGCCTCGTCGTCGTCTCTCTACTGCTCCTCGCTTTCCTTTTCCACATCCAATCCCAAACTGGCCAAGAACGGCACTAACCTCCAGCTGAAAGAGGAGCAGATGGACCTCAACAAGAACGACAAGAACCTCCTGAGCAGGAGCAGCTGCGATTGGCTGGAGGGGAAGGACAACCAGAAGAACCCAACATTCAGAAGGAGGACCAAGAGCTTTCTCGAGTACCATCGGGAGGAGGAGGCGTCCAGCAGTCCTAATAAAGACACGCATGTCGAGGAGAAGCACCTCCTGCCGAAGCTGGAGGCGCAGACGTGGGCTAAAGAGAACCATGTGGAGGTTCACCTCACGCTCCCGCAGAACCACCTGCTCCTGCTGGCCAGCGAAGAGGAGGAGGAGGAGGAGAGTCCAGAACCGGCGGACGTTTACCAGCACGTGCTCCGGCCGAACAACGAGCGCGTGAGCCGCGTCAGAGACGGGTACGGCTGAACAAATAATCGAATTTGTCTCGATTACAAGTACAAAAAAAAGCTCACTTACATTATTCTGTGTGCTTAAGATGTGTTTTTGTTTTTCTTTCTACAGCTTATTTTAAAGGTGCAGTGTGTAATTTTTAGCAGCATCTAGTGGTGAGTTTGCGAATTGCACCCAACAGAAGTTACGGTGGCCGACAGGAAGTGATGTCGTGGCCTGAGACCGCAGAGAGTAGCCAGCTTAGCATTGAGGTTTTTTTTACAAAGATAAATTAAGAAATTAGGTTTATTTAATTATTCAGGAAAAAGATGTTAATGTGAATATCATAGTCATTATTGTGTCAGTGTTTTATTCGCTGACTTTAGCAGCTTCTTTGCTTGAAGAACAACATAGTGACGAAACGCGTTTTGTCCGTTCAGGGCCACCGTAGACATGTCGATGTAAGCGGACCCGTGATGTGTGTGTGTAGAGAGAAACGCCTCATACTAATCTAATAAAAAACATAATGGTTCATTATGTAAGGTCTTTACACCACTATGAATATGATATTGCATTTCTGTCAACAGATCCTCCTAAATATTACACACTGCACCTTTAAGGTTTTTTTTTTTACTTTGGTTTGGTTTCTTTAAATAAATAAAAATTCATATTTGGCATTTGTGGCTTCATGCTATAGAAAAGCACAAAAAAGAGTGTTTTCAGCTTGTATTTTGATATAACAAAATGGTAATGTAATTAATGATAATCGTAGTTAATTATCGCAATTACAAATTCAAGGGAATAATCGGCAATTATGATTTTTGTCATAATCGTGCAGCCCCAGAGATGGGAACGTCGCTTCTCCGAGCGGAAAGATCCAAATGATCCCGCCGTCCACGTTACGCCTGGAGCTGAGAGGAGCCGAGGACGAGGAGTCGAGCGAACGCCCGACGCGACCCGAGAAACAGCTGGAGGACGAGGAGGAGGAGGAGGACTCCAGCTGGACCACGCTGTCCCAGGAGAGTCCGTCTGTGGAAACGCCTCCGGAAACAGGTGACGACCCTTAAAAAGTAACTAAATGCTTTACTTAGTTAATTTTAAAGAAAAGTAATGCGTTACATTATTGAGTTACTCCCTTAAAAAGTAACTAATTTCTTTACTCAGTTACTTTTAAAGAAAAGTAATGCGTTACATTATTGAGTTACTCCCTTAAAAAGTAACTAATTTCTTTACTCAGTTAATTTTAAAGAAAAGTAATGCGTTACATTATTGAGTTACTCCCTTAAAAAGTAACTAATTTCTTTACTCAGTTACTTTTAAAGAAAAGTAATGCGTTACATTATTGAGTTACTCCCTTAAAAAGTAACTAATTTCTTTACTCAGTTACTTTTAAAGAAAAGTAAAGCGTTACATTATTGCGTTACTCCCTTAAAAAGTAACTAATTGCTTTGCTCAGTAACTTTTAAAGAAAAGTAATGCGTTACATTATTGTGTTACTCCCTTAAAAAGTAACAAATTTCTTTACTCAGTTACTTTTAAAGAAAAGTAATGCGTTACATTATTGCGTTACTCCCTTAAAAAGTAACTAATTGCTTTACTCAGTTACTTTTAAAGAAAAGTAATGCGTTACATTATTGAGTTACTCCCTTAAAAAGTAACTAATTTCTTTACTCAGTTACTTTTAAAGAAAAGTAAAGCGTTACATTATTGCGTTACTCCCTTAAAAAGTAACAAATTTCTTTACTCAGTTACTTTTAAAGAAAAGTAATGCGTTACATTATTGCGTTACTCCCTTAAAAAGTAACTAATTGCTTTACTCAGTTACTTTTAAAGAAAAGTAATGCGTTACATTATTGTGTTACTCCCTTAAAAAGTAACTAATTGCTTTACTCAGTAACTTTTAAAGAAAAGTAATGCGTTACATTATTGTGTTACTCCCTTAAAAAGTAACTAATTGCTTTACTCAGTAACTTTTAAAGAAAAGTAATGCGTTACATTATTGCGTTACTCCCTTAAAAAGTAACTAATTGCTTTACTCAGTAACTTTTAAAGAAAAGTAATGCGTTACATTATTGTGTTACTCCCTTAAAAAGTAACTAATTGCTTTACTCAGTTACTTTTAAAGAAAAGTAATGCGTTACATTATTGTGTTACTCCCTTAAAAAGTAACTAATTGCTTTACTCAGTAACTTTTAAAGAAAAGTAATGCGTTACATTATTGTGTTACTCCCTTAAAAAGTAACTAATTGCTTTGCTCAGTAACTTTTAAAGAAAAGTAATGCGTTACATTATTGCGTTACTCCCTTAAAAAGTAACTAATTGCTTTACTCAGTAACTTTTAAAGAAAAGTAATGCGTTACATTATTGTGTTACTCCCTTAAAAAGTAACTAATTGCTTTACTCAGTAACTTTTAAAGAAAAGTAATGCGTTACATTATTGCGTTACTCCCTTAAAAAGTAACTAATTTCTTTACTCAGTTACTTTTAAAGAAAAGTAATGCGTTACATTATTGTGTTACTCCCTTAAAAAGTAACTAATTGCTTTGCTCAGTAACTTTTAAAGAAAAGTAATGCGTTACATTATTGCGTTACTCCCTTAAAAAGTAACTAATTTCTTTACTCAGTTACTTTTAAAGAAAAGAAATGCGTTACATTATTGCGTTACTCCCTTAAAAAGTAACTAATTTCTTTACTCAGTTACTTTTAAAGAAAAGTAATGCGTTACATTATTGCGTTACTCCCTTAAAAAGTAACTAATTGCTTTACTCAGTAACTTTTAAAGAAAAGTAATGCGTTACATTATTGCGTTACTCCCTTAAAAAGTAACTAATTTCTTTACTCAGTTACTTTTAAAGAAAAGTAATGCGTTACATTATTGCGTTACTCCCTTAAAAAGTAACTAATTTCTTTACTCAGTTACTTTTAAAGAAAAGTAATGCGTTACATTATTGCGTTACTCCCTTAAAAAGTAACTAATTGCTTTACTCAGTTACTTTTAAAGAAAAGAAATGCGTTACATTATTGCATTACTTTTTTCTCAGCTGGGCTGTGCTTGTTTTATTTTTAAAGTTCTATTTTTTGGCAAATGTTCTATATTTTAATTTACTATATATTATAATATATATAATAACGCTGAAGGAAATGCAAATTGACGCGTGTACAGTAGAGGGCGCCGCTCAATCCTTTCAGTTTAACTCGATCATCAGCAAATACATCGGTCAATAAAGTGAGATAAAATGCATACAAATATTTATTTTGGTTAACATTATTGGAGGTTCGCATTTTATTCTGATTTTGCATTTCGCTGATTTTATTCATTTTGAGAAATTGTGAATTTATTTGTTTTCCCAGTGAGATTTATTCTAGAATTACAATAACGATAAATTTACTCACAATATCTCTCAACATGAGGACAGGAGAGTCAGTCAATAAATGAGAAAACAAAGTAGCTCGCGTTACTTATTTGAAAAAGCAATTTGGATATTTTGTTGCAAATTTAAAAGTAATGTGTTACTTTACTAGTTACTTGAAAAAGTAACCTGATTATGTAACTTTTAGTTACTTGTAATGTGTTACACCCAACACTGATCAAAAGTACAGTACAGCTGAGCGGTCGTTATTATCATGTGGAATATCAGTCTCTGGGATTGTGTGGCGTCGCAGGAGTGTGGGAGGAGCCTCGGCTGAGGGAGTGTTTTTGGCGGGATCAGCCTGACCTGGAGGCGGAGCCACGGGCGAAGGGGGCGTGTCTTCCTGTGCCCTGCTCTAAAGCTCAGACGGAGGTACACACACATTCAGCAGACAATTTTATCCAAAGTGACTTACAAATGAGGAATACAGCAATCATAATGAGGCAATAAACACGGATATAAAGTTTCAGAATAATGCAAGCCTGTGTGCGTGTGTGTGTGTGTGTGTGTAGCGGCCCAGCAGTATCGTGTCGGACAGCTCTGTGGAGCCCGTTCCTTCGTCCGCCTCGTCACCCTCCTCTTCCTCGCTGTGTTACGAGGCGATGGGACGCGCCGCCAGTTTCCTCAACAACAACTACCTGGTAAACATGTCAAAATAAACACGTTCACTCGTGTCTGGACAGAGGAAACGAGCCGGAGAAGAGTCACACCTCAGAGGAGGCGGAGCCCACTTATGACATCATCACCATACACCAATGAGACTTCAGAGGCGTAACTTTCCCAGAAAGTTTCAAACTCCCGAAAACAAACTCAAAACGAACTTCATATTAGCCTGAATTTGTTCAAAATGACGTCACAAGTATATCAGAGCGGTGATGCTGTGAACCCTGCCAGTCGGTACAAATATTAAAGCTCAAAACTGATTTGTGTACATTTGTGTATTTAGGTTGCACATATGGCAATAATAATGTTAAAATAATAACCTTCTAATTAAATTATCGTATTTTTGCTCCTATTCATTTTTTTAAATATAAACATTTAAACAGTGACTTTCATAACTTGTTTTCGTAATTAATTTATTCAAACTAGGGATGGGCAACGATTAATCGCATCCAAAATAAAAGTTTGTGTTTACATAATATATGTGTGTGAAGTGTGTATAATTAATTTGTATATATAAATACCCACACATGCATGTATATATTTATGAAAAATGTGTTATCAATATATAAAATATTTATATTTATATATAATATTAATTGTGAATAAATATATATAAAATATATATATGCACATATTTCTTATAATATATACATGCATGTGTGGGTATTTATATATACAAATTAATTATACACACTACACCCTATATTATGTAAACACAAACTTTTATTTTGGATGCGATTAATCTTTGCCCATTTCCTAATTCAAACGCACATACAATAAGTTAAAATATAATGCATATGTAATAAAGTGTGTATACAGTCGTCAACAGTTGAAATGGATCTAAAGCTTTCATTAAAGATATACATGAATTTGAACAATACCCCTTCTTGTTTTAGCATATATATATATATATATACACACACTCACAGGAGTCAACATTTGAAGTGGATCAAAAAAGGTTAATCAAACTTTTCCTAAGACAAGAACGAGTATTGTTCAAAACTCATGTATAACTTTGATGAAAGGTTTTGATCCACTTCAAATGTTGACTAGTGTGTGTGTGTGTGTGTGTGTATATGCGCTATGGAAGGCAAGCAAATGTTTTCTGAGATTTGAGACTTTATGCAGGTTTTCTTCCGTTCTTTACAGGACCTGACGGAGACATGCGACTCCCGAGAGAAGCGTCGCGAGCGCGAGCGACAGGAGGAGCGCGAGAGAGAGCGCCAGATGAACCGAGAGAGTTTAGGAGCTCACGGCGGCCCGTACAGCTTCATCAACCACAGGTGAGGATCATGGGGGATATTAATCATAAACCCGCAGGACAGAATAAGTTTCATGCTGATCTCTATCCTCCCCAGAGCTAAAGTCCCATCAGCCCCTGCAGACACCGTCATACCCATCAACGACCTGGACACGCAGGTAACGGCTCTTCGACAGGTGTCAATCACACACGGGGCTCTAACTATAAAGATTAACACAACGAGCTGCAAAATATCAGCATTAAACCATGATGAGGAAGACACGCAATCACAAATAAAAATAACAACGAGGAATGACAAAACAAAGAACATACACAGACACCACAAAACTAAAATTAAATAATAATAATAAAGAATGACATAAAATAACAAACTAGTGCTTTTTTGCTTTTTTTAACCCTTGTGCATCAATTAAAAAAAAGTTAAACATAAAAAGAGGACAAAAATGTCCATGTCAAAAAACTGTCATAAAAATGTGACGCTTCGGAGCACAGACTTAAGTTTGGTATCATTTTATAGAAGACCCTTTGCAGATTATTGCTGAAGTAAAAAAATAATAATAAGTAAATAAAAAAAAAGTTATATAGGTATAAGTTTATATAAAATATATATTTTATAAATCAGGTTGAACTCAAAAATGCAATAAAATCAAAGCCATCAATCTAAATAGGTTGTGTTCCAAATTTGAGGTTGATTTCTCAATAAATGAGCTTTTGGTAACAGTTTGTTTGGGCGTAGTAACATATTTTCCCCATTGGGTGGCAGCAAAACCCCACTGGAGCTCACAGTGACTCTCTCAGTCTTACAAACACACACACATATTTTTTAATAACACACATACTAACCACACTCTGACATCCATACCAACACACCCACACAAATATCGTTGCATAATTTATCCAGTTGGCTCTATAATATGCCGAAGCAGAAAACAGGAATGAAGCGATATTTGTTTTATAGGCCAAACTTAAAAAAAATGAAACCATCTGATAAAAAAATAGTAAAAAATAAACATTTGAAGCCTTGCCATCAGAATGAAAGCCTCTGAACAAAGATTGCATAATTTTATAGTTAACTGAACCGGGGATTAAAAATGGCAGTTTTAATGGGGACATTTTTGTCCAAAAGGCGCTGAGAGGGAGTATTTTTTATACCTAATGCAAAAAATATTTTTAAGAAAATGATGGTGAAATAGTAAAATTCCAATAAAAATACACACCTGTGCCAAGTTTTTTGCAGTTAGCTTTAACACAAACAACAAACAAAACTGAAAAGGACAAAAATGGGGGTTAAAACTTCTAAAGTGCTTATTTTTTCCCAACAAAGCTGGGTGTTAATTTAACCACACGTTTTTCTGTCTCAGGGCCAAGCTGGCCTTTTCCTAGCCATAATGACAACACAAATAGTTTTGTGTTGAGCAAAACTCGTCTAGACGCGCAGAGTTAACGTTATTTTATTTTCACGTTATTTTTTACGTGAATGTGTGCACACAAATTACCATGGCCATTCATAATATCAGCGCTGTTTACCACATACCTCATCATTTGATGAATGATGTCCCGATGTTAAGATGCTGATGATCCGGTGACCCAGCTCGCTCCGGTACAGCTCCTTTCAGAAATCGGCAACTCCAAACATTTGCCCTCCTCACATCCGTGGTTTCCAAACGGACACAGTAAAATCCACTTTATGGCGTTTTCGACCTAAATGTACTGACTAAATCCTAAACGAAGTCTAGTAACTTACTGGTTGCTAATTCCGTGGATTAATTTACGTGTACCGTGTGATTTTACACGTAAAAAAAGACGGAGCGTTCAGTAATGTTATTATTATCTAGCAATTTATTTTCCTGCATATCATACAGCAGCAATATCTTAACTCATAATGTAACAAACAACAAACCGTATTATTTAACCCAAGCGCAAGACACTGGGCACAATCGAAAACTGTTTGCTTCTCAATCAGCGACACCTGTGTCTGAGTTTCCTAAAGACTCACCCGAGCTGACCTGAGATCAGCCCCCTAGTGGCACAGCACAAAATGACAAATAAAGAATGAATATGGCTCATACAAATATTAATACATAATATTAATAATGGTAATGATGAGGGATGACATGAATTGCACAGAATATTTTTAAATTATATTAATGACAACAAAGGATGATATAAAGTAACATAGACACTAGAAATATTAAATAAAAAAGCAGTAAACAGTGACGCCGTGTGGCACTGCCTGTAACTACAGCTGAGCAGCAGTTTGAAGCAATGCATTGTAGGAACAGAAGAATGACATCATCTTTAGGTTCAATGAGAAACAGCTGATGTCTAATATTGAAGATTGTTATATTTGAGATTTTTTTCTTAATATTTTGAACACCTTTGTACAATTATGCTGCTTTATCTTAATTAAAAAGGAATACATCAGGTTGATCAGATCAATAGAATTTATAGTGTTAAAGGGATAGTTCAGCTAAAAATGAAAATTAGCCCATGATTTATTCGCCCTGAAGTCATTCTAGGTGTATATGACACTCTTCTTTCAGATGAATATAATCAGAGTTATATAAAAAAATGTTCTGGCTCTTCCAAGCTTTATAATGGCAGTGAATGGGTATATATTTTTGGAATTGCATCCATCCATCATAAAAGTGCATCTGTCCATCATAAAAGTGCATCTGTCCATCATAAAAGTGCATCTATCCATCATAAAAGTGCATATATCCATCATAAAAGTGCATCTGTCCATCATAAAAGTGCATCTATCCATCATAAAAGTGCATCTGTCCATCATAAAAGTTCATCTATCCATCATAAAAGTGCATCTGTCCATCATAAAAGTGCATCTGTCTATCATAAAAGTGCATCTATCCATCATAAAAGTGCATCTATCCATCATAAAAGTGCATCTGTCCATCATAAAAGTGCATCTATCCATCATAAAAGTGCATCTGTCCATCATAAAAGTGCATCTATCCATCATAAAAGGGCATCTGTCCATCATAAAAGTGCATCTATCCATCATAAAAGTGCATCTGTCCATCATAAAAGTGCATCTATCCATCATAAAAGTGCATCTATCCATCATAAAAGTGCATCTGTCCATCATAAAAGTGCATCTGTCCATCATAAAAGTGCATCTATCCATCATAAAAGTGCATCTATCCATCATAAAAGTGCATCTGTCCATCATAAAAGGGCATCTGTCCATCATAAAAGTGCATCTATCCATCATAAAAGTGCATCCGTCCATCATAAAAGTGCATCTATTCATCATAAAAGTGCATCTGTCCATCATAAAAGTGAATCTGTCCATCATAAAAGTGCATCTGTCCATCATAAAAGTGCATCTGTCCATCATAAAAGTGCATCTGTCCATCATAAAAGTGCATCTGTCTATCATAAAAGTGCATCTATCCATCATAAAAGTGCATCTATCCATCATAAAAGGGCATCTGTCCATCATAAAAGTGCATCTATCCATCATAAAAGTGCATCTGTCCATCATAAAAGTGCATCTATCCATCATAAAAGTGCATCTGTCCATCATAAAAGTGCATCTATCCATCATAAAAGGGCATCTGTCCATCATAAAAGTGCATCTATCCATCATAAAAGTGCATCCGCCCATCATAAAAGTGCATCTATTCATCATAAAAGTGCATCTGTCCATCATAAAAGTGAATCTGTCCATCATAAAAGTGCATCTGTCCATCATAAAAGTGCATCTGTCCATCATAAAAGTGCATCTGTCCATCATAAAAGTGCATCTGTCTATCATAAAAGTGCATCTATCCATCATAAAAGTGCATCTATCCATCATAAAAGTGCATCTGTCCATCATAAAAGAGCATCTATCCATCATAAAAGTGCATCTATCCATCATAAAGTGCATCTGTCCATCATAAAAGAGCATCTATCCATCATAAAAGTGCATCTGTCCATCATAAAAGTGCATCTGTCCATCATAAAAGTGCATCTGTCCATCATAAAAGTGCATCTGTCCATCATAAAAGTGCATCTATCCATCATAAAAGGGCATCTGTCCATCATAAAAGTGCATCTATCCATCATAAAAGTGCATCCGTCCATCATAAAAGTGCATCTATTCATCATAAAAGTGCATCTGTCCATCATAAAAGTGAATCTGTCCATCATAAAAGTGCATCTGTCCATCATAAAAGTGCATCTGTCCATCATAAAAGTGAATCTGTCCATCATAAAAGTGCATCTGTCCATCATAAAAGTGCATCTGTCCATCATAAAAGCAGAATAACAGAAATGTCCAATCACTGCGATTATAAAGTTTGGAAGAGCCAGGACATTTTTAATATAACTCAGATTGTGTTGGTCTGAAAGAAGAGTGTCATACACACATAGGATGCGTTCAGGATGAGTAAATCATGGGCTAATTTTCATTCTTGGGTGAACTGTCCCTTTAAGAGAGGAGCTGAGGTGTGTGTGCTGGTGTGGTTGCAGGTGTTCTGGGTCCAGTATCTGGGCTGGTTGGAGGTTCGGGAGGCAGACGTGACGTGTGGGAAGAGCGGCTCGACGGTCAGCGACTGCATCCAGCAGCTTCAGCGACGCAGGGAGAACGACAGCGACCGGACGAGGGTGAGACGGTTCACATCTGAAGAACTGATATATTTTACAGGATGTTAAAGTTATGACTTTTTGAGGCTCAGAGAAACCCTCACACGTCTCTCTCGTTCTCTCGTTTAGAGACAGACGATGCTACTGGTCCTGCAAGATGTCACTCTCAGCCTCATCGACGCCACTGACCACACCCTCCTGCACTCTCAGCCAATCAGCTGCATCCGCGTTTGGGGAGTGGGGCGGGGCCTCAGCAGGTCAGACATTTTCCCCTCAAGCCTTTGTAACTCCATTAAAGGAGTCCTTTAATGCCCTTTCACAAGATGTAAAATAAATCTCTGATGTCCCCAGTGTGTGTGTGTGTGTGTGTGTGTGTGAAGCTTCAGCTCAAAATACCCCACAGATATTTGTAAATAGCATGTTAAAGTTTTTTGAGGGTGAGCAGAAACGCACCGGTTTTGTGTGTGTCCCTTTAAATGCAAATGAGCTGCTGCTCCCGGCACAGGGGGCGGAGCTAGCTCTGATTACCTCACACACACATGCACTGACAATTTCAAACAAGTTTTAGTCTTTTATGTTTAAACCAGAGTCACTACACAACAAATAACAGCACACTTGTTTATTTGCTTTGAACCAATATGAAGATTAATAAGCATTTAGATAACAGGAAATACTGTTATCTAAACTGTTATATTCCAACAGTCCTGTATTATTAATCTGTCCATCTAAAACACATTTATGGTGAAAAGGATGAAAGAGAATGATGTTTCATGGAAATTTTTTTTTGCTCTGTTTTTCTGAATTAATGAGTTAATTTTTCATGAAATTTTTTTTGCTCTGTTTTTCTGAATTAATGAGTTAATTCAGAAAAACAGCTAAATAAATTTCTCATGAAAAATTAACTCATTAATTCAGAAAAACAGAGCAAATTTTTTTTTTCCTCATGAAACACGACACGTTATGCAACAAACAGTAAGATACTACAGTCACATGATCTTATGTTGTGTATTTAATTCAGTGATCAGCATCACATACACATAAATGTCCTTATTTTATTATCCAGTGTGTGTAAGGCAGTGTTTCACGACCTTTCAATATTTCAAAAATGTGTTTCACACACCCTACATTAGAGTTATCTCGATACTGGAGTTTAATTTTAATAAGATACCTTGAAAAATATCAATATTCAATACCATTTTTGATACCAGAGTTTCATATATTTTTTATATTATCACATTTTTTTATTTTAATTTTTAATTTTTATTTTTCATTTATTGGTCAATTACCATTAAAACACCTGAAGGTCTGCTCAGTTTGTGTATTTGTGTTTTTACTATGGGCTAATGAATTGCAGTAGCACTAGATAGTTGATTTCACACTTAAAAAAGACAAGTAAACGTCCAGTAATTTGATTAGCGTGTTAATTAGGCTGCTGTCACTTTAAGAGCTGACACAGTTATACACACGTTACTGAACTGTGTACGCTCATTAGTCTGAACCGGGTGTGTTTATGTGAATACAACACAACACGGACATTCTGGCAATATTTGTGTGTGTGTTTGACCGTTTAAGAGCAACACGTGGCGAAGAAAGAAATCAGTTTGGCACTGGCGAGTGTTTGAGAGGATGCGGTGTGTGTGTGTGTGTGTGTGTAGTGAAGATTATGCACAATCCAATGCCAAAATTCAGACAAACCCTTCTAATAATATTCAGTGTGCTGACATTGCATTTTTTTTTTAATAATTTATATTTTTGGCAGCAGTTTTTTGCACTAAGTGTATATTGCAATATGTATTATATATGTAATATATATACTATATATTTATAATATGTAATCGCAAGTGTATTATATATATATATATATATCATATGTAATCGCAAGTGTATTTTATATATATATATATATATATATATTTATAATATGTAATCGCAAGTGTATTTAATATATATATATATATATATATATATATTTATAATATGTAATCGCAAGTGTATTTTATATATATATATATATATATATATATATATTTATAATATGTAATCGCAAGTATATTATATATATATATATATATATATATATATATATATATATATATATATATATTTGTAATATGTCATCGCAAGTGTATTTTCTAGATGCTGTGGTTAGATGCTATAATTGCATCTCAGTTTATTATGTTTTTATATTTATTATTATATTAAAAACAGAATGCAATAATAACATCATATTCAGTGCGTATGATTATATTTATTATATCATTACACACACACAGATCTGTGACCTCATATTTATTATATCATTACAGCCCCTAAAGCCTTACCCGGTTAATACAATATTCCCTCTATTAAATACACGTTTTATTCGTACCTTTAGATTATTTTCTTAATATTAATTTAAATTAAACTCCATGCTGATGTGTGATGGGTAACGGGAGAAAAATGACTTCAGTAAAAGTTGGATTTGAACTCGTGTGTGTCTCACGTCACTGATCCCTCAGACAGGTCTTGATTGGCTGAATCCGGCACTGGTGGGCGGGGTTACGGTAAACAGCCTATTTGCATGTGGCGTAAATATACATACTATATATTGTATGGTTGTGCACCTGATTTATTATTCTGACAGTGTTTGGGATTTGGGTATTTCATGCATAAACTGCAGAAATCAGAGTATGAGGGGAAGTGGAGTGCAGTGCATTGTGGGATACAGTATGCGTCTTTTCTAGTGATTTACTGCACATTTTAGACAATTCCTGTGTGCCCAGTACACACTGCAGGAGGGATGATACGAGAAGCTGTTCTGCTGTGATAAATGAATGTCTCTCTCTCTCTCTCTCTCTCTCTCCCCTGAGGAAGATGAAAGCTTTAGTGTTCAGTGTTAATGGCAGAGACGTGTTGGAGAGACGCAGAGAGTGATGAGAGACATTACAGCGCTCACTCTCTCTCTGTGTGTGTGTGTGTGTTGCTGATTCTGAACCATAAACCACACCGATTCACTGACTCCAGCGCAGAGCGGATCTCTCCCCACGACAGTGACGGCATAGACCGAGAGCAAGGCTTTATTATATCATATTATATTATATTATATTATATTATATTATATTATATTATATTATATTATATTATATTATATTATATTATATTATATGTCGGTGTGAGATCAGGAGAGATCAGACCTTATGGGGGAATCTCACCAAAGAAATGTGAACCATTTTTATGATCTTTTAATATCATTCAACATGAGTTATAGAACATAAACTACACTAATCCCAAAATATCCAGTCACACACTTCACTACCAACACAACACACACTGATTTAGTGCACTGACTCTGGATATGTACACTACAGTACGTGCCCTCATACGAACCCGCTTTAGTGATGATTAGGAAGTGTTGTCGGTGTCGTTGAGTTGGTGTGTGTAGATGTACAGTGCAGTACCAGCTTGAGCCAGCAGGAGCCGCCACACACACACACACACACACTTCACCAGCTAAGCCCAGATGTTACAGCATACACACTATCGGTTGTGTCCCTAATGATTCATAAGCACTATGTCGAGTGTATGAATTGTCCAACATCAATTAATGAAGTGCATCATTGGGAATTTAAAGCGCCTTTCTCTTTTCAGTGAAAACACAACTCTATTTATAGAACAGACAGAGCTGTGCTGTTGTGTTGAACAAATAGTGTTGTGTTTTCACTGAAAATACTAAAGAGAAAGAGTGCGCTTTAAATTCCCCCATGATGCACTTGATTAATTGACGTTGGACACTTTAATGGCTGTTCTCAAAGAGAAACTGTATGTATTGAGGAAAAATTAGGAATTCATTTCAGTTTTGTTATTTAGTTTTTAATTCAGTTTTTGTAAAAAAAAATAAGAGAGAGATAGAGAGAGATTGAGTGGCACACACTCACTCCCACACACACACACACACACACACACACTGTTTTTCTGTTCTATACAATATGAATGAGTGTTTGGGATGGATGAAGTCATTGCTCTATATCTGGAGCACTCAGCATTTTGTGTGTCTGTGAACACGTGGGTTTGTAGCGATGAGGTCACAGGTCTACATATGGTGTGTGTGTGAGAGAGAGAGAGAGAGAGAGAGAGATTGGTCAACTCCTCCCTCTTTTGTGGCATCGCTGTTTCATACTGATAGTGAAACATTCTCTTATTTCACCTAATAAACGCTGACGTGTGTTTCATTCGGTTTAACTCTGACAGTAAGACGAACAGGTTTTTTTTTTACAGATTTTTTTCTATTTGTTCCTAATTTAACAGAGAGAGAGAGAGAGAGAGAGAGAGAGAAGGGTCTTTCGGTGGGTTTGGCTCTCAGAGAGTGTGTGTGTGTGTGTGTTTGCGGAGGGAGTGACGGATCAGAGAGAGACGAGGAGGACGAGAGACCGGAATCAGTGTGTGTGTTTGAGCTGATGCTGGTCGTCGTGGCGATGGGAGTAATGAGCCAGAGTGCGGCTGGATGCTGATGATTGACATCAGTGTGAGTAACACACACACACACATATAGCTGCTGCTGTTTCCGTGCACTGGTGTGTGTGTGTGTGTGTGTGTGTGTGTGTGTTTCGTTTTACTTCTTGGGGGACGATTGTCAGCTTTATTGGGTCTTTTTGTGTTTGTGTTAGTCTGCTGCCATGATTGTTAGTTTTATGTAAAAGTAAGTCTATTGCTGGTGCTCAGTTGGACTAGATGAACATGATTGTGTGTGTGTGTGTGTGTGTGTGTGTGTGTGTTTACACTATTACTGATTTGTGTACAGCGTAAAAAGTACACACATTTTGCATGCAAAATTATGCAAATAAAGGAGTAATGCAAGGGTAAAAATGCAGTGAGAGAGACTGTGTGTGTGTGTGTGAATGTTTTATGACTTTTGCTGTTCTGCAAATGTGAGCAAAATACAGTCAGACTGTCTCCGAGGGTTTGTATGGAGGCGATAGATATTAATGACATGCTGAAACAATCACAATCTATTGGGAAAAGGAGAGAAAGAGGCAGTGATTGAGTGTGTGTGTGTGTGTAAGTAAGTGTTGAGGTGTTATAAGGTGGGGATTTGAGTAATTAATCCAATGTTAATTATACAAAAATGTATGATTATTAGAAAAAAGTAAACACAAAGGTCCACCCCTGAACATCACTGGGGCGTAATCCAGCAGCTCTGGTTGCTAGGTTGTTGCTGGGGTGTTTTGAATGGTTGCTGGGGTGTTCTGGGTGGTTGTTAGGGTGTTTTGAATAGTTTAGTTGGTTGTTGGGGTGGTTGCAATGGTGTTCTGTGTGATTGAAAGGGTGTTGTGGGTAGTTGCTAAGGGTGTTTTGGGGTTGCTAGGGTGTTTTGAATGGGTTTTCTGGTTGTTGGGGTGTTCTATTGTGGGTCGTTTGGCTGGTTGCGAGGCTGTCCTGAATGGTTGTTAGGGTGTTTTGAATGGGTTTTCTGGTTGTCGGGGTGTTCAGTTTGGTTTATATCTGGTGTTAATGCGTCTCAGTTCCTTCTTAAATGTGCGTTTGTGGAATTTATTAATCTCGTTTATAGTGAAAATGAAGCGTTTGATTGCTTAATAAAGTAGCAACACACTCTCCTTAACAACAACAACAGATGATTTTAGAATTCATTCATGACTGTAGGTCACATAGACAGTTTGGTACACGTGCTTAATGTGCGTTTGTATTCATATTTAGTTTGCCAGTGTGAGTTGAAAGTATAATGTGATTCCTCATCATCATCATCATCAACATACTCATTACAGTTTTACCCCTGACTCACTTTTGAAAAGTACTTTTCTCCATATGCGTGTGTTTGCAGACAGACAGAATGGGTTCATCACTGGGGCTCTGAGACTTCACACACACACACACACACACACCTGTGATTTAACGTGTCAGCTTAAGTCTCTTCATGTGCAGGTAAAGAGCAGAGACAGGCGGAGATCCTGTGAGTCTGTCCCATATGTTTTATAGTTCCCTCAGAGCTTCAGTTCATGACATTTATAGTGAAATTCTGTTTTCAGACATAAAAGCCACATTCACACTGCAGAGTTTCTGCGTGACAGTCGCATCTAAATGCAGAAGAAGAGCGTAAACTCATGAACCCTTGATGATCCGCCTCTCTCAGCCTTGAAACATTGACAATTTAACCCGTTCGGAGGAACACAACGTCTCATTCACAACTACTGAACTGCCACTTGGTGGATCAGATACAGGGTAGCATTCAACTACTCCTTTGGTAACACAACATTCGGTAACAACATTAGGTAACACTCCTTTGGTTATACTGCTTCGGTAACACTACATTCAGTAACACTACATTCAGTAACACTACATTCGGTAACACTCCTTCGGTAACACTCCTTCGGCAACACTACATTCAGTAACACTACATTCAGTAACACTACATTCATTAACACTACATTCAGTAACACTCCTTCGGCAACACTCCTTCAGTAACACTACATTCGGTAACACTCCTTCGGTAACACTACATTCGGTAACACTCCTTCGGTAACACTCCTTCAGTAACACTACATTCGGTAACACTACATTCGGTAACACTCTTTCGGTAACACTACATTCGGTAACACTCCTTCGGTAACACTACATTCAGTAACACTCCTTCGCAACACTACATTCGGCAACACTCCTTCGGTAACACTCCTTCGGTAACACTACATTCGGTAACACTACATTCAGTAACACTCCTTCGGCAACACTACATTCGGCAACACTCCTTCGGTAACACTCCTTCGGTAACACTACATTCGGTAACACTCCTTCGGCAACACTCCTTCGGTAACACTACATTCGGTAACACTCCTTCGGTAACACTCCTTCGGTAACACTCCTTCGGCAACACTCCTTCGGTAACACTACATTCGGTAACACTCCTTCGGTAACACTCCTTCGGTAACACTACATTCGGTAACACTCCTTCGGTAACACTACATTCGGTAACACTCCTTCGGTAACACTCCTTCGGTAACACTACATTCGGTAACACTACATTCGGTAACACTACATTCGGTAACACTCCTTCGGCAACACTCCTTCGGTAACACTACATTCGGTAACACTCCTTTGGTAACACTCCTTCGGTAACACTCCTTCGGTAACACTACATTCGGTAACACTCCTTTTGTAACACTCTCTCGGTAACACTACATTCAGTAACACTCCTTTGGTAACACTACATCGGTAACACTACATTCGGTAACACTACATTCGGCAACACTCCTTCGGCAACACTCCTTCGGCAACACTCCTTCGGTAACACTCCTTTGGTAACACTCCTTCGGTAACACTCCTTCGGTAACACTACATTCGGTAACACTCCTTTTGTAACACTCTCTCGGTAACACTACATTCGGTAACACTCTTTCAGTAACACTTCTTCGGCAACTCAACATTCAGTAACACTCCTTTAGCAACACTCCTTCGGTAACACAACATTGTTAACCTTTTATCATATGTCTTGGAGTATCGTTATAATATCGTATCGTGAGTTCAGTATTGTGATATGTATAGGATCGTGACATGAGGGCATCGTTATACCCCTAACATCGACTGCATCAAGCAGGTCACGGACAGAACGGCATCTTTAAAAACACGCCATAAAGTTCTTTCAGAGGAATTAGCTCTTTATTATTAAAGGACATTGCCTCTGTTATACGCCGCTGAAGCTCCCGGGGGAACTTCTCACACTCATCTGTGCCGTTAAGAGAGCGAGAGCGCTTGCATGTGCTCTATGGATCCAGCTGAGGTGAAGGGCAGGATTTGCTTCTCATCCCTAGAGACCCGATGCTTCGCCTCTGAAGAACAAACTAGAGTGTGTGTGTTTATAGGCCAGGCATGCAAATCCACACGGCAAACTTCACTGGCCTTTTCTGAACACATTTGAGGTGCTCGCGGCTCCAACTCATTCCACACAACGACAAAGAGAGCGGCAGAAAAGGGAAAAAAAAAAAAACGTTTTTGTTTAAAATTTATTTTTACATTTGTTTTATTCAATTGATTATTAATTCATTTAGATTTTTTTGCATATTTTTAAAATAAATGTATTGTTTTATTTTGTTTATTTTTTAAAAAAGAAATTACATTTAATTGATTATTAAAATCTTTTATTGCTTCTGAAAGGGTTTATTTAAATTTTTTATTGTATAATTATTTATTGTAATTTAAATTTTTAAATGAACAATTCATGTTAAATAAAATATTAAAAATTAAACTTTTTTTCAGCTAGTTGACAAGGAAACATTTCTCAATTCACAGACAAAAATGAATGAAAAAACAAATACCAACATTAAATAAAATATTAAAAATAACAATAAATACTACAAACAAAATTACTAAAACTTTAACTAAAATTAAAATAGAAATATAACAATAAAAACATTGAAAATTTTATTAAAAACTTTAGTATCTCAGTTATACTAAAATAACAGTGACGTGTTTGTGAGTTTTGTAGCAGCGTTTGCTCAGATTGAGCCTCAGGAAGCGTTTGCTGCATCAGTTTGACTGTGTTGAAGCAAATTTTGAATGTCACCAGTGACACTGAAACACGGCCACGAAACCATTAACCTTTACATTCATCACACACACATATAAATTCCTCTACCTATTCTCTCACGTGTCTCTCTCTCTGATGGATGATTTCTGTTCCTGGTGTCTCATTAGCTGCTGATTAAATGCTCTTCGATCTGTGTGTAATATATAATTTCATCCTGTGGGATCCCCAGATGTTTTTTTTTCAGCTAAACCTCTTTGAGCTCAGATATTAACTTAGATTTTGAATTAATATTTCAATAAGTGTGTAGCGCAGTCACATGTTCATGGCTCTCTGATGTTAGTCAATAGTCATATGACATGCTTTTTTTTTACTGAAAATTCCCCCTATGGTGAAAATCCAGCTTTTAATGTTGTTTATGTCTTTTTAATACGTTTAAACCGTGTGTAAGTTGATAAGTGGACAGCATTGCTGATTATTTCCTCCTTAAAACTGCAGTGAACCAAAGACAGTCTCAAAAACACGCTTTGAAATCGCTGGTGTTTCTGACGTCACAAACCACCTTGTAACCAATCAGATCAACGTGTGATCCTCAAGTGGCGGGGCTCATTTGCATATTCATAGAATCACGAATACTAAATGAGGCAAGGGTGTCAAGTTACATTCAAGATATTTTAAGGCAGGAAGGAATTTTCAAGGAAAAAGTATTTATTGCTTCAATGAGCTCATTGTTTCTGCATTAAATTATTACATGGTTTAAATTAACACATTTTTCGCTGACTGTTATTTTGTACATGTACATATCTGAAATACATAACATAGACAGTTTCCTCTAACAGATCAATTGTAATGTGGACTCATCATTTCAAAGCAGCTTTACAGAAAGTGCATGTGTATTGTGAAAAGCGCTATACAAATAAATGTGAATTTAATTGAAAAAAAAAACGTTTAAATATATAATTTTGGTGATCAAAGATGATTTTAACAGATAAAATGATTGACTGAAGGGGGACTTTAATTTAAATTTTTTTTTAGATGTAATTGCCTTTTATTAAGCGTTTTATTTTCATTGCTTTTTTGAATTTAATTTGTTTTATTTATATTGTTTTTTATAAAAATATTGTTGGCTTTAATCTGGTTTATTAATGCAGACGTTTGAAGGAAACCGATTGTTGCTTCACGAACGTCTCTGTTGTTGTGTTTCAGGGATTTCGCGTATGTGGCCCGTGACAAGAACACGCGTGTGTTGAAATGCCACGTGTTTCAGTGTGAGAGTCCTGCAGAAACCGTGGCCAGCAGCCTGAAGCTGATCTGCTCGACGGTGAGGAGGAGCAACACACACTCACACCGCAAGAAAACACACACATTCTTATGGACAAATTGAATCACTAATCACGTATTTATTATCTGGCTTAAAAATCCTCAGATTAAAACGCTCAGATTAAAACGCTCAGATTTATACGGTCAGATTAATATGCTCAGATTAATACGCTCAAATTTATACTCAGATTAATACGCTCAGATTAATATGCTCAGAATAAAACGCTCAGATTAATACGCACAGATTAATACGCTCAGATTAAAACGCATAGATTAATACGCTCAGGTTAAAACGCTCAGATTTGTACGGTCAGATTAATACGCTCAGGTTAAAACGTTCAAATTTATACGCTCAGATTAATATGCTCAGAATAAAACGCTCAGATTAATACGCTCAGATTAAAACGCTCAGATGAATATGCTCAGATTAAAACGCTCAGATTAATATGGTCAGATTAATATGCTCAGGTTAAAACGTTCAAATTTATACGCTCAGATTAAAATGCTCAGAGTAATACGCTCAGATTAATACGTTCAGATTAAAACACTCAGATTAATACGCACAGATTAATGCGCTCAGATTAAAACACTCAGATTAATACGCACAGATTAATGCGCTCAGATTTATACGCTCAGATTAAAACATTCAGATTAATACGCACAGATTAATACGCACAGATTAATGCGCTCAGATTAATACGCACAGATTAATGCGCTCAGATTTACGCTCAGATTAATACGCACAGATTAATACGCTCAGATTAAAACGCTCAGATTAATACGCTCAGAATAAAATGCTCATAATAATACGCTTAGATTACGCTCAGATTAAAACGCTCAGATGAATACGCTCAGAATAAAACGCTCAGATTAATGTCCTGCAGGAGGATGAAGCGATCAAGGCTTTTCTTCAGTTGTTCTGCTTGTTTTCTCAGATCATGGCCGAGCGCAAGAGTGTGTGTGCCGGCGCAGGATCCTCGTCTCAGTTCAGTTCAGATGTTCCTCTGACAGGTGAGAGATTCACACACGCTTAGATGTACAGTCACATGACCTGTCAAATATGAACTCTGAGGATTATGAGCTTTGACAACAAAGACAATAAAAAAAATCATAAAAAGAAATTTCCTAATATATAGTAATTTATTTATTTTTTTGAGCTTAACATAGCAAAAAAAAAAAAAACAATAAAAAAATTAAACAATAAAAAATTGTTTATTATAAAAATTTCCACGATTTTTTTTTTAGCTTGTATTCTACAAGCTTGTATTTTAGCTTCCATTACTTTGTCAGGTCGAAAAATCACGCTTTTTAAAATTTCCTCGTATATGCAGGTTTTCGAAGACTTGAAGACTAAAATATGATATTGGTTTTTAGCAGTTTTAGCTTTTGTAAGTCTGTAATGTAATAGTTTTTAAAATAAATTAGTATTCACACACAATTTAGATTACTCTACAAAACTCGTTTTGATCAAACGTTTACAGTGTGTGAATCACATGACGCTAATCCTCATATTTCATTGGTCAGTGATGTTTTTAGTTCACAGAGATTCATTATTTCGTTGTTACATCTAAATATAAATTTATTCATGTGTTTTGAAATGAACTTTTTCCCCAAACCAAAGTATTTACGTTCAGAACCTCGCCAAAAAAGAAAATAAAAGATATTATAAAAATCTGGATTTCCCGCCACAGATGATTTTTAGCTCCATTTGGCGGATGGGCTGGTGTTAGTTTTAAACCCTGCGTGTGTGTGTGTGTGTGTGTATAGAGGAGTCCATAAATAAAGTGTGTGTGACGGGACACGCTGACCTCAGAACAAGCTTTATTTCATTAGGTCTGTGATCTGCAATGATCAGAGATATGGAGAGAACAGCTCTTCATCTTCATCTTCCTCACAGCAGCTCCACACACACACTCATCCAGCAGAAACTATCCGTAGTCATAATGCAAAATGCCCAGTCCAGGATTTCTCGTTCCCGAGGGACCCATTGTTCTGTTTTCATCATACACCAAGAGCTGTGTGTGTGTGTGTGTGATGAGTTTAGAGCGATGATTCCCTTCTGTGATGTTCAGGTCCTGTTTCTCATCTGTGTGTTTCTCAGTAGAGTTTCCAACACCAAAGACTGACCAACAACACAGTTTCCATGTGTTTTACCTGGGAATGACATCAGTACTGAGACCGATAGGTAACACACACACACACACACACTCACTCGTCAAAGTTGGTCCAGTGTAAGTGTCCTGAACTGGTGTGTGTTTCAGGCATGGACATGATAAACGCCGCGGTGGAGAGTCTGATGTCCTCGGCGGGGAAAGAGGATTGGACGCCCGTCCTGCTCACCGTCGCCGACGCCACCATCACTGTCAGCAAAGAGAAGGTCTCGCTTTCTTCAAACCATTCCTGTGTGTTTCTACCCTGAAACTGTGTGTGTGTGTGTGACACGCTAGAATCAGAGACCTCAAACCGTCTTCATCCGCCGGACACTAGGTGGCGCTTAAAAGGGTTAATTCACCCAAAAATTTAAATTCTGTCAGTATTTCCTCACCCTCATGTTGTTCCAACCCCGTAAGACCTTCGTTCATCTTCGCAACACAAATTAAGATATTTAAGATATTAAGATCGCTCCTGTATACTAGTCCATAGGCTTCTTGAGGGAATGACTCGAAAAGTCATTAAAGACATCGTTAAAATAGTCCAAGTGACTACAGTGGCTCAATCTTAACTTTATCAAACGACGAGAACACTTTTTGTGCGCAAAAATAACGACTTTATTTCAACTATTCGTTTATTTCTCCCTCTGCGCGAGTCAGGTTCCTAGTTTAATAGCGTAAGCTTCTGTTATTGTACGTCACACGCATCACACACATGACCAGCGTCGGCCAATAGTGAGCCTACGTGTGACATAGCTTTACGCAATCACACTACGTTAACTGACTACAGGCCCATGGAGAAGGAAGTGAATAGTTGAAATAAAGTCGTTATTTTTGTTGTTTTTTGCGCACAAAAGTGTTCTCGTCGTTTGATAAAGTTAAGATTGAGCCACTGTAGTCACTTGGACTATTTTAACGATGTCTTTAATGACTTTTCGAGTCATTCCCTCAAGAAGCCTATGGACTAGTATACAGGAGCGATCTTAATATCTTAAATATCTTAATTTGTGTTGTGAAGATGAACGAAGGTCTTACGTGTTTGGAACAACATGAGGGTGAGTAAATACTGACAGAATTTTCATTTTTGGGTGAACTAACCCTTTAAGCAGATTCACAGTTTTACCATAAACAATAGATCACACACTAAAGTAAAAACAAACACAAAAAGCACATTCATTTCTATAGACAAACATTTCGAACTAATCCATGGCGGTTTCTCTGAAATATGTCAAAATGTATCAAAATATGTATTTTTTAATTTCTCAGATAGAAGCCAATGTAATTTTGTGGTGTGACTGACGCATGATGATTGATATTGAGTAATTTGGAGTCATTCTCTGGTTTGGCAGAGATATCTGTGGTCCATTAAGGACTCATTTATCTGTATATTGTGAGTTTAAATGTCAAAATGACTCAAAGCGTGTTCCATACGGACACCGGGACAATCTGGGACACGACACATTTATCTCTTTCCAATCCGCTCGGACCCTGATGGCACATTCGCAGTTATTCCAAACGCCTGCGGTGACACCGGACGGACGGGTTATTGTTGTCGTTTCTCTTCTGTTTGGGTTAGGAAGAGGAGCAGGAGGTCATAGTGGAGTGTCGAGTGCAGTTCCTGTCTTTCATGGGTGTGGGACGCGACGTTCATACGTTTGCCTTCATCATGGACACGGGAAACCAGCACTTCCAGTGTCACGTGTTCTGGTGCGAACCCAACGCGGGGAGCGTGTCGGAGGCCGTGCAGTCGGCCTGTGTGGTGAGTGACGCCTGTTTCTCACTTAAAGAATATCGCAGGTTAAATACATTACACATAATTTGATGCGAGACTAAATTTTAGGTTCTTGAATGACCTTAAATGTTTTTCGAACGAACGCAAAAAAAGCATTTGAGAAAAGTTTCTTGAACGAATGCAAAAGTTTCTTGAACAAATGTAAACATTTCTTCAGCGAATGCTGAAGTTTCTCAAACGAACGTTAAAGTCTCTTGAGTAAACGTTAAAGTTTCTCGAACGAAGGCAAAATTTTGTAACCGTTTCTTGAACGAACATAAAAGTTTCTTTAACACAATTTTTTTTTCGAGCAAATGCAAAAGTTTCTTGAATGAACATGAAAGTTTCTCAAAGAACGCAAAAATTTTTCAAACGAATGCAAAAGTTTCTTGAACGAAAGTAAAAGTTTCTTTAAGAAGCACAATTTTTCCCCGAGCAAAGACGAAACTTTCTCGAACGAATGCAAAAGTTTCTTGAATGAACGTGATGGTTTCTCAAACAAACTCAAAAGCTTCTCAAACAAACGCAAACGTTTCTCTAACGAATGCAAAAGTTTCTTGAACGAAAGTAAAAGTTTCTTTAAGAAGCACAATTTTTTCCCGAGCAAAGACGAAACTTTCTCGAACGAATGCAAAAGTTTCTTGAATGAACATGAAGGTTTCTCAAACAAACTCAAAAGCTTCTCAAACAAACGCAAACGTTTCTCTAACGAATGCAAAAGTTTCTTGGACGAAAGTAAAAGTTTCTTTAAGAAGCACAATTTTTCCCCGAGCAAAGACGAAACTTTCTCGAACGAATGCAAAAGTTTCTTGAATGAACATGAAGGTTTCTCAAACAAACTCAAAAGCTTCTCAAACAAACGCAAACGTTTCTCTAACGAACACAAAAGTTTCTTGAGTGAACTCAACGCAAAATTAACTCAAATTTTTCTTGAGCGAACACAAAATTTTCTCGAATGAACTCAGTATTCCTAAACAAAAGCAAAAGTTTTTTGAACGAACACAGAAGTTTCTCCAACGAACGCAAATGTTTCTCGTACGAACGCAAGTTTCTCGAGCGACATTTCTAAACGTTTCTTGAACAAATGAAAGTTTCTTGAACGAAAGAAAAAAACAATCCGTCAGAATGCTAAAGTTTCTCAAACAAACGTTAAAGTCTATTGAAGCAAACCTTATAGTTTCTCGAACAAACGCAAAAGTTTCTCAAACGAATGCAGAAGTTTCTTAAACAAAAGTAAAAGTTTCTTTAAGAAGCACAATTTTTCCCCAGCAAAGACGAAACTTTCTCGAATGAATGCAAATGTTTCTTGAACAAAAGTAAGTCTCTTTAAGAAGCACAATTTTTCCCCAGCAAAGACGAAACTTTCTCGAATGAATGCAAATGTTTCTTGAACAAAAGTAAGTCTCTTTAAGAAGCTCAATTTTTTCCCGAGCAAAGACGAAACTTTTTCGAACGAATGCAAAAGTTTCTCGAGTGAACTCAACACAAAATGAACGAAAAATGTTCTTTAGCAAAATGTTCTTGAACAAACGAAACTTTCCTAAACAAAAGCAAAGGTTTCTTGAACAAGTTTTTTGAACGAACGCAAAAGTTTCTCTAACAAACTCAAACATTTCTCGTACAAACATTTCTCGAGCGAACGGCGAAAAAATTCTCGAGCGAACCCAAAAAAAAAACTCGAGCTAACAAAAATTTCTTGAGCGAGCGCAAAATATTTCTCAAGCGAACTTAAAAGGTTCTTGTAAATCATGCTGTACAAAACATTTAAGTTCTTGCGTACATACATGTACGGTGTGTATAATCCTGTGTTTTCCTCTAGCTGCGGTATCAGAAGTGTCTGGGGAAGACGGGCTCCTCGACTCCGGCTCCTAGCGACTCTGTCACTCGCCGCGTGACGTCCAGCGTGAAGCGCGGCGTCCAATCAATCATAGACACTCTGAAAAAGAAGCCCGCCCCCGAGGTTCCCTACCAATGACGGAGCAGAACAGCTGTGATGGACAGCAGGTGTGTGTATGTGTGTTTACTGATCCAGTCGAGAAGAGAAACACACAACATAACCACAACAAAAGACTGTAAGTGTAATGCAAGATGTCGCTGTGCGCAACGAGAAGCTTCTCGAGCGGCGACTGTCCTGAATGAAGCATGAGTTTGCCTTACACTGACACATTTTCACTCAAGTGTTTCGAAGGAGTCAGAGTTCATGTCATCACCGTCAACGGTCACGCTCAGATCAATGTAACTCAGTCTTTACACGTGTGACCTGGATTCAAGCTATAAGTGTGTTTCATTTCAAACCACTCATTCAATGTGACTCGTCCACATGAGGAAATTGGATCCTTTGAAATTTTGGTTTCTTTCCCCAAGAAATTTAGAGGGAATTTTCTGGTGTTTGGTAGCAGGAAAAGGGGAACGTGTGTGTAAAATGTTTTAGCAAGCACACATGAGTTCACACATATGCTGTAACCACAAGTTCTGACCACACAAATACACTTATGCTTCATTTAAACTAAGGCCTGAGAGATTCCCTGTGCAAGTACGCAAATGCAGACATGAACGCTTTGCAAACATGCGCTCCTTTTGTACACACACACAACACGAGACCTCAATACTGTCCATTAAACGTCTAAATGACATGAAACCAGTTGTTTTTATTCAGATGTCCAGTCAAAGACGTGTTCACGTTAGTCAACACTAAAGCCTGACATAGGAAATAGTAGTCAGAAAAATCTAATATTTTGAATTGGAACAGTTTATTAAACATTAAGGTTTTTTATTTGAGGATCATATTTGAGGCATCTGGCTTTTATGGCTCATATAGTGAGAATATATGGAGGGGAAAAACAGCTCAGTTTTATTCGGAGGCCCAAACTGAGCAAACGCTCATATTTATATGCTCAAAAACTGATGAAATGCTGATGCTTATAATGTAAATCAAGCTGATCTTTATAACAGTATTGCAGATACTTGCATAATATGCATATAAATATCAATATCCGCCAATAATGTCTTAGTAAGATGATATTTAAATGCTCAGTTTTATGATCAGAGCTCTGTAGTTTTAAAACATGTAATGCAATGCAATGATGATTGAGCATAAACCACCTGATGATCATATTTGATCTGTACAAATCATATTTGATTTGTAAACAGAAAAATGCTTTAAAGACTTTAGCGAAGTGCATCAATTCTCAAATGGTAAAATAAAGTCCTGTACGTGTTTTTCTCCATTGTCACATTGTGAAAGTAAAATGATTAGCGAACCCTGTTGGCTTTAAAGTCTTACGGCAGTTCCTCAACCATGAGTGTTTGAGAAGCGTGTAACGTGGGTTACGTGGATTATTAAATTTTTAAATGTTCATATTGGGCGCCAGACAGTTTAAATCCGATCACGGAAAACACAGAAAATTCATCACAAGGGTCTAAAAAATTAAGACCATTCATATAATTACAAAACAACAACAAAAAAATATTTAAATCACACCAGTGTCTAGCAGTAAGTTCTCAAAAAATAAATAACGTTAAATAAATAAATCAGTTCGTTACTCGGATATACCTGCGCGGTTGCGCTCAGACTTAGAAAGTTCAAAATGAGTCAAAAAACTACAACAAAAGTAATCCCAAAAAAGTTCAAAATATATTAAATATCTAATGGAAACGAAATTTGTCCAAACACCGTTAATGGAAGTCAGTAAGGAGTGTTAGTAAAATGTCTTCCGATGAAATTGTGCAATGTGGTCGTCTATTGTTTAAAGTTTTAATGAGACCAGTAGACTAACCGGGAAAGCAAATGTTTTCTTTACCTCAGGTCGTCGAAGTGAATGAAAGAACCAACACTCACAGGCCTTCAACTTCACTGTCAGAATCCTCTTTGGCTTTGGTTTCTTACGGCCGACGTTCAGGTTTCAGCTCAGTCCCTTCCCGTCTTTGCAGTGCAGAAATTCAGATCATCCACATGAACAATAATCCAACACGACACGCTGAAACAACGGGCTCGTTTTCTTTCAACTTCCTCAGGCCCCGTCCACACTACCGCGTTTTCGTTTAAAAATGGAGAATTAAAACGAACACGATCTCCGTCCACACCAGCGTTTTATCCGTGTATTAGAATTGATCTCCGTCCACATTTAGTGATGGCCGGTTCGTGAACGAATCGTTCTTTTGAACCGGTTCTTTTTAGTGAACCGGTCGAACCAGTACACTAAATCGGACTGAATCGTTCGAAACAGTTCGCGTCTTGCGTCAGCGCTGAACCACAAGTTACTAAAGTTACTCACTTTCAGACATGCCTGACAGTCCCTCCGAATCGAAATAAACCAATATCCATTAGTACATTTTATTCAGTAACTCAAAAAGTTCAATGAACGGAGACATATGTTGGTGCTGAGAGAAGTGATGAGCACGAGCAGCTGATACTGCGCATGCGTGTACTACCGAACATACAGGTACAGCGGTCGGATAACCAGTACAGAACCGAGAACTGTTTCTTTCAGACACGTACGACATACTGAGAACTGATGAGTTGATGAGCTGAGCATGCGTGCATTTTTTTCTGAGGGACGAAATGTACGTTTCCATGTCTTTAGTTGAACATCAGTAAGTGTAACAAAATAAAACATTTTGGAAACATGTTTATCACATTACTGTATCACTGTATTATTTTAACGATTGGAAATAATGATTGGATTCTAAAACTGTCAAACTACTAAACATTTATTATTATACTAAAATAATATTTTCAGGAACAGCTCATTTAATCTCTAAGTAACAATATAAATCATTGATGTAAACTCTTGCCAAGGTTTGGTGCACTGCTTAGTAAATGTTTATAATGTGTTAACATAACGAATTAAACATATATGTTTAATTCGTTATGTTAACACATTATAAACATGATGTATATACTGTATAGGCTACGGAAGGCTATATTGGAGACAGACATGCATCGATTTTTTTTGTTTTGTCGACTGTATATTCAGGTTTCAGCTCAGCACACAGCTATGCTATGGTTCTCGAGTCGAGAACTGGTTGTTGCAGTTCTTGAATCACTAGTACAGAACCGAGAACGGTTTCTTTCGGACACGTTCGATACGGAGAACCGATGAGCTGGAGATACTGCGCATGCGTGATAACACCGTCTCTGAACAGAACTTTCTTTCGGCCGGCTGATCCTGTGCTGATATACGAGCACGCAGTAGTACGGGTGAACCCAGGACTTAAATGAGAGGGCGAATCGGCGAAATGTACGTTTATTTAATAACAAATAAAATGACGAAGACCATTTATGCATTTTATATATTTAAAACATGTAAAACATCCGCGTTAGCACATCGCCTAGGCTGCAGCAGGGTTCGTTTTCAAAATGTAAATGTAAGAAACTTATCCAAGATTATTATGACAATGCATACTATTATTTAACTGAAGTTGTGATTACTAATGCCTTTAATTTGAAGTATTTTTATCCGCCGGGATGATAGAATTGACGTCATTACGTGATGACGTAAAAGAACTGGTGAACCGGTTTTTTGAACCGGTTCATTAAAACGAACTGTCCGAAAGAACCGGTTCGCGGAAAAGAACCGGACTTCCCATCACTATCCACATTAAAACGACTGAAAACGCGGATCACGTGACCATTCACCAACACTGGGCATGCGCGTGCCGGTGTAAACAGTGGTTGCCCAGACAGCAAACTGACATTGAATCGACGGAAACGACTTCTCTCATGACATTGAAACAACGTTGATTTTGCTCATCGAATTAACGTTGAACCAACGTCAGGCGCGGCATTCTTCAAAGCTAAATGAAAATCGAAAATTGGTTTGCTTTCATAACGTTGAAACAACGCGTTGATTTCAAGTTGATTTTCCGTTAGTTTTGAAAGAATGACGCGTCTGACGTTGGTTCAACGTTAATTCGATGAGCAAAACAATGTCAGATCAACATTGTTTCGATGTCATATTTCCACGTTGATTCAATGTCAGTTTGCTATCTGGGTGGCGAATCAGGGAAGTATACGTCATGACTGATAACCCCCGATCATAGAGCCGAGCGTCAGCCTCTGCGTCAGCGTTTCTGAAGTCCTCCGTTTTGTCCTGTCTACACTAAAACGCCCTCCGGAGATTCAAAACGCAAAACGGAGCTGCAGCGTTTCTAAAGTTCTCCGTTTTAGGTCTTCGTTTTTCCCGTTTTAGTCTGGACGGGAGGTGCAAACGTAGCAAAAGGTCTCCGTTTTTAAACGAAAACGCAGTAGTGTGAACGGGGGCCTCAGACGCTAATCCCAACTTCCCGACCGGCCTCCCCCTTCCGTTTCTCTACTTCCTCTTTTCTTTTCCTCCCAATCACACAAACCCCACCTCTTTTCATTACTATGTTTAGGTTTTCATTTGTACGAATTTTAATAAATATTATGAAGTTGTGTAGATTTATTTTTTGTGATTATTAATTAAATATTATTTGACACTGTAGCATTGCTACAAGCGTTAGAGGACGTTGGTTTACGTTAAAACGTTGGTTTATGCTAATGTTACCCTATAACGTTGGTTTTACGCTAATGTTACGCTATAACATTGGTTTACACTAATGTTACACTGTAACGTTGGTTTACGCTAATGTTACGCTATAATGTTGGTTTACGCTAATGTTACGCTATAACGTTGGTTCACGTTAATGTTGAGCTGTAACATTGGTTTATGCTAATGTTACGCAGTAACGTTGGTTTACGCTAATGTTACGCTATAACGTTGGTTTACACTAATGTTACACTGTAATGTTGGTTTACGCTAATGTTATGCTGTAACGTTGGTTTACGCTAATGTTACGCTATAATGTTGGTTTACGCTAATGTTACACCTATAACGTTGGTTTACGCTAATGTTACGCTATAACGTTGATTTACACTAATGTTCTTCTATAACGTTGGTTTACGCTAATGTTACGTTGTAACGTTGGTTTGCGCTAATGTTACGCTATAACGTTGATTTACACTAATGTTCTTCTATAACGTTGGTTTGCGCTAATGTTACGTTGTAACGTTGGTTTGCGCTAATGTTACACTATAACGGCCGATGTGGCTGAACATGTGAAATGTACTTGCATTGCATTATGAATCGTGGAACGCAGTGAAGCATGAGCTCGAGCTTGCTTAGCTAAAAGATTTTGTGTACATGCGTAGTGTTTCGGGCTTTAGATGAGACACACACACACACACACGTCTAGCCCCTGCTACAGCACAAGTAAAAAATAAACAAACAAACACAGGAATGTTATTTCGCACAAAATGATATTTTAAAACCCAAATCAGCCACTAAGACACTCATTTTTACACCATATTAATGTAACATGTTGTGGAAATAAATTACATCAAAACAAAAAATTAGTCTCTCCTTGTTTTACTTGCATGCTTGTTCCAAATGATATTGGAAAATATGCTGATGGCATTTTGATGGCAGTGACATTTGAACAGTCCTGTTTAGTAGTGATCTTATACAGATATCTGACACGTCTAATAACATCACAGGTCTTAATCACTAAGATAGAGACTAAAATACTGACGGTAGCCTCGAGAGTGTGTGTATGTGGGACTGTGAGAGAATGTGTGTGTGTTTTCGTGAATGTGTGTGTGAGTGAGTGTGCATGTGTTTATGTGTCAGAGCCACGGCCTCAGATGATTCAGTCTCACTCTGAATGCCGCTTGGGTTCGAGGGGGAGCCGGTGTCGAGTTACGGGTTTGGGCGGGGCTTTTGATGGTGTGGGTGGGGCTTGTGAGAACATAGCTCCGCCTCTGAGGAAGAAGACCACCGCTTGACGACAGAACGGGAGGAAACATGACAGTAGTTGGCCTCAGAACTTCATGTCGGCCTTTAGGCGGAGCGGCCGGCGTTGAGGAGTGAACAACGATCACAGATGCTGAAGCAGAGCTCAAACCAGTCAAACCAGTACAGTAGAACTCAGAGAAAGAGGAGAGGTTAGGGGTGGAGCCTGTTGTGTTGTGGACGGGGCCTGTTATGTGAGAGGTGGTGCCTGTTGTCTTAAAGGTGGAGCCTGTTGTGTAAGGGGTGTGGTCTGTTGTGCTAGAGGTGGAGCCTGTTGTGTAAGGGGTGTGGCCTGTTGTGCTAGAGGTGGAGCCTGTTGTGTTAGAGGTGGAGCCTGTTGTGTAAAGGGTGTGGTCTGTTGTGCTAGAGGTGGAGCTTGTTGTGTTAGAGGTGGAGCCTGTTGTGTAAAGGGTGTGGTCTGTTGTGCTAGAGGTGGAGCTTTTTGTCTTAAAGGAGGGGCCTGTTTTGTTAGAGGTGTGGCCTGGTGTGTTAGAGGTGGAGCCTGCTGTGTTCGGGGTGTGGCTTGTTTTGTTAGGGGTGTGGCCTGTCCTGGAGAACACGCCCTGAAAGAGACGTCGAGAACTTGCGGGTTGATCTGCGGAGATAGAGAAGTAAACGGAAAGTTTGGTTAGTTTTCCTCGATGGTTTACTCTGAAGAACATTTCTGTTAACAACTGATTGAGCCTGTTAACCGGCAGTGTCCCAGGAGCTTTTTAATAGCCATTTTTCCCAATCACATATTTAAATAATATTGCTTTTAATTTGAAAGCTTTTTTGAAAGTGGACATCGCACAGTAATTTAGCGGCTCAGGTTTTGTGACATCAATTTCAAATAAGCGTAACATTGTGAGAGATATGGCTTTAGATTGTTTTGTAAAAATATATAGATTGTATAAATTAAATAAATAGTTCGGCACACTCGGTTAACAAACTTCTGTGCATTTTTTTAAACTTTTTTTCTCTTTCCCTGCCATCGACGGAAAACTCCGGCAATCCATGTTTCACCATGAAACATTCTTTCTTTAAATATATTCCAAGTTCAGATATTCAACAAAATATTCTGGTGGGGCAAGAGTTAAATAGAGACCAGCATTATGTTTGTATTACAAAGCATTCATTAATTACAACATTTAAGCTTAGATCAATGCTCAAAAGTCTGAGTGACAGTTAATAGCTTAAAGATATGCAATAAGGTTCATTAGTTAGTGTATTTACTAACATGAACTAACCATGAGCAATACATGTGTTGCTGTATTTATTAATCTTTGTAAATGTTAGTTAATAAAACTAAAGCCGTTCATGTTAGTTCACAGTGCATTAACTAATGTTAACAGGATTTTAATAATATATTAGTAATGATAAGTATGATAATTAACTAGTTAAATCAACCGTTTTGTGACGAACTGCGAGGAGAAACCGCCGGCTCCGGGTTGCTTCCCCTCATCTCGTAATTCAAGAACTCCGTCACGCGTGATTGGTCGCTCTGTGTAGTGTGTGGGCGTGTCTTCGTGGAGCGTTTGTGATTAGCTGATGTTCTTCGGGACCGTCGGCCTCGGCGCTCTCTGCTGATTGGCTGGTTCAGTTGGAGTCCGTCTAGCAAGCCTTTGGCCGCTGCGCGAGCGAGCACTTGCTGTGGCGTCTCTTTCACTTCAGGTTCAGGCTGTGTAGGAGACAAGCAAAGAAAACTCTGGGTATCAGGGTTCGTTTACACGACAACGACGTTCTGAAAACGGAAAACCTTTTGTGTTTTTCGTGTACAGACGACAACGTTGTCAGAACAATCCCTGTTCACACAGATCTGCGAAAACGACTAAAATCGCTGTATTCTGCTGTTAGGCCAGTAGATGGCGATGGCAGTTTGTAAAGAAACACTACACACCTACAGACTGAACATGACGGCACCGTTTCACAAATTAGTGTTTTTGTAGTTTACACAGGGACGATAAAGCTTTCAAAAACACCTTTTTTCCATATGTTTGCGTTTTCAGGCCTCCAAAATGCTGTTGTCGTGTAAATAAACGTGCAAAACGCGTTAAAAAAACTCAAATTTTTTGTGGAAAATGGCGTTGTGTAAACATACCCTAACATGTTCTGAAGAATCACTTAGATAAAGCATCCGACAAATGCAAAAAATATATTAAACGACTAAAATAGCTGTATTCTGCTCTTAGGCCAGTAGAGGGCGACTACATACGCCAATAGACTGAACACGTAATGCACACGTTTCACAAACGAGTGTTTTTGTACTTTACACAGAGACGACATCGCTATCCTTTTTCAAAAGTTTGCGTTTTCAGGCCTCCAAAACGCCATTGTCGTGTAAATAAACGCATTAAAAGCTTTACGTTTTTCATTGAAATTGGCGTTACCCTGAAGAGTCACTTTAGATAAAGCATCTGACAAATGCAAAAAATATATATAAATGGTGAATCAGTCGAACTGTGGGGGAAAAACTATAAATAATATATGATACAAAACAATAAATTATTATTATTAATAATAATTATACATTATTTATATTAATTTTAAAATATTTAAAATATACACAAAAAAGTCAAATTATAATAATGAAATAAAATATTTATGTAAATATATTTTTGAGCCAAATGAAAAAATTAAAATAAAGTTTAAAAAAAAAAAAAAAACATCATGGGTGGACCAACCTCAGGGACAAATATTTTTCTCATAATTCACGTTGCATGTTAGTTCAGTGTGATTCTTAAAGGATCATCTGCTGTCTCAGCACCACACACACTCCCAGTGAATAATTCAGATGGTGTGTGTGTGTGTGTGTGTGTTTGAGGACGCGAGGATTTGCCCTGTTGACGCTAACGCATACAGACATGAGGCTGAATTATTCAATACGTCCTGCCCTCCTCCTCCTGAACATCACACATTTATTGCCCATCGTGTGGTTATGATGCAGTTCTGGCCCCAGATTATGGTCATTATGTTTGTCCTTTAGCTGAACACGAGGTCACACACACACACCCCGTGGTCTACACTATTCAAAATTAAGATTCAAAGAACGTTAAAAATCATTTTTCCACTATGAAGAAGCTTTTGTACAATGGAAAGATTACATGGATGTTCTTCATGGAACCAGAAATAAAGAACATTTATCATTATAATAATTCATGCGCAGAATAAAGGGGCGGGGCCTGGTTGAGTTAGTTAGTAGTGTGTTAAACTGGCGGTTATGGAAAGGGGCGGGACTTTCCCAAACACACTCGAAGCGCTCGACCAATCACAACACACTGATCCAGCCGACCAATCAGAGCACAGTGTGCTTTCAGAAGGAGGAGACAGGAAGTAAACAGAGCGTTACTGACAGACTGGGAAGAGAGGAGCCGCACAAATATGAAAATAATATGTTTTTGAACATTCAAGCAGGAAAACATGTTCAAGTAGAGCCAGGAAACGCATCAAAAAAGGGCATAATAGGTCCTCTAATCTGAACGCTGCGGAAGACTTTATTGGTCCCTGGTGAAGACGCACAGATGCATCATAAAACCGTGAGGAGGAGGAGGAGGACGGTTATATTTCCACACACGCGTCTAATAGCCTTTTTATGAGACCTTCTTAAGCGAACCACAATAATGTTTATTAGTGGCTTTATTAGTCGTGGAATATGGAGGCTTGATGATGTTTTCTGACTGTCAGAGGAGAGATAAATATGACGGATTGCTGTGATCGTTCATCATATATGAAGCGTGAAAACCCTCCAGAACTTTGATCCACGAGAGATCCCCAGAAGGACACTCCCAGTTATTTTTAGCTGCGGATGAAAGCAGAGCGAGGGAAACACGGGATTCCTCAACAGAGACGGTGGGATCAGAGTCGATGAGAGCATGAGAAAAATATAGCTGCAAGCAGCCATTACCGGGGCCAAGCGCAAGAAGCGGCAACATATGCCAAAATGGCAAGGAGTGGCAGACCAACTGCAGCAAGGAGCAATTAAGGGCATTTTGAGAGAACTTTGGGCAAATGGCTAAGAAAATCACATAAACATTAACTTATAAGATGATTTAATGGGTTAACACTTTCGAACAATAGGTGGCGCAGTTCCGAAATAGATGTGATGTGGTCAGAGTGAGGTGACAATGACACATGCAAAGTTTGGTGGCAAAATGTGAAGGCATTGCAGAGATAAAGCCTAAATAGTAATTTTGGCAGCATGCCTAAATTTTGATGCTGTGGTATACAAAAACGGTTTTGTCTATCATCGTGCAATTCATAACTTTTAGTCGGCACAGTCTGGAGATGATACGATTCAATTTTCGTGAAAATCGGACAAACGGTCTAGGAGGAGTTCGAAAAAGAAGGTTTTTCAAAGAAATAAAGATGGCGAACAGGACGTTTTTCTGATTATGGAAAACCTGATATCTATGTTTTCGGCATAACCGAAGGAATCTATTAAGATCAGTTTCATTGCAATAGGCAAATTTATTCAAAAAATATTAGCGTTCTCAGAAATTAATTATAACTTTTGACCAACAGGTGGCGCTGTCTTAAAATCTTTTAAGTACCTTCAGGGCATGCTGCTTATGGCACACACTGAGTTTTGTAATATTACACCAATGCATTTGTTTAGTATAGCATTTTATTTCACAAAACTCTATTGAAGTCAATGGGAATTTCACGTTTTGTTCTATTATAGCGCCACCAAGAGGCTCAGTCCCACAATTTTTTTTCATGTGTCCTCAGAGTGACCCCATACATATGTGTGTCAATTTTGGTGAAAATATCTCAATTCGCTTCCGAGTTATAAACATTTATATGAAAAAACACGTATAAAATGACTGACACATGACTTTGTTTGAATTTTACTACCCCTTACTATCAATATTTTCGCATTTGGGCATTAGCATAGTTAACAAGCTATGATTCCGTGTTTCTGGCGGTGGTTTCGTCTCGATCGGAACAGCGGTTTTGAAGATATCGCCAAGTGTTTTTTTCGCGCTAAATCGCTACGCTACACCAACCGTAACACGAAACCCAGCATGTTTAGTATCGTTGGACTCGGCAACGATTCAGGAACTCAAAAACATGACTCCCGTGAAAATAAGTGTACCACACCCAAAGCTATAAGCAATTGAAAAAAAAAATTCACCACTAGGTGGCGCTGTTTCGAAACTTCTCAGGCTCCTTCAGGGCATTGTACTGATGACCCATACCGAGTTTCGTAACAATTCGTTCATGCGTTCAAAAAATACAGCATTTTAGCACATAATTCAAAATGGCCGACCGCCAAAATGGCCGTTCTGGGAAAATTGGATATCGGTGGACTCGGCATGACGCCCTGAATCTAACGAGACCAAATTTATGATTTTTGGACAAACCGTTCAGAAGTTACAAGCAAAAATAGCCATTTTTCATATCTCCGGACCACTAGGTGGCGCTGCGCCGAAACGCTGCATGTAGCCTCAGGTCATGCTTGTGATTACATGTACCAAGTTTGGTCTGAATAGGATGAAGCGTTGCGGAGATACAGCCTTACGTCTGTTTTGCAAGCGTTGCGTAAAATTTGTTTGTGCGTTTATCAAAAACCGTTAAGCAAATCATCTTGAATTCCATAACTTTTTGTCAGCACTGCCTGAAGATGATCCGGTGCAATTTTGGTGAAAATCGGACAAACGGTCTAGGACGAGTTCGCAAAAGTACGTTTTTTAGAAAATTCAAAATGGCGGCCATGTTTTTATGACGGAAAATGACGTCATAGGGTGCGATCGAATCGGCATGAGCTCAGGAACAAGAGGAAAAAAGAATTTTGTTGATAGGCCTTATGGTTCAAAAGTTATTAGCATAATAAAAGTGAAACTTTGGACAGTTGGTGGCGCTAGAGGGAATGAGTTAGAGAAATCAAAATTGGTGTATTTAAAGTTGGGACTGTCCTCTATCAGAATGTCAAACCAAAACAACTTTCCCGCAAACCGGTCTATGGGCTGCCATAGACGCCCAGTCGGAAGAAGAATAATAATAATAATAATAATAATAATAAGAACCGGAACAGATACAATAGGTGCCTCCGCACCTTCGGTGCTTGGCCCCTAATAAAGAGCGTCTCCATCAAACCCCAGAGAAACTCCCAGCATGCTTTGAGCTTAACTAGCACAAACAACATCTCAGAGAAACACAAAAATAACCAGCCGAAACACACCATATCTGTTACAGCTCACAGACTCGCTCTTCTATCTGGGGTTTTTTTTTGTTGTTGTTGTTTTTTTTGGGAATATATAAATAATGTACAAAAATGTGGCTCAAAAATATTTTAGGAAAATAAATTTAAAATATTTAAATATATATTAGTCATTTTACTTCTATAGCTTTTGCCATATTTTAGAGTATTTTTAAAAATAAAAATCTAAAATATATTAATCTATATCTATAATATCTAAAATATATATTTGTATACTGTATATATTATAAATATATTTACATTATTATATTATTACATATACATATATATGTTATATTTCTATGTTATATGTTATCTGATGTTTATACCTGTCGTGTGAGCAGAGCTACGAAACAGCCATTGTGGTGATCTGATGCTTCCAGTCTGAAGAAACTGGCCTTCATCTCCAGAGAATCGTCCTCATCTTCAGTGATGGAGTCCTGCGGGAGACCTGGAGAACTCAGCCTGACACACACACACATTTTTATTACTCATTTTGTCATGCATTAATGCAAAAGGGTGTAAAACACTCACACACACAAACACTCTCACACACACACCTGTAGGGCGGCGCTGTGGATTGATGCTCCTGTGATTGTGAGAGGATGGTCTTCAGCACCTCCTCATTCTCCTCTGAGTGAACAGAACAGGTGGAGTAGAGCACCGCCCGCACCTGAGGAACTGAGGAACACACACACACACACACACTGCCATTACTGTCTGTTCACTGGCGAACATCATTCGATTCATGCCGGCCATTAATTAAAGGTGTGTTAATCTGCAGGGAGGGACGGAGCCTCTTCAAGCTCGGAACACACACACACACACACACACACACACACACACACACAGAAGATCAATAACACACAAATCATCACAGAAATTATGACACTGGATCAGCTCTAGTCTACACCAGTTTATGCTGGTCTGAACCGGATCATGGTTTCTCTGCTGGTCTATCTACACCAGTTTGAACTAGTTAAGCTCAGTAGTGTTGAAAGTATGAAAGTATAAGCCATAAGAGGGTGATTTACTGGGGGGACGACAACATTGACCAAACCAAACTAAACTAAAGGATGTTTATGGTGGATAAATAATGTAATTATTTAATTAGTCAGTAATTATTTTTCTGAATAATTTTTGGAGTGAATTCTTTTTCTTAATTCTTTTGAGAGTGAATTATTTTTCTGAATTATTTTTGGAGTGAATTATTTTTATTAATTATTTTTGGAGTGAATTATTTTTTAGAGTGAATTGCTTTTATAAATTATTTTTGGAGTGAATTATTTTTCTGAATTCATTTTATAGTGAATTATTCTGAATTTCTTTAGAGTGAATTATTTTTCTGAATTATTTTTAGAGTGAATTATTTTTTGAGTGAATTATTTTTTTCTGAATAAATTTTAGTGAATGTTTTTCTGAATTATTTTTGGAGTGAATTATTTTTAGAGTGAATTATTTTTTTGGAGTGAATTATTTTATAGTGAATTATTTTTCTGAATAATTTTTGTAGTGAATTATTTTTCTGAAAATTTTTGTAGTGAATTATTTTTCTGAATTAATTTTATAGTGAATTATTTTTCTGAATAATTTTAAGGTGAATTATTTTTCTGAATTATTTTTGTAGTGAATTCTTTTTCTGAATTAATTTTTATAGTGAATGTTTTTCTGAATTTGAAGTGAATTATTTTTAGAGTGAATTATTTTTTAGAGTGAAATCATTTTCTAAATAATCTTTCAGAGTGAATTATTTTATAATGAATTATTTTTGCTGTGAATTATTTTTCTGAATTAATTTTATAGTGAATTAATTTTTATATTGAATGTTTTTCTGAATTATTTTTGGAGTGAATTATTTTTAGAGTGAATTATTCTAAATTATTTAGAATTTTATAGAGTGAATAATTTTTTAGACTAATGTTTTTAACTCATCCTGATTTACGATTGTAGATCCTTTACTGAAGTGTCTAGGCTCGGAGTGAAACGCAGCTCTCCTCACTCACACACACAAACGCACACACACACACACTCACACTGGCCGACACGCTGCAGGTCTTTCCTCTGTCGGCACACGAGCGTCTGGAGTTTCTCTGGAGAGACCGAGCCGTGTGACAGATCCAGCATGAGCCGCGGGTCTGAAAGCAGATCAGAACGAACACATGTGACAGATGCTCAGAGTCTCAGTGTGTGTGTGTGTGTGTGTGTGTACCTCTGTTCTCCTGCATGATGTAATCCACAGGGTTGCTGACGGCAGACAGGGAACACGCCGGCATCACAAGTGCCACACGAACCTCCTGGAGACGCACATCACACACATCCACACACTCCAGAGACACTGGAAGCAGCTTCACATCTGACAAACACACACCGCAGTTTGTCTTCAATTAATATTTGCTGTAGAGGAACTAACAATAACTTTGGCAATAAAAAAGTTTGTTTCCATTTGTTAGTGAGCGTCCCCAAATGACTTGACTTGAAATGACTGAATTCACTTTTGAGTGTTAAAATAGTGTTTTTTATATATTAATATATATTAAAAATTATATATGTGTATATATATATATATATATATATACATGTTGTGTGTGTAAATTAAAATAAATAAATAAAAATACTCTCTTACTCTTGCAGCCCATTTTGGCGAGTGTGTTCTGTAGTTCATCTTTCTGTGCCTGCGGTTCATCTCCCACACACACAATCACTTTGCTCTGTACCGGAGAGATGTGTGTGTCAGTGTGTGTGTCAGTGTGTGTGTGTGCAGACACCGCAGACACGTGTGCAACGGTCCGAGCCGAGAAACACCCGGTCATGAGGACGTCTCCTCCTTCAGCCAGCAGGGGGCGCAGCGCCCAGGGGCCCACACAACACGACTTATCCTGCACAAACACACACACCATCACACACAACACATCTTGGCATGCTCGGATCTTTTCCCAACCACAAAGTATCCCTATGTTACCAACCAAACAAAAGCACATTCTTTCGGTGAGTGTTGCGAGTCGCGCTCTCGCTGATTTCTGATGATCAGTAAATACAATTATTCACCTATTTACAATAAGCACTTAACTCAAAAATAACTATTAAATAATTAAATAATTTGAGAACTGGCTAGGTAGAATCAGCTCATGAAATAAAGGCGAATCCGTAATATATAATGTTTTAAAATGTTTGGTCACCATTATCGTGATCAGTGTTTCCTTTAGTTGAGCAGTCTGACTCAATTTTGGTCTTTGTAACAGTGTTTACCAAAGCACACAATTTGCTACAAAGGAAACAATAAACAAAGGTGTTCAGATGAAGTAGTTTTCATAATAAAAATATAGAATGGTTCTGTAATCTTATCCCTGACCAAAAGTTGTAATTTGTTTTTAATAAATAACTTTCACCTTTCTTGAGTCAAAGAGTCAAAATCGACTCATTGATTCATGATTCATTCGCCTCTCGCTTGCAAATAATGATTATAGTTCCGATTAGTTTCTGCGAACAGGTTCTTTTGCAAATAAACCTGTTGAAAAAAATAAATAAACTAGTTTTATAACCTCCATGATTTAGTAATGAAACACGGTTTTGAGCATGAAGAGATAATCGTTGCCTGACATGAGGTTCTTTATCTTAATTTTTATTTGAAATAAATTGCTAAATTGTTTTCTTTGAACCAGCCCATTGATAATGGCGAAAGAAAACACGACAATGAACGCAACTTCCGAAACAAAAACAACGAGAATCGAAAAAGAATCGCAAACGACAGCGAGGAATCGATTTTTGAGCCTGCAGTCGTGGATGAAGTGTGTGTATCTGAAGCATGAGCCTGCGGTCATGGATGTAGGGGACACGTGTGTGTGTGTGTGTGTGTGTGTGTGTACCTGAAGCACGAGCCTGCAGTCGGTCAGTAATCCGGTGTTGGTCAGTTCCCTCTTCATGCCGTTGGGGAACACCAGCAGATCCTGACAGTGTGTGTCTGTACAGAAGCTCCGGCCTTCCAGCTGTGCCACAGACTTAACACACGAGAACCCTGATGTGCGTAACACTTCCCTGACCTTCTCAAAACTACACACACACACACACACACCGAGAGAGAGAGAGAGAGATTATGATTAAGTGTCAAAAGGAAGCCAAGAGCAACAAGATGGAGTGGAGAAACTGGTATGTGTGTGAGTGTGTGAGAAAGATTGTGTGTGTGAGTGTGTGTGTGTGTGTGTGTGTGAGAGAGAGAGTGGGGGTGAGTGAGTGTGTGTCTGTGTGCTAATGTGAGAGAGTGTGAGTGGGTGTGTGATTTTGAGTTAATGTGTGTGTAAAATTCACATGTGTGTGTGTGTGAGAGAGAGAGAGAGAGAGAGTGTGTGTGTGTGATTGTGTCTGTGTGTGTGTGTGAGAGAGAGAAAGTGTTTGTGTGATTGTGCATTTGTGAGGGAGTTAGAGTGTGTGTGTGTGTGTGTGTGTGTGTGTGTGAGAGAGAGGGTAAGTGTGTGACCTCCAGTGCTGGTGATTGGATCTGTCTGCAACTCAGTGAAATTTACAGCCTCAAACACACACACACACACACACACACACACACACAATAAATAAGACTGGTCACCCCAGAATGGAGGTTAAACAGGGGAGAACCAGAATAATGCCACATCTGAACTATAACTCACACTCACACAAACACATTCTCGTCTTTCTACCTCATATACAATAAATAATTTCAGTGGAAAATCATACGAGAAAGAGAAGAAAACACACCCCAGGGCAAAAAATGATGTTCTCCCCACAGTATATCAGTCTTGATTTCCGAGACAAATATCTCAACATTTGCTGGAGAAGCAAAATGACTTGAAACAAGAGCAAATATCTCCCAGCGCTTTTGGATTAAAAAAAAAAAACTATTTATCTATAAATAAATAAAAATCACATCCTGGTGATCCTGCCCAATGTTGTCCAGGAAATAATGTTCATATTGAAAGCTATAAAAGCAAATATACTTAACAAGTAATGTGAGCTCTGGTGTATATTATGAGCAAAAAAGGGCTAAAAATCACATCAACATTCTAAAAGCACAAATAATGTTTTTATTTTTTTAATTCACTAAACTATTTTTTTAAATAAATACAAACAAATCACAGACTAATTAACCTACATTTGATTGAGGTTGTCATTCGTGTTGTCGTTCAAAGTGTCGTCGTTTTTTAAAGCAGCATCATTGAAAACGTCGTTATTCAAAGCGGCGTCGTTCAAAGCCTCGTAAAAGCGTTGTTGTTTAAAGCAGCATCGTTTAAAACTTTATCGTTCAAATCGACGCCGTTCAAAGCGGCTTCATTCAAAGTGTCGCTCAAAACGTCCTAGTTCTAAGCGGCATCGTTCAAAGCGTCGTTCAAAGCGTCGTCGTTCAAAGCGTCGCATTCAAAGCGCCGTCGTTTTGAAGCTTTGTCGTTCGAAGCGTCGTCGCTCAAAGCGCCGTCGTTCAAAGAGTCATTGTTCAAAGCAGCATCATTCAAAACGGCGTCGTTCAAAACTTCATCGTTCAAAGCCGTGTCCTAACCCTAACCGTCGTTCAAAGCCGTGTCCTAACCCTAACCGTCGTTCAAAGCCGTGTCCTAACCCTAACTGTCGTTCAAAGCCATGTCGTTCAAAGCCTCGTAAAAGTGTCATTGTTCAAAGCAGCGTCGTTCAAAATTTCATGGTTCAAAGTGTCGTTCAAAGCGTCTTCGTTCAAAGTGTCATTCAAAATGTCCTCGTTCTAAGCAGCATCGTTCAAAGCGTCGTCGTTCAAAGCGCCGCGTTCAAAGCGTCGTTGTTCAAAGCGCCACGTTCAAAGCGCCGTCGTTTTGAAGCATTGTCGTTCAAAGCGTCGTCGTTCAAAGCGTCGCGTTCAAAGCGTCGTCGTTCAAAGCACCGTCGTTTCGAAGCGTTGTCGTTCAAAGCGCCGTCGTTCAAAGCGTTGTCGTTCAAAGCGCCGTCGTTCAAAGCGTTGTCGTTCAAAGCGCCGTCGTTCAAAGCGTCGCGTTCAAAGCGTCGTCGTTCAAAGCATCGTCGTTCAAAGCATCGTCGTTCAAAGCGTCGTCGTTCAAAGCGCCGCGTTCAAAGCACCGTCGTTCAAAGCGTTGTCGTTCAAAGCGCCGTCGTTCAAAGCGTCGCGTTCAAAGCGTCGTCGTTCAAAGCATCGTCGTTCAAAGCATCGTCGTTCAAAGCGTTGTCGTTCAAAGCATCGTCGTTCAAAGCGTCGTCGTTCAAAGCGCTGCGTTCAAAGCATCGTCGTTCAAAGCGTTGTCGTTCAAAGCGTTGTCGTTCAAAGCGTCGTCGTTCAAAGCATCGTCGTTCAAAGCGCCTCGTTCAAAGCATCGTTGTTCAAAGCATCGTCGTTCAAAGCATCGTTGTTCAAAGCGTTGTCGTTCAAAGCGTCGTTGTTCAAAGCATCGTCGTTCAAAGCGCCGCGTTCAAAGCATCGTCGTTCAAAGCGTCGTTGTTCAAAGCATCGTCGTTCAAAGCATCGTCGTTCAAAGCATCGTCGTTCAAAGCGTCGTTGTTCAAAGCATCGTTGTTCAAAGCATCGTCGTTCAAAGCATCGTCGTTCAAAGCGTTGTCGTTCAAAGCGTCGTTGTTCAAAGCATCGTCGTTCAAAGCGCCGCGTTCAAAGCATCGTCGTTCAAAGCGTCGTTGTTCAAAGCATCGTCGTTCAAAGCGTTGTCGTTCAAAGCGTCGTTGTTCAAAGCATCGTCGTTCAAAGCGCCGCGTTCAAAGCATCGTCGTTCAAAGCGTCGTTGTTCAAAGCGTCGTTGTTCAAAGCGCCACATTTAAAGCGCCGTCGTTTTGAAGCGTTGTCGTTCAAAGCGCCGTCATTCAAAGCGTCGCGTTCAAAGCGCCGCGTTCAAAGCACCGTCGTTTCGAAGCGTTGTCGTTCAAAGCGTTGTCGTTCAAAGTGCCATCGTTCGAAGCGTTGTTGTTTAAAGCGTCATCGTTCAAAGCATCGTCTGTAGTGAGTGTGTTAGTCTGTAGTGAGTGTGTTAGTCTGTAGTGAACTCGTGTGTGAGTCTGTGCACCTGCTGCGGAGTGTGTTGATCCAGGCGTACAGCGGCAGCTCTCTTGCTCTCTCCTGCCTGTGCCGGATCTTCTCCGGTAAGATGTTCTCCAGGGTCAGCAGGTCGTGCTTGATCCGACACCGAGCCAAAGACGCCACGAGTTTAGTCCTGAACCTGTCACTCAACCATAACAAACACTTTACCCACACAACACACGCTATTCTGAAACATGCTAATGTGTAATCAAAAATCACAGTCAAAAATTACATATTACATATTTTTTTCTTTTTCGTTTCAATGTTTTGTTATTTAATATTTTGTAATTTTAGGGGATTTTATGGTAATACATTATATTTACGCTGTTTTTATAATCCATTTATTCACGTTTTGCGCATAGACCTGAAAATTCTATTTCCAACTTAAACTGTGGTAATATATTAAAGCTTTAAAGCACAGACTCTTTTTAAAGACACTCGGCAGATTATTGCTGAAGTGAAAACCATTTTAAAAAGTGAACGTAAAGTTACAGAATTTTAAGTTTAATGTTAGGGAAAATGCACAAAAATACTATTTAAAATTTACATGAAATCTATATTTTCAAAAACCTATTCTATTCTAAAACTGCAAAAAAAATCAAATCCATAAATCAAAACAAGTGTGTGTGTTCCGCATGTGAGCTGATCTCTCTGTAAATGAGCGTTCAGTGCGAGTGTGTTCGGCTGCAGTTCCGAACGCTTCCACTAGAGGAAACTACATTCATTTCTAATGCGTCATTTCCGACCGCGAGGAGCAAAAGTATGACTATTTTTACAGGACAATTAAACCTGTTCACATCATATCCATGATTTATTTTGTGTTCACACAGCAAGTGCCAAAACCTTCACCAAGTTTCGTATCATTGCAATGAAGTAAAAAAATAATAATAATACGTAAAAATATTGGCGAAAATGAGCGAAGAGCACCAGAGTTACACGGACAGAGACGCCAGCAGATTAGCACTTGACCTCTGACCCACCTGAGCAGACACGCCTCCACCTCTCTGACAGCCTCCTCTTCTTGCTCCTGATTGGCCGGTTGCAAGCGTGGGAGGAACTTCCTGTCCAGTAGGTCAGTGAGCAAAACGGCCACCAGACTCATGCCCCCATCAGGCTGCAGACAGAGAGACTTACACTTTATATACCTTTAGACAGCAAATGTGTGTGTGTTTAAGTGAGTGAGTGTGTAGGGTGGTGTCTGTGTGAGTGAGTGTGTGTGATTTTTAGCGTCCTATTTGTTGACAACAATATAAACATTGACTGCGCTAAATTGTATTTAAACACAGGCTGTTCCTCCTGTAACGAGCAGACGAGGCGATGGAGACCAATCACGGGTCAGTCACATGATCAAGCGCTCTCAGGTCTCCAGTTCATGACACGCCCAACTCACGAACTCGGGTTCAAAATCATCCCAGAGCGCTCCAGCGAGTGTGTGTGTGTGTGTGTGTGTGTCCTGATCATCAGCAGCTTCTGTTATTCCCGGCTCCCTGTGTTTGTCCTCTGTGAAGGTCAGACTCAGACCCGGGAGATTCCTTGTGTGTGTGTGTGTGTGTGTGTGTGTGTGATGGGCTCAGGCCCATTACAGAACAACTGGAGTAAATACAACATAAATACTGTTTTACAACGATCCATCTGTTCATAGTTACTGCTGGAGTTCATGTCAGTTAAATAACATTAACAGATACAACGTTTGATTTTATTTAGATATTAGTAAATGTTGAAAATAACTAAGATTAATAAATGCTTTAGAAGTATTTTCAATGTTAACTAATGTTATCAGATGCAATCTTTTTATCTTTGTCTCAATATAAACTCATTGACTGAGTATATCTCCATACTCTACTTTAAACTCGACATCCAGTGTTTCTAAACCCAGAGGATCGCTAGTGTAAGACGTTCAAACTGCACTTTTTGAACACATATGGTTGCGCATATGATTCTTTATTACAGAATGTAAGGCGGGAACATTATTAAAAGCAATTATTCATATTCTCTTATAGATGACAACTAATATCTGATATAGATGAAACTTAAAGAAACGGAGCTTTGAAAGAGCATGTGTGTGTGTTAATGTGCTGATTAATAGTAGCGTCAGCTCGTTAGAGGTCATTGTGTGTGTGTGTGTGTGTGTGTGTGTGTGTTTGAGCTTCTTTGTGTTCAGAGTTTATAGTCTCTCTTAAGATTCAGAGAAACGACCTGCCAAACCAGCAGCGGACAAAACGATTCATCCTTTACAGCGGCTGTATTTCAGCCTCCAGTGTGTGTGTGTGTGTGTGTGTAAATGCATTTGTGAGTGTGTTTGCACCACGACCATCAGTAGTCACATTTACCACATGCAGTGTATTCTGGGAGTTTTTAGTCATTTATGGACTTTCTGTTTCATTAGAAAGTCATACAGACAGAAATGACCTCACACACACACACACTAGAACACACACTCTCTCACACACACAGAGTCCCGCCCTCCACTCACCATTGGCTGTGAGGCACAGAAGCCGCTGTCAATCAAGACGTCCTCCAAAAGCTCCTGATCTACAGAAACAAGATCAAATAAACGTGTTCAAATACACACGGAAAATAACACACACTGACCAGATCACGTTTTAGATCACAGGTGAACAAAATATTAAGAGAAAACACACACTGAATCACAGCACTACACACACACGTGACTCAAACCTCAGAGACTTCAGACGAAACACAGTATTAATGGATTAGTTCACTTTTGAAAAAACTTTTGCTGATAATTTACTCACCCCCATGTCATCCAAGATATCCACGTCTTTCTTTCTTCAGTCGAAAAGAAATGAAGGTTTTTGATGAAAACATTCCAGGATTTTCTCCATATAATGGACTTCAATGGGGTCCAAACGGTTCAAAGTCCAAATGAGAGTTTCAGTGCAAACTGTTCAAATGTCTTTAAACGACAGCAGACGATGAATAAGGGTCTTATCAAGTGAAACGATCGCTTATTTCAAAGCTTATTCCAAAAATGTAACTTTTCTAAGGACAAATGCTAGCCTTGCTCTATTCTGTGAGGCGCGTTTGTAACGTCACGTAATACGTAATTACGTTCAAAAGGTCACGGGCGACGTAGCCGGAAGTACAGAGTCAGTGTTTACAAGTTGAACGCACAGGTTGAACGTGCAAACTAACTCAAACGCTGTTTACAAAAAAGGAATTAAAAGGTAAAACAACGATGTCGGACGATTTTGATTCTGTACTTCCGGCTACGTCGCCCGTGACCTTTTGAACGTAATTACGTATTACGTGACGTTACAAACGCGCCTCGCAGAATAGAGCAAGGCTAGCATTTGTCCTTAGAAAAGTTACATTTTTGGAATAAGTTTTGAAATAAGCGATCGTTTCGCATGATAAGACCCTTATTCATCGTCTGGAGTCGTTTAAAGACATTTGAACAGTTTGCACTGAAACTCTCATTTGGACCTTGAACCGTTTGGACCCCATTGAAGTCCATTATATGGAGAAAATCCTGGAATGTTTTCATCAAAAACCTTAATTTCTTTTCGACTGAAGAAAGAACGACATGGACATCTTGGATGACACGGGGGCGAGTAAATCATCAGCAAAAGCTTTTTCAAAAGTGAACTACTCTTTTAATATCATAACAGCAGTTCAGACGACTGCAAGACTGTTATTACTGAGAGCCCGAAGCTTGGACACAACATGAGAGAAAATTATTCATTTAAACAGAAAACATTTCAACACCAATCATAATTCAGCAAAACTGATTCCGGCCGTTTAATCGAAAATACATTTTATAGCGCATTTTCCCTGAGTGGGTAAAAATAGAGAACCGGATTCAGTTTTATTTCATTTCTCTGGAGAATAGAGCTTGAAATTACATATCATAAAGAACACATCTGTCTTCCAGAGCGAAGAGAGAGAGAGAGAGAGAGAGAGAGAGAGAGAGAGATAGAGAGAGAGAGAGAGAGAGAGTGTAAAAGGTAAATCAGGGATTTGTGATTTTCTTCCGCGGGAACAGAATCTCCTGAAGCCTCTCGCGGGAATCTTGTACATGATGTGTGTGTGAGTGAAGATAAGGCGTTATCTTGATTGACAGGTGTGATCTCCGCCTCTGCCAATCAGTGGTTTCCATGACAACTACAAACATCATTCATCCGCCCTGAGTGACAGGAGAACATTGTGTGTGTGTGTGTGTGTGTGTGTGTGTGGCCAATATCAACAAACATGATCATCAATTCGCAGAGAAGAATCTCTCTCTCTCTCACACACACACACACACACACGGGGTGTTAATACATGGGGAAATCTCTCTGACTTATGTCTCGTGTTGCGTCAGTCATTAACCTTACGATCCTTGACTCGTTACACAATTAATTGTGTTCAAACATTACAAATGAACATCGGAGGAAACAAACGGCCTCATCATCCATTAATGAGGCGTCAGCACTGCATGTGGGCGTGGCCACCGCTACGCTGCCGGCCAATCAGAGCACAGCTGGTGGAAGAGCCTTCAACAATAACCCTCAGTTTGGTTACATGTCGTTTAATGTCTCCATCATGTGAGCGAAGTAAACAGTGATTACATTAGTTTGGTTTATTTTTGATGACTAGGCGAATAGGCGATGTTTTAGACATCTGTTAAATGTTCACTGACAGCCCAAACTTTGCCTTATCTCAGTTCGGGCGGCAATTAGACGTCTTTTAAACGCAGAATTGCTTTCTGGGAAGGATGAAGAATCTGGAGAGAGTGATAAAAACCATCATCACATAGATCACACTCACACCGCTCCTCTGAGGGAGAATAAATCTAAATCTAATCTAAATGTGAATAAATATCTGGAGAAACGCCTGACGGTGTAAATCTCCGGCCTCACTCGTGCTCTGCAACTCCAGGAGGAGGAGGAACACCGAACGGCTCATCCGACATCACGCCGGCTCGCTTATTAATGCTGCTTTAAAGGAGGAGCGATGATGTAAGGACTGTGGGCGGAGTCGTGATGTCATCACTATGAAATTAAAGGGGGGAGGGAGTGAAATTCCCTCAAAATGTTTACTGGAATGATGGGAAAAATAATAATAATAATAATTAGATGTAAGTAAATCCTTAGACAAAAAAGTTAATTAATGATTAAATTAAAAAAATATATTATAAAAGGAATAATTAAAAACAGATTAAATTAAATAAGTAAATAAAAGAGTAAATAAATAAGTAATAAATATCAGATTAAAAAAATAAAATAATAATCAAATTAAAACAAACAAAAATAAATAATAAAAAATTAGATAAGTAAATAAATAAACAAGTAAATATTAGATTCTTCTAATAAATAAGTTAATATTATATTCATATAAATTAAAATAAATAATCAAAAACAATTAATACATAAATAAAATTTAAATATAAAGTAAATCTCAAAAATGTACAATAATCAAAAATAAATAAATAAATTGTGTAAAAAGTAAAAAATATAGATAATCATAATTTTATAAAAACAAGTAATAAAGAGAAATTACATTAAAACAAATATATAAATAAATAATTACATTAACATAAATAAGTAAATAAGTAGATATTACAATAAGTAACAAATAAACATTGAAATTAAAATGAATAAAATAAACATTACGTTAAAACAAACAAATGAGCAAAATAATAAATACATAAATATTCCATTAAATAAACCATATATATTAAAATAAATACAGCATAATACTTTATAGATGCTAAATATTTTCCAAATAATATTTTACACATTTAAATTGTCTTTTTACAAAAAAACGATATAGATGCCTTTTAAAGGATAGGATGGGCGTCCCTCGCATTGAAGGTTCGATTGAAAACCAAGACTCATGAACGATGCCGGATCAGTGACATCATCGCTCTGTGCGGAGTCATGAAGCAGAAGCGATGATGTAATGCACATGGGCGGAGTCATACGACAGAGAGCGTCCAGTGATGGACGACCGCAGAGAAAACGCCAGCAAATCAAAGGGGGAAAGACATGAACACAACAGAAGAAGCTCCATCTCTCTTCTTTATCTGTTAGATGCGACACACACACTGCAAGCATGTATACACACACACAAAAACACACCGTCTATCTGTCAGGGGTGAGAAACGACTCGTTCTGGCCCAGAGTTTTAATCAGGCCGTTTGCATGAGTTACACGCTCTCCTGATGTGTGCCATACTCAAGGACAGGATCACTGTGAACCCCGTGGACTAAAGCCTTTATCTCCTCCAGTGAACTGCAACAATCCCAGAAACCCCGAGCCAATCTCCACCGCTCGTGTCCCTGCACTCGGAAACCTGATGAAAACTGATGAAGCCGCGGGGAATCATGGGAGAAAAATCTGCAGTCGCCACTAAGTGAACGTGATCTCGGCGCCCGTAAGGTCACCTGACCAATCAAGCCCTTGCCCTTTATTCCCACAGCCGGCTTCATTTGCATCTTATGGATTTGATCTCCAGACAGAGAGAGAGAGAGAGAGAGAGAGAGAGAGAGAGAGACGGAGAGAATCGAACCTGAGCTACAGACACAGAGCACATTATACACATTAAATTACACATTAAATCTAAATTACGCATTAAATCTCACATTAAATTCAGAAAACCCATCAAGTTTTTTGTTCCGCCCTGATCTTTTCAGTCTTGCATCGATTAAACCGCCGTTTATCAGTCCGACGCGCAGATATTTTAAAAAGCACTGAGGGGGCAAATGTAGAAGTAATGCACAACAGTAAAAGTACTTTATAAAGATCATCTCCTGATGGTGTGTGTCCAGCTGTGACTGTATGTGAGTCACGTTTGTGTGTGTATTGATCGTGCAGCGTGGAGTTAGGACAGATTAAAGCAGCTTTTCTCAGGTGATCGACCTCATGTGAAACACGCTCGCCAAACCAAAACAGCCTCATCTATAGATATTCACCAGCTTCATCCTCAGCGGGACCTCGTCTCTTACTGGAGCATCTCTGCAGTATTACACAGCGTTAGGGGTGTGCAGCGCTATACAGCGTGATGGTTGTTTTAACGCTGTGCGATTTGACATTATTGAGTAGTATATCCCTCACACACACCTAGAGAGTGTATGGAGTTTGGGTTCTTGCCAGTTGCTTAGTTGGGGGCATTTAACATTTAATATACAACAATATTATTGATATTGTCTGAGAACTAAAGTGAGCTGGACGATGACGTCACTGCTTTCTCCAGAGACGCTATAATAACCACACTGAACAAAATTAAAAACACAACACTTTTGTTTTTGCCCCTCAAAGATCGAAGACTGCACATTTTCGAGTGGCCTTTAATTGTGGACAGCCTAAGGCACACCTGTGCAATAATCTGATCGGCATCTTGATACGTGAGGGGGACGGATGATCTCAAAGGAGAAGTGCTCACTAACACAGATTTGTGAACAATATTTGAGAAATAGGATTTTTGTGTACATAGAAAGTCTTCGATCTATGAGAAATCGGGGGCAAAAACAAAAGTGTTGAGTTTTTAATTTTGTTAAGTGTATAATGATGATTTTAGTATTATTATGAAATGAAAATATTAACTAAATTAAGAATAATTATAATATTTTAAGTTAATAATAATATATTTTTGTACTACAAAATACAATTATTATTATATATTTTTTTACAGTAGAACAGTATTACAATTGTAATATATTTCTAGTAATTTGACTTTACAATTCAACTAATACAACTATTATTAAATAATAATAATTATTGCACTATAACTATATTAAATTAGTAATGCTTTTTAAAATGTTATGTTTAATAATTGTATTCATAATATTAATTTATTTCTTTTATTTAATTATTTAAATAATTCTATAGTAAAATAACAGTATTTCAATTGTAATATATTTTATTTAATAACAATATTACAATAATTTAACTTTACAACTGTACTATATTAATGAAATTATTATTATTAATAATAATTATTACAATATAACAGTATTAAAATAGTAATATATTTCTTAATATTATATTTAATTTAATTTATTTTACAGGTAATAATACTAATAATTGTATTTTATAAACGTATTGTACAATAAACTCATAATTATTCTAGTTTATTTATTGAACGTCTCATGAACATGTCCCTCAGACACACAAGATCAGGATCTGATATATTTTGCAGAGAGTGTGTTTGTATTGATTGAGCGTTTGAGATTAACATTCAGCTCCACCACGAGCGCCTGCATCTCGTTACCGTCTCTAATTAGGGTGCATGTAAAGACGTTTGTGTGATCATGTCTTAACTCCTAATTCTGCCTAATGAATACTGATGAGCTGTCAAACATGCCAATGACAGCAGAGAGGCATTCTGGGAAATGTAGGATTAGTGTAAATCCACACTCGGACACTGATGATGGATAATGCCTGTCAGACCACCGGCTCTACATGTTCTTCACTGACACACACACACTCTCTCTCACACACACACACACACACAAACACACACAAAGTCATTCACTCACTCAGAGAAATCAATCCTCACTCCTGACACATCCAACGTGAATCTCATTACATCGTCCGGCAGACGCCCTTTCACTGCGTGTGTGTGTGAGTGAGTGAGTGAGTGAGTGCATTAAGTGCAAAGGGTTAAAAGTGCATCTGTCTATCATAAAAGTGCATCTATCCATCATAAAAGTGCATCTGTCCATCATAAAAGTGCATCTATTCATCATAAAAGTGCATCTATTCATCATAAAAGTGCATCTATCCATCATAAAAGTGCATCTGTCCATCATAAAAGTGCATCTATTCATCATAAAAGTGCATCCGTCTATCATAAAAGTGCATCTGTCTATCATAAAAGTGCATCTATCCATCATAAAAGAGCATCTATTCATCATAAAAGAGCATCTATCCATCATAAAAGTGCATCTATCCATCATAAAAGTGCATCTATCCATCATAAAAGTGCATCTATTCATCATAAAAGTGCATCTGTCCATCATAAAAGTGCATCTGTCCATCATAAAAGTGCATCTATCATCATAAAAGCGCATCTGTCCATCATAAAAGTGCATCTGTCCATCATAAAAGTGCATCTGTCCATCATAAAAGTGCATCTATCCATCATAAAAGTGCATCTATCCATCATAAAAGAGCATCTATCCATCATAAAAGTGCATCTGTCCATCATAAAAGTGCATCTATCCATCATAAAAGTGCATCTGTCCATCATAAAAGTGCATCTATTCATCATAAAAGTGCATCTATCATCATAACAGTGCATCTATCCATCATAAAAGTGCATCTATCCATCATAAAAGTGCATCTGTCCATCATAAAAGCGCATCTATCCATCATAAAAGTGCATCTATCCATCATAAAAGTGCATCTGTCCATCATAAAAGTGCATCTGTCCATCATAAAAGTGCATCTGTCCATCATAAAAGTGCATCTATCATCATAAAAGTGCATCTGTCCATCATAAAAGTGCATCTATTCATCATAAAAGTGCATCTGATTCTGTCCATCATAAAAGTGCATTCATCATTAAAGCGCATCTATCCATCATAAAAGTGCATCTATCCATCATAAAAGTGCATCTATCCATAATAAAAGTGCATCTGTCCATCATAAAAGTGCATCTGTCCATCATAAAAGTGCATCTGTCCATCAAAAAAAATTTTGGGTGAACTATCCCTTTAAGAATGTTTAGATATTTCTACTGGAACTTCTCAGTAAGAAACTAATAGGTTATAATAATTATATAATTAGCTGCCGTAACCTGAGCCGTTCCTCTTCATCAGTGAGGAGGAACACTTACATTTGAGCGTGTTGAAAGCGAGCTGGAACGCTAACCGCTGAGACGCCTCGCCCCGGACCTCAGGCACGCTGACCTCTGACCTCTTCCCGAAGCTGACGAGCCTCTGAGCCGCGGGCCTCTCCAGGTGTGTGTTCTGGAAGATGGTCGCCGCGTGCAGGTACACCCGGTCGTCCGGATCCGACGAGTCGGTGTTGAGCGGAGCGGGTTCTGGAGCGGCCGGATCCAGCAGAGACACGCGACCCGAGGTTCGAGAGCCGTTTTTGGATGAGCGCCGCGCAGAGGCTCCTTTCCTGACCATCCTCATCCAATCAACAATCAAAACACTACAAATACAAAGACCAGACTCTGAATATTTCATGTTTATTGTAAAGAAAGATGCACAAACACACTTTACCATCAAAACATTTGACAAAATGATGAAGCGAGACAGATACAGCAGCCTAATGGAATCAAAATAAAATTGTAATTTATTGATTTATTTAAAGCTATTTTAATCTAAAGTGTTAATTTATTATGAATGTATTGTAAATATAATGTTTTTATGTAGTTACGTATTTATTTTTAAATAAAATGTATTGATTTATTTGAATCTATTTATTTTAATCAAGTATTTCTTAATGTATTATATGTAAATCAAATTGTATTTATTCCGTTATCGAATGTATTTGTATGAATAAATTATTTTTATTTATTTTAATCTAATGTAATGTGTCATTTATTTATTTAAATAAAATTGTATTCGTTTTAATCTATTTATTTCAATCCAATGTAGTAGTTTGTTATTTATGTATTTATTTATTTATATAAAATACATAAACAAAAAACATAAGCAAATTTCATTCAGATGCGACAGAATATTATAACCATAGTGATTTAAAAATCATTTCCCACAAAGAAGTTTTTAAAGCAGAGATATTAAATACATAAACAACAGTGATAATCACAAATCAAAACACTCAACTTCTGTTAGAAAGAATATAGCCGAACTTTTCACTGATTAAATGATGATTATGATTAATTCAACAACTAACACTGAAATATTTTAATGAAATAACACGGTTATGATATAATAAGTATTATAACGTTAGACTAACGTTACTGGATCATGTTGTTTGAGTAACGTTATTTCGGAATGTTCAAAATATGACCAAAAACCACTTACCCGAAACTCGGTGATTATGAAAACAATCTTTGAATCTCTGAAAGTCTCCTCGGTCCGCGTGTGTTCAGAAGAATAAATCTGCGAATATCTGAGGAACTTTACCAAACATAAACAGTCTGAAACTGGACGTTTATGGTCAGATGATGACGCAGGCAGGATTCCGTCTCCACGGCGACGGGAGGCGCAAGGCGGGAACGATGAGGCGAGGGAAAAGGCAACTTTACTTATTTCAACAGCGAAACAAACTAGGGTTTTTTTACGTGTAAAGTGCACAGTAGGGGCTAATAGTTTACTCATTGTGCCATTATGAATCACTTTATATTTAATCGACCGTTTAATCCAATACGCGATCACATGTAAACACTGAATATCGTGTGCTTTAAATTTTACTTCGCGCTTAAGATTTAGATAAAACCCTCATAACTCGTTACATAAATAACGTACATAGAATATGCTATCACACTATGAATAAATCGAAATGAAAGCGCCAAGCCAGTGTAAGTAACTTTATTAAGCACGTTTACTCTGTTTTTAAGGGTTAACGGTTAATAAAGATGTTCAGTGGTGTTTGTGAGGATTTGGCGTCCTCTGCCGGACACAGCCGAAACTGCAACTGAGACAGATGCATAATAATAATAACAAAACATCTGTACTCGGTTTTGATAATAATTCATATCTCTGTTGGCGTGACATTAATTAATTGCCGTTAATTTCACGCAGGGTGAAAGAGACCAGATTAGATTTACGATATGACGTTAGAAATAGAACAAAAATACAAGTATAATGTCAAATTATATTATAAATGTGTAAAATATTTATTTTCTATTATAGTACATCACTACGTTTTTTTTCTTTAATTGCCGTAGTACTGTACTGTTGGATATACGTATTTTTTATTTTATCAACATGTTTATATTAATTTATTATTTAATAAAATTTCATTATTTTTGTTACTTAGTTTTATGTTATTTGTGTATTTATTTACTTTTTACACTACTTTTATTATTTTTATTTATTTATTTATTTACTTTTATCACATTTATTTTTTATGTATCTAAATCAAATGTTTTATGTAGTTATTAATTTTTATTAAAAATATTTTATTGATATATTTAATATGTTTATTTAAATCTAAAGTATTAGTTCATTATTAATTAATTAATCAAATTTTATTGATTTGAATAAATTTTGTTTAATTTAATATTAATTTATTTATTCTATTTATTACTATACCGTAATTCTATTTATTTTATTTTTAATCAATGATTTAATCAATTCATAAATTAATCTTATTTATTTTGATAAAATTGTCATAAATACAATTACAAAATCTATAAATGTTTTAGCTTTAATCAAATGTATTTAATGTTATTTAAATATATTGAATAATTTAGTTACTTAGTATAATCTTGTTCATACTATTCCTACTGTTCTTGTTCTTGTTATTTATTTAAACCAATTTTTATTTATTTAGTTATTTTTATCACATTTATTTTTTATCTAAATAAAATGTTTTATGTAGTTATTTATTTTTATTAAAATCAATATTTTATTTTTATTTTAATCAAATGAAAGTATTTTTATTTTAATCAATTTTATTTTAATATAATATATGATTTTATTATTTATTTAAATAAAGTTGCATTTATTTATTTTCATCAATTTACTTTTAATCTAATATATTTTTTATTTATTTTTAAAAAAGTATCTATTCATTATTATTATTTTTATCGCTTTAATCTAATTTATTTATTTTAATATTATTACGGGACGGGTCCAAATATTGTTTTCCGTTATGCGTTTTTTAAAGCATTTAGTTTCTCAGTGCGATGAAGGAAGAACAGAACACTAAGCTGTCAGATTAGATATATGTTATTATGTATGATGTACACTTCATATATCACAGCAAGTCCTGTGGTTTCAGTAAAATGATCATGTTTATTTGAGCACTATGTTCAGACCTGCTTACAACCAATCACATGTTAAGCCAAACATCTTTACTTGTGCTTTTTGTTTGAAAAGTAAATTGTTCCCAGTACAGCCATAAAACACAGGACAGTGTGTGTCTGTGAGTGTGTGTGTACGAGCGTGTGTGTGCAAGTGTGTGTGTGTGTGTGTGACTCGTGTAATGTAGCCGGTTACAGCCTTCTAATGAACAACAGATCTCTTTTCAGAAAGACTGGCATAACTGATGTGCTCATCGAGAGGCAAGATGGTCTACATTATTAATACTCAGATTAACTTACACACACACACACACACACTTGTACATCTATCTTTGTGAAGAGATTCATTTGACCCAATTAACATCAACACTAACTGCTTAACCTGAACCCTAAACCTGCCGTCATCTCCTTGATCATAACCTGATCTCTGATATCAGCTCTTCGTTAACGGCTCTAAATGTCCCATAGTCTAAAACTGGTGTGACACGAAGTTCACACTCACGCACACACACACACACTTTCGCAAACACACACACATGCTCACATCCACTCGCACACACTTGCAAACACACACACTCTCACGAACACACACTCAGGTAGCAAACCCGCTCCGCGACACTAGTAGTTTCAGGGGACAACCACTAGGGGAAACACTGAGCTGGATGCGAGTCGAACTGAATATGCCATCGCTCCTCCCAGCCGTTGACTGTTAGCAGTCTCAAGGTGCGTTGCCGATAATGAGGATGCTCATGAGGAAGACCATGATGAAGAATATCCACATGAAGAAGCGGTCCATCACCTTGGCGATCTTCTTCCACTCGGCCACTTTCAGGCACGTGGCCTTCTGCTCGCGGAAGCAGTTCGCGATGTACTCGACATTCCAAACCAGCTTCGGGTCGCACCCGAGAATTCCGCCGTTGCCACGGTAAGTGCAGTAAACACAGGGATTAAAGGTCAGATGGAATGCGGCCGGTTTCTCGTCGTCGGGGCAACAGGGAGGCGGAGCTCCTTTCGGTTTCTCTTTGAGGTTCCTGTTGTGTTTTCGAACGAAGGGCTCGGATTCTTCCGACTTTCCGAACGGTGACGCGCAGCTTTCGCCGACCTCATAGACGAAGAAGATCTTGGACATGTAGTCGATGATAAGAACTTTGGCCCAGTACGGCACCGGTTTGGCCTCGGCTCCACAGAAGTGGATGTTCATGATGAAGATGGTCAGAGAAGTGGACGCTGTGATCATGGTCATCGTCGCGACGTAGTACTTACCTAGCGAAGGAAGACAGAGCTCAAAGTCAATCTCTTTCTTGCTATCTTTTGATTAGCATGTTGCTAACGTGATTAGCACGTTGGAAGCATGATTAACACATTGCTAGCATGTTTTAACATTTTGCTAACATGTTGCTAGCCTGATTTAAACTAGAACGTAGCCTTTAACGTAGTACTTACCTAGCGGAAGAAAGACAGAGCTTTGCGTCGATCCCTTTCTTGCTGTCTTTTGAAATATTCACTGTCTATCTGATCTCAGCACGTTCACACTAGGATATAGACACTAATTTGCTGTGTTCAGAATAGCATGCTATCGGAATTCAAAATCGAGTTTCGCCATTTGGCTGTTTTGTGGGAGGGGCATAATGTGCCTGAAAGTTTTAAAAGCTTGAAGTTTGAATTTAATTGTTGGCACACACAAATATATATAAAGCATGTTTTAAAATCTCTTTATAATAACAAATATTTATTGCTCTAGCATATTTTAACATGTTGCTAGCATAATTTAGCACATTGTCAACAAGTTTTAACGTGTTGCTAACATGATATAGCACAATGTTGGAGTGTCACTAATATGATTTAGCATGTTGTTAACGATTTAACATTGCTAACTTGTTGCTTGTATGATTTAACACAGTGCTAGCATTGATTAGAATGTCCCTAGCATAATTATCACAGTGCTAGAATTAGTCTGACATGATTTAACACATTGTTAACATGTTGCTTACATGGTTTAATGTTGCTTGCATGATTTAACACATTGCTAGAGTGAATTAGCTTGTAGCTTACATGTTTTTAAATGTTGTTAGCATATTACTAACATGATTAGCACATTGATAGCATGATTTAACACATTGCTAGCATGTTTTAACATTCTGCTACCATGATGTAACATGTTGCTAGCTTGTTGCTACCTTGAATTGGCACATTGCTAACATGTTTAACATGTTGCTATTATGATTTAGCATGTTGCTATTATGATTTAGCATGTTGCTATTACGATTTAACATGTTGCTAACATGATTAGCACACTCATAGCCTGATTTAGCACATTTCTATCATTATGCTACCATGTTACTAGCTTGGTTTAACATGTTGAATTGGCACATTGCTATCATGTTTAACATGTTGCTATAATTTAACACATTGCTAGCATGGATTAGCATTTTACTAGCATGATTTAAAATGTTGCTAACATAATTTAACATTTTGCTAACATGTTTCTAACATGATTTAACATTGCTAACATGTTTAACCTGTTGCTAGTATGATTTATCACATTGATAGCATGTTTCTAGCATGGTTTAACATGTTGCTAGCATTATTTAAAACGTTATTTGAAATTTGCTCTCAGAAGAAGCAACTTAAATCGGATTTCAGTACGTTGTTTCTGTCAATAAATTACAATATGACCCTATCTAAGACAGCTAATCAGTAGATCCGAGACTCACCGATCAGAGGAACGCTCTCGGATGGAGGCATGCTCTCCGCCACCATCATCTGAAACACGGTGAGCGCTAGCAGAACCGTCACGCCCAGCGAAACCTTCTCTCCCGAGTCGGCGGGCAGGTAGAAGCCCAGAGGAGCCAGGAATGAGATGAGGAAGCAGGGCAGCAGCAGGTTAAAGATGTAGAACGAGCTCCGCCTCTGCAGCAGAACCGTGTAGGTGATGTCGGGATACGGGTCCGAGCAGCAGCCGTACATGATCACGTTCTTCGTGGCCGGCATCCCGTGACATTCCCACTCCACGTTCTCCACGAAGTCCGAGAGGTCGCCGCTGTCCATCCCCATAGCGATGTCCACCTGGAGGAGACCGTTTCGAGACCACGACTTTTTAACGCATGTCACACTATATATATTATATACTGTATATCAAAGGTGCAGTGTGTGATTTTTAGCGGCATCTAGTGGTGAGTTTGCGAATTTCACCCAACAGAAGTTACGGTGGCCGACAGAAAGCGATGTCGTCGTCTGAGACAGCGGAGAGTAGCAACGGGGTTTCTTTACGAAAGTAAATTAAGAAATTAGGTTTACTTAATTATTAAATAAAACAATGTTATTGTGAATATTATAGTCACTTGTTCATCATTGTGTCAGCGTTTTATTCGCTGACTTTAGAAACTTATTTGCATGAAGAACAACATAGTGACGAAACGTGTTTGTCCGTTCAGGGCCACCGCAGAAACATGTCGAAACAGCGACATATAAAAACTAATAAAAACAACGTTTCATTATGTAAGGTTTTTATACACCACTGAAAATATATTTATGTTCATGATATTGCATTTCGGTCAACAGATCCTCCTAAATATTACACACTGCACCTTTAAGTGAAGAGTATATGTTATGCAGTTATTTATTTTAGTCGGAAAGTAGTGCCATATATACATGAACCAAAACATTCCCATTTTATTAAATAACTTTATAAACCCTTTAACTAAAAACGAAAAATCTCAAGAAAACGTGCTGATTCAAAAGCACTTTTCTCTCTCTCTTTTCCCTTTCTCTTTCTGGCGGCTGTGTTTGGTGTTTGTACCTGGTTCCCGTTGTAGGTCCATGAGCCGAAGGTCAGGTTGCACTGCTGGCTGTCGAAGGGGAAGTAGGAGACGTCCACCACACAGGAGCTCTTCGTGATGGCCGGGGCGTCCCACGTGATCTCGCCGTTGTACCGCAGCACCACATTAGTGTCCACCGGCCCGGAGAAGTCATCATCCGCCCTGCCAGCGCACACGTGTGTGTTTAGAAGAGCAAAACACACACAGAGAGAATTCAAGTTAAAGAGGACCTATTATGCCATTGAGTCTTCTAAAATGTTTTCCTGCTTGAATGTTCAAAAACATATTATTTTCATATTTGTGCGGCTCCTCTCTTCCCAGTCTGTCAGTAACGCTCTGTTTACTTCCTGTCTCCTCCTTCTGAAAGCACACTGTGCTCTGATTGGTCGGCTGGATCAATGTGTTGTGATTGGTCGAGTGCTTTGAGTGTGTTTGGGAAAGTCCCACCCCTTTCCATAACCACCAGTTTGACGCACTACTAACTAACTCAACCAGGCCCCGCCCCTTTATTCTGCGCATGAATTATTATAATGAGGAATATTGAGACATGTTCGTTCCCGAGACTACAATGGAGACAGAGGAAGATGGAAAGCATGGTGTTCTTTAAAAACATGGTGTTTGCTCTAATACTGCAGTTGTAAAGAGATCTCCAGAGGAATGCTAACATGTGCATGAACGTACGGGCGTACTTGTTATAGAGCACCAGGTCTGGTCTCCACACGAGGCTGCTGGGAATGCGAATCACCTCCAGACCGTCGTACTCGTCTTTATTCCACTTCAGGTAGGCGTCGTGCCACGTCTGTCTGATCCACAGGTACGCGATCAACACCTGGTTCCTCTCGTCCTGCACAGAGCTCATTCCCTATCATCTATTATTCCCAGTACTAGTCTCTTATTAACACTGTAACGCTGCTTTGAAATGATCTATATTGTTTAAAAGGGTGTTGCTGAGTTTTCTCCTAAAATCTTTAAAAGAATTATCACATGATCTTATAATCAAGATCTGATTTGGTCTTGTGCAGTAAAGTAAGTAAGTAATGCAGAATAAAAACATTTAAATTGTCCGTTCTCTACTGCTGTCACACACACTGCTGTAGGTCTCTGGCATTAGCTATATGACGTTACTAAAGGTCAGCTGAGCAGAAACTCTCAGACTGCTGTAAATATTAGATGCCAACTAGAGACAGACAGAAAGAGAGAGTGGCTGAGAGAGAGAGAGACATATATATCGCATGTGCACTTGCAGAAAAGGGTTCTTTGGTGTGAAAAAGGTTAGATTTTATTCTTAACTTATTATTTTTTTTAAATGTTCTTTAGACTAAATGTTCTTTAAACTCACTGAAAGGTTCTTTGGGGAAACAAAAAACTGTTTAGAAGGATTAGCCTAACTTTTTAGTGTATGATGTCATATGATTGACAGGTGCGAAAACTCACTTTCGGAACTTTTCTTTTTACGAGTGTATGATGTCATATGATTGACAGCTAAGAAAACTCCCTTTTGGAACTTTTCTTTTTACCTGTGTATGATGTCATATGATTGACAGGTGCGAAAACTCACTTTTGGAACCATAATTTTTACGAGTGTATGATGTCACATGATTGACAGTGACGAAAACTCACTTTCGGAACTTTTCTTTTTACGAGTGTATGATGTCATATGATTGACAGGTGCGAAAACTCACTTTTGGAACCATAATTTTTACGAGTGTATGATGTCATATGATTGACAGCTAAGAAAACTCGCTTTTGGAACTTTTCTTTTTACAAGTGTATGATGTCATATGATTGACAGGTGCGAAAACTCACTTTTGGAACCATAATTTTTACGAGTGTATGATGTCACATGATTGACAGTGACGAAAACTCACTTTCGGAACTTTTCTTTTTACGAGTGTATGATGTCATATGATTGACAGGTGCGAAAACTCACTTTTGGAACTTTTCTTTTTACCAGTGTATGATGTCATATGATTGACAGGTGCGAAAACTCACTTTTGGAGCCATAATTTTTACGAGTGTATGATGTCACATGATTGACAGTGACGAAAACTCACTTTCGGAACTTTTCTTTTTACGAGTGTATGATGTCATATGATTGACAGGTGCGAAAACTCACTTTTGGAACCATAATTTTTACGAGTGTATGATGTCATATGATTGACAGCTCTGAAAATTCACTTTTGGAACTGTTATTTTTCGAGTCTATGATGTCACATGATTGACAGCTGCGAAAACTCACTTTCGGAACTTTTCTTTTTACGAGTGTATGATGTCATATGATTGACAGGTGCGAAAACTCACTTTTGGACATTTTTTACGAGTGTATGATGTCACATGATTGACAGCGACGAAAAATCACTTTTGGAACTTTTCTTTTTACCAGTGTGTGATGTCATATGATTGACAGGTGCGAAAACTCACTTTTGGAACCATCATTTTTACGAGTGTATGATGTCACATGATTGACAGCGACGAAAACTCACTTTCGGAACTTTTCTTTTTACGAGTGTATGATGTCATATGATTGACAGCTCTGAAAATTCACTTTTGGAACCGTTATTTTTTCGAGTCTATGATGTCACATGATTGACAGCTGCGAAAACTCACTGAGTGTATGATGTCATGGCTAGTTGTAGTTGTTTTCCCCACATGAAGCAGTAAACTAAGGAAGAGAGACTGACCATGTCTTTGATCTGAGACAGCGTGACCTGCAGCGTGACGTTCAGGGTTTTGTCAGTGTCGTCCACCGGTCGTAGAGCAGTGGAATAATTCTCCATCAGATCATTCAACAGTTTGTGTGCGTATCGACCCTGAGCACAATGAGCTGCTGAACACACACACACACACATGCAGAAACAAGAAGTAACATTTAAAAAACATCCTAGTTAAACAATTTTGGAAAAAAGTTCCATGAACAATGTATAAATAATGTTTTTGACCTCATAACTTTGAATAAATGTTATATTAATGTTACTGGAAGAAAGTTATAGCAGAAGTTCTGAACGTTCCCTGAAGCTGATTAAAGTGTTGTGTCAAAGAGCCAACAAATATTCATTATATACGTATATACCAGGTTTAAAACCGTTTTTAAGTTTTGGTAAGTTTTGATATTAGTGTTCTTGTTAGAGTAATGGGCTGGTTGTTGTAACAACGTTTGGGATTAATTTGAGATTTCTTAACCAATTTATGTCTGATAAATGTGAATATACTGAAAGTTTAAGCCACAAAACAAACTAACAAAATGTGTCAAATTTCCCCAGTCTTTCATGTGTAACAATATTAAAACAAAAAAGCTATATTAAAACATTTAGATATAAAACAATGTTTAAATAATTTAATTAATAGACAAGTTTTAAAATAAACTTAAGTTTATTAAGTTTTAGTAACTTAAGTAACGTAAGTTTTTGCCGAAAACATGAACAAACAAATAAAAAACAAATAAAAACAAATAAAAAAACTACATTCAAAGGGAAAAATATTTTATTTTACCACTGACATTTTTTAAAAGCAAAAACATAATAAACTTTGCAAAATTCTGAAATGGAATGTTCGTTCGAATAACGTTAAAAAGAATTTCGAATAATCAGAGAACACTCAAAAATGACGTTTTCACACCTTAATGGGAACGTCAACGAAACGTTCTAGAACTATTTTTGTTGTCTTTGAAGAACTTATTGCTTAATTAACCCCCACTACGCCTACCAAACCAGCCTGAAATGAATATGAAAGTATAATCTGGTTCGACTATGCGTGTCTCACCTTCGACGAGCAGCAGCGCAGAGAAGAACAGCATCCCCACGCAGATCCTCTCCATCCCCGCGAGCAGAGATCACCCAAGAGCATCAGCGCTAGATCTGTTCTCTCTCTTCTCCCCGTTCCGCGCTCGATCTGCCGTCACTGGAGCTCCGGGTGTCGCGTTGCCGTTACGGTAACCAGACGCGCCGCTATTCAGCTGTCAATCATGCGCGCAACAGGTGGGCTCGAGGACAGGTAACGGAGATGATGTGGTGATTGTGACGGGAATAACACCTTTATCATCATCACCGTGGTCTGAAATAACACAGGAGCGAAATACAATATATAGGTCATGTGTCTAGTGCGCCTTTGGTTTAGTTATATGTTAAGAGTAGTTCACTTTAAAATGAAAATTAGCACATGATTTACTCACCCTCAAGTCATCCTACAAAGCGGATGCACTTTTATGATGGACAGATGATTCAAGACATGGTGCATTATCCTGCTGGAAGTAGCCATCAGAGGATGGGGACATGGTGGCCATAAAGAGATGGACATGGTCAGAAACAATGCTCAGGTAGGCCGTGGCGTTTAAACGATGCCCAATTGACACTAAAAGGCCTAAAGTGTGCCAAGAAAACATCCATTACACCACCACCACCAGCCTGCACAGTGGGAACAAGGCATGATGGATCCATGTTCTCATTCTGTTTACGCCAAATCATCTGAATGTCTCAACAGAAATCCAGACTCATCAGACCAGGCGACATTTTTCCAGTCTTCAACTGTCCCGTTTTGGTGAGCTCTTGCTTTCTCCTATTTGTAGTTGAGATGAGTGGTACCCGGTGGGGTCTTCATCCGCATCAAGGTTGTGTGTGTTGTGTCTTCTTCACAAATGCTTTGCTGCATACCTCGGTTGTAACGAGTGGTTATTTCAGTCAAAGTTGCTCTTCTATCAGCTTGAATCAGTCGGCCCATTCTCCTCTGACCTCGAGCATCAACAAGGCATTTTGGCCCACAGGACTGCCATCGCATACTGGATGTTTTTCCCATTTCACTCCATTCTTTGTAAACCCTAGAAATGGTTGTGTGTGAAAATCCCAGTCACTGAGCAGATTGTGAAATACTCAGACACCAACAACCATGCCACGCTCAAAATTGCTTAAATCCCCTTTCTTTCCCATTCTGACATTCAGTTTGGAGTTCAGGAGATTGTCTTGACCAGGACCACACCCCTAAATACATTGAAGCAACTGCCATGTGATTGGTTGATTAGATAATTGCATTAATGAGAAATTGAACAGGTGTTCCTGATAATCCTTTAAGTGAGTGTATATATATATGTGTGTGTGATATATATCACTATTACTAACAGACAACAAACGTACTTAAGACATTGGACATTGCTAAATTATTATTTTTTTACTCCAATTGTTATGCTCATATATATATATATATATATATATATATACACTGCTGTTCAAAAGTTTTTGATCAGTAAGATTTTTATGTTTTTAAAAGAAGTCTGTTCTGCTCACCAAGAATGCATTTATTTAATTAAAAATACAAAATAAACAGTAATGTAATTAAATATTATTCTAATGTAAATCATTTGTTTTCTATGTGAATATACAGTAAAGTGTAATTTATTCCTGTGATCAAAGCTGAATTTATCATATTCTCCAGTCTTCAGTGTCACATGACCCTTCAGAAATCACTCTATCTGATAATCAACAAACATTTATGATTATTATTAATGTTGAGAACAGTAACTTACATTTTATATTTCAGGATTCTTTGATGAATATGAAGTGGAAAATAACAGCATTTATCAGAAGTAGAAAGATTTTGTAACATTAAACATCACCGTTCCAAAGTTTGGGGTCAGTATGCTATTTTATTATACATTTATACATCAAGGATGAATTAAATTGATCAAAAGTGCCAGTAAAGACATTTATAATGTTACAAAAGATTATATTTCAAATAAATGCTGATCTTTTGAACTTTCAATTCATCAAAGAATCCTGAAAAATAAAATGTGTTTCCACAAAAAATGCTATAAACACTGATAATAATCATAAATGTTTGTTGATCATCAGATCCTCATATTGTGATGTGTGAAGGATCATGTGACACTGAAGACTGGAGTAACATTTTAAAATGTATAAAAATATAAAAAAGTTATTTAAATTGTCATAATATTACCCAATATTACTGCTTTTTGCGTATTTTTAATCAAATAAATGCAGCCTTGCTGAGCAGAAGAGACTTTTAAATATATGGCTATATCTCCATGCTCATATATTCAGTATGAATGTGTTTGTGGTGTCAGAACCTGCAGTCAATGCAACACACAGATGATCCAAACATCACATGCTCAGCCATGAAACTAGTGTTTATTTCACTATTCCACAAAGCAATAATAAATAAAGGCATTGCCACATTGCTTTAATTTATACAGACTTTAATAGCTTTATTTACAGATGAACTCTTGTCTTTCAAATATCTGTGTGTGTGTGTGTGTGTGTGTGTGTGTTTTCCAGTCTTCAATGTTTGAGATTAACATCTATGAGTGATAGAAACCATTTCACGACGTTCTGTTCGACACTGTAGTTTTAAAAATACTTTCCAGATAAAAGAGCCAATGATTGTGCGGGAGGGAGAAAGACTGCAGTGTGTGTGTGTGTGTGTGTGTGAGGGGGCGGGGCTACAGTCGGGCTGGAGTCAGATTGCTGCACCGTTCTGAAGGAGATGATGATGATAATGATGATGAAGATTATAAGAGAGAAAGAAAAAAGGCACATCCAAACAAAAATAAGTAAACAAAAGAATGAGATAGAAAAGTTCACAGTCAGTTCACCCAAAAATGAAAGTAAACGCATCTTAAACTCGCGCTCATGTTGTTCAAAAACCTTTCTTTGTGCAGAGAAAGAGCAGCGTGAACATTCAGCTGAACAAACACGAGTTTCGAACAACATAAACGTGACGTTTTCAGTTTGGGATGAACTATTTTGAGGAAAGGAATGGAAAAGATGGCGAGGAGAGAAAGAGAGTGATTGTGTGAGATCGGGTGCTTCGGCTCCTCGTGTGGGACTCAGTTGCTGAGCAAGAGTTCTGTCGCTGTCTCCACGTCCCAGGACTTCGACGACAGCGCCACTATTACTGCGTTCTGCACAGAGGAAAACGTGCCACAATCACTACACCTATTAAATAGTACATTAGCGGCTTCTAAAGCGTAGCATGTGCACTTATGAATTCCACAAGGCGGGAAAACGCGGACTCCAGTCATAAAAACGGGATTTACTGTACATCTATATGAGGACGCATGAACTTCAGCTCCAGAGCCGCTCTATGAGCATTCACCGTAACCCTTCACTGCAACCCTTCAAAATAAAAGTTTGGTTTAACTTGAAGAAATTCTGACAGAAATATTTTACAGATGTAACCTGTTTGACAAAAAAGTGTGTTTTATTTTATATGATTAAAAGTAATATTGATTTAATCATATAGTTAAAATTATCGTTTTACACCTTTTTTGATTACCAGAAAATTTAAACACGTAACAGAATTTCTGGAGGGAAAAACAGAAAAATTATTTTATAGATATTTAAAAAAAAAATGTTTTTATTTATTTTAAAAATTAAAAAAAAAAATGTTATTTTTTATTTAAATAAAATGTTAAATAAAATGTTTTATTTATTTTATAAATTAAAAAAAAAAATTTTATTTATTTTATAAATTATACCAGTATAATTATACTTTTTTAATTATTAAATATACTTTTTACATTTATTTTTATACTTTTTTAATTATTAAAATGTAATTAAACCATTAAAATGGAATCCTGAAACCTTAACACAGAACTTGTGAAATTTGAGAAAAAATTAATAAACCTATGTCATAGAGCCCTAAACATGTAATTTTTAATAAATTGTAGTTAAATTGATTAAGTTGCATGATTTCAATTAATTAGACATGCTTTATGATTACAAAAATTTTATTTAACCAATAAAAAGGAGTCAAAAAATCAAATAAAACGGAATTTGGGGAAAAATAAAAAGGTTTCATAGGGCCCTCATTTCTGTACACGATTTCCTGAACATGAAGGTCTGAACAAACCTTCTTCCAGATCATTCAGTGTTATCTGGTTTTTAATTATGTTCTCAGAACATTAGCACAAAAACATTATTTATACATCTTTCATGGAACGCTGTTTTTTTTCTTTTTGTAGGACAACATTTTAGCTGGACGTTCGTCTGACGTTTGTTAAATGTTACTACTTGTTTCAAAACATTCAAAAGTAACGTTCACATAATGTTTGAAGAATGATGAAATGTTCCTGTAAACATTTTGAACATTCAAAAACATCATTTAGTGTTTATACGTGTGTTTTTGTGAGCGTGTGTTGCTTTACTCACTTTCTCGAAGCCCATAGCGCAGAGTTTGTCTATTTTGCGTGTGTAGTCTGGGCTGGAGACGGGAGCTCCCGCGTAAACATGTGACCAGAGTCGAGCCGTCTGTTTGAACATCTCTGGGTTCTGTTTATACTGTGAGACAGGAAATAAACACAGTGAAAACAGGAAGTGACCACATCAGCCTGACACCCAAACGAAACGAACAAGATGATTCATCTCAAGGGGTTAATCCTAATAAATGCATCATTGTCTATATACCTGATTGGCGACTACAGCGTCCTGTGGATCATCTGGTTCAGCAGCGGCCAGAAGAGCCTGTAGTGACAGTAACACTGTTCGGAGGGTCATGGCCGCCGCCCTGAAACACACACACACACACACACACACACACACACGAGAGAGAGCTCATCAGTTTCAGTGTTCACTGTTGCTGCACAGCTCTATAGTGCGTTCAGTGTGATCTTACCACTGGTCCTTCAGGATATCCAAGCAAATGGCTCCTGTTACTGAGCTGATGTTGGGATGCCAGATCTTCGTTATAAACCGCACCTGAAAAACATCAGCGGACAAGCGGAATTAATACCTAAAGTAGCGAGACACATAGTCAATAGCAGAGCAGCACCAATCAGTTTCAATTCAGGGAATACAAAATGCATCTAAAGTGCGAATATTTGGCAAATTAATGCAGCATGTTGCACTAAAAATCTGCACTACAATAAGAAAGAATAAAAGAAAAAGAAATAAATTTAAATCAAGAATAAATTGTGTGTGCACAGCCAACAGAAGTAGAAGAATAAGCAGGTAAATAAGCTTCTTTTAGATTTCGGCTTCGCAGTTTTCATCCAGTAAATGAGATTATGTATCAGAACCGTCTCAAACGTTGTCGTTGTCAATCGGCATGCGTCTTGTTTTCTGTGGTTGTGCTTCATCTCTCCTTACTCACCTTAGGTGGATTAAATGGATACGTCTCTGGAATTTTAATTTCTAGTTGAAATCTGCCACCTACAAAACAGAAAAAAGACAGAAAATCACATAAAACTAGAGAAAAAAAAATCAAAACAATTCATGAAATCAACATCATATTAGTGTAAATATCTACTCCAGTAAGCATGCATACGTGTCACCAAGACATCTGAAACGTTTAGAAACAAAAACATTTAAACAAGTGCATGCATTTAGAAAAATGACTGTCGTTCCAATGTCAGAAAGGAAAGATTTGAGAAATGAGACACTAATGTACAAGAAATTCAGGAATAACTTTTGAGTTTGAAAATATAATTAATTTGGTTTTATCTGTATTTAAAACCATTTTAAGTCGATCAAATGGCAGAAGTGCTATGCTGGTTGAAAATGAGAAATAAGATTATTTATTTGCACAAAAATATATATTTTTCATTAAAATAATGCAAAATACAGTTTGACAGCTGTTTGTGTGGCAGGCGTGGCATAAAATAATTGAGGTATGACAGAAACGTCTTACCTTCATAAGGTGTGTCTGGCGGTCCTGCGATTTCCCCCCTCAGCTCTGTGAAATTCTCATCCACTAAATCAACCTTGATCTGGTTTTTACTTGTCTGTGAAAATAAAAAGAAATGTCAGGAAAGTTAGTCAACAAAAAATAAATATCCATTCCATAAAATTGTTTGCTTTTGTCCCCAAAATGAGAGCAGAAAAAGCCTCGGAAAGTATGGTTTAGGTTTGCAACTTTGGGACGGTAGCTATTCGTTTTCTTGATGCCCTAAAAGATAAACACAGGCTTAAATGGCAAAGTAAAATTAACCCCAAATTTTGCAACTAAATCCAAAATTACAACCCAATAATGCTCAACTCGCCAACATTCAAAAGGACCCACTCTAGCAAAAAACATCCTACAAAACTTTTGACAAGGCTCTTTCAAAGTTATGGCAAAACATATTTTTGTTAACTGGGATGCTGTAGTCAAGTCATGGTACAGTGATGATATCAGAAGGTAAATGCAACCAAAAATCACAAAAACATTGTTTTTGTACCCTGATTATGGTATTTGTAGCACTTAATTTGTGACTGACAGTTGTAACAACTCACTATAATTAGTGATACCCAAATAAACATGTTATTTAAGATAGATACTTAATGAAGGATCAGAGATTTAGTCGGTAAATTTAGTTCATTTGCTGAAGTTTACACTCGTTTTAAAAGTTTCACACAACACTCAATACACACATTAGGTCATTATAACTTATATTATTTAAAGAATAAACATTAATCACGAGTCACAAATGGAGGTTTTAATATAAATGTGCGTCCGTAATTACAATAATCATCAATCTTATCATTGTTGTGATTCTGACGAAGCTATCCTTGACAAAACTATCATAAAAGTTTGTCATACCATAAAAACACGCCAGCTCACATAAATTAACCCAAATATTAATTGTTGTGCGCATAAAAATGTTGTTTTAACGTCAAACGTAAGCGTACGTGTGTGTTTATGTAGCACTAGCTGGCCTTAGGTTAGCATGCGGCTAGTCACACACAGGCCTTTATAAAAACACCACAAACACACACGAATACACATCAAACCACTGCATAAGCACAATAAATACAGCAGAATCGGTCAAATAAACACATTTGAATGCCAGAGATATGTGTTTTGGCTTGTTTCGGAGGGTTGGACTCGTTTAAATGCGGTTCGGCCTGACGGGACAAACATCCCATAATATTCCCCCAAAATCGCGTATCTGACACCCAAAACACACATTAAACAGCATCATCTCAATGAACGAGACAAATCACAGCTGTGGCGGATTCAGTCCAGATCAGAGTGAGTCACAATTGATCCGTCCATCATTGCACATGATTAAATGCACATGTGTCAGTCATAAGGCATGATTGACAGCTGTCAAAGTAAATGTACACATGTGTGTGTAAGTGCTGAACGAACCTCTTCGCTTTTCAGAACCTCTTTAAACTCCCGTTTGATCCGCTGAACCGCGATGTTGGCCATGCTGTTCATACACCACAACCAACACACACACACACACACACACACACACACACACACACACACACACACACACACACACACACACACACACACGCACACACGCACACACGCACGCACGCACACACAATAATGCTGTGTACAATAAAGATGGAATACCATAGTATTTTTGATGTGACTTGGTACATGAATATAATCATCATCCCATGGTATCAATCAAGTATTGACTAACTTTTGCACAACCTTCATGTTTCTGTCCTGTTTACTTTATTCAGAGTAAGCGAGTGTTGTCTGCACATCACAGTACGTTTTAGTTTAAAGGTGCTTTATTGGCATGACAAATGTTTTTACATTCATATTTCTGCATGCAGTTGAAACTAGAAAATGAAGTGCAAAACACAAAAAAACATAAATACTAATAAATAAATAAATATAAAAAACAGAATTAAATAGGCTAATAAAATGCATTTATAAGTAAAAGTATATACAAGTAATAATAATAATATGATACTATAATAATAAAAAAATATAGCCTATGTAAAATAGCATTTATTAATTTAAAATGTTAAAAAAAATGCTATAGGCCTACTTGCAGCCAGACTAATTTAATATACTTCAAGTGTGGTAATGAATAGTTAACTTGAAGTGTGCTATTTTGGAACAATTAATGTGTTGTTAATGCAACACAAATCAATCATGTAATTAAGTAAACTTAAGTTGTACATATGTTTAAGCAGATTGATTACAATCAAATTAAGTTTGGGCAAAATGGCAAATACTGCCACCTCTCTGGATGTACGAATTTTTTACTTAACATAAATGGTGTGTGTTTAGACAACGCGTTGGGATTTTGTACTGTTAAATTGAGACAATTACATAGGAAAAAAAAACGTTTTAATTCAAAAAACACAATTATAAGTACACTAAAAATAAATATATTTTGTAAAGTGCACAACATTCCTAGTTCATTTTTTTTTTTTTTAAGTTTTTAACTCTATGCTTTATAAGTCTTGGTATTTGAAGTTACCGCTTAGCTGTTTTAGCCGACACATGATAACTTTGTCACACTGTCGTAGAACGCTATTCAAAAATGCTGTTATTTGCAGTGTTGTGTGTTAAATAAAATGAAACTTATTGTAATGTCTTACTGATGATCAGTGTTAGGTAACTTACATCTTTAGGGCAAGTAACATAATCAGATTAGTAACGCTAATCTAGTAACGAAAAGTAACGCATTATTTGTTCGCAATACAAGTTACTTTTTTAAATAAGTAACAGTTACTTTCTCACATTTAGTGACTGACAGCTCTCTATACTGGTACAAAAGCATTTGAAACAGCACAACACCAATATCAATGATTCATTGGGAATATGTTGCATTTCTTACATTGATGTGTTGATCTTTTGCGTTAAGCATTAATCCTTCATTTTTTAACTGCAGTTCAAACGCGCGCGCGCGCGCGTGTGTGTGTGTGTTTGCGTGTGCATTACCTGTTTGAAATGCCTTTATCCTCATAAATGAGAGTTTGTCACAGGAATGCTTCACAGCTTCACATGATGGTGATTTATTACAAGTTGGTCTACAGCACTTCTCAAACGATATTATTTATTGTTATAATTTACAGTATTACAAAACATCACAGATTCATTCTTAAACTGTTTCCGTTTTTCCTTCAGACATCCCCTCTACTAGTTCACGTTAAGTCCATCAAATTGTACAAAAAGCGGAACCGTTCATCATCAGAAATGATAACAGCTAGTGTGAGGAGAACTCATTCGCAGAACAGCAGCGCCATCTAATGGACAGAGAACTGATAACAGCCAGTGTGAGGAGAACTCTCATAGAACAGCAGCAGCGCCATCTAATGGACAGATATCACACAGTTCCTGCAATACAACTTCAGCTTAACAGTCGAGAACTTACATAGATGTAAATAAAGGAATCATTCTGCAGGTTTTAAATCAGAAATGTGATTCTTGTATTTTTGTTAAAGCACTTAACATTAATTATTCCCTAAAAATATGCACTATTAGAGCTGTGTAATGTCTAAATCATCATCGAGTTCAGACTAATATTTTAGCGAGATTAACTTCTAGTGATACTGATAAAATCCCGGTGTATATTTTTCTTGATGTGTAAAAAGTGCTTTTTCTTGTGTCTTGTGTGTAAAGTTGACAGGGTTTATCATCACACACGGCCAATGTTCAGGTGTTTGGGTTGTACACACGTGTGCATTTTAAAGTGTCTTGTGTTTGGCCGGTTCAGCCAATCTGGAGATGTTTGATCTCATTTTCCGTCGGGTCATTGTGACGGTGACCCGAAACACATTTTTAAAAATGTTTACATTTTTTTTGTGGTTAAAAAGTAACAAATCCTTCCCTCACGGATCAATTTGACCCACATAGAAATGAATAAAATGTGAGGAATGCTTCAATAAACATTGAAAACCCTAGAAAAATCAAACTAAACCTTAACATCTACATGTGTATCTAAATGCATACTGAAAAAAAAAAACGGACTTTAGGACCCAGCGGAACAGCTCCATAGAGCTATAAGTCATGAAATATCATGTTATATGTTTTGTTTCCACAAGAGGTCACCAATGTAAGATATTATGACCGGAATTAAAAGGTTTATGCATGAAATATGCATATATACAAGTTATTTTGAATTTCAGTTGAAAGAATGTGAGAAATGTACTTAAATTACTATGTATTTATTATTTATTCATTCATCAAATCTAGTAATTTAAAGGTAAATAAAATAAATACATCGAAAAAAAATTGCCTTAAAGAAAATCGAAAAAATATTATCAAAATAAAATAATATTATTTATTCATCAAATCTAGTAATTTAAAGGTAAATAAAATAAATACATCGAAAAAAATTGCCTTAAAGAAAATCGAAAAAATATTATCAAAATAAAATAATATTATTTATTCATTAAATCTAGTAATTTAAAGGTAAATAAAATCAAATAAAATAAATACCCCCAAAAAATTGCCTTAAAAAAATATTATCAAAATAAATAATATTATTATTTATTCATCAAATCTAGTTATTTAAAGGAACATAAAATAAAATAAATACCCCAAAAAATTGCCTTAAAAAAAAAAAAAAAAAAAAAAAAAAAAAAAAAAATCGAAAAAAATATTATCAAAATAAAATAATATTATTATTTCTTCATCAAATCTAGTAATTTAAAGGTAAATAAAATAAAATAAATACGCCCAAAAAAGTGACTTTAAAAAAAAAAAAAAAAAAAAAAAAAAAAAAAATCGAAAAAATCGAAAAAATATTATCAAAATAAAATAATTTAAGTTTTCTGGACCAAAAAATATTAAAAAAATAATTAAGTCTAATTTAAGGGCTTCGGGTCATTTGACCCGCGAGGGAAAGCTGTGTTATAAAGTGCACGGGAAGTACGAGTGTCGTGTGTGTGTGTGGTGAGGTTTGGGCGAGATGGTTAGTAGTGTAAGCGGCCGGGTCTGTGTGCGACCCTCATCATGTGGAACCTCTGCGGGACAGCGAGTCTCTGCGCCCTGACGTTAACCGCTCTCCTCATCCTCATCCTCCTCTTCCTCAGCACAGAGATGATGATGAGCATCGACACGCTGACGGACACACACACGCTGAAGAACAGCAGCGGTTTGTTCTCTGCGATGTGTCTGCAGAGTTCACAGCTCGTCCGGGTGTCCGCGACCTGGCAGGTGAAAGGTCGGAGGTCGGCGGCGGACGGAAAGCCGCGGCGGGTGATGATGTCACGGTAAAGGGCGACGGATGCTTTGGGTCGAGAGTGACGAGCGGCGGAGGTGAAGAGACCAAACTGAAGACCGTGATGATCCTGGAGCTTCCAGATATAAAACCCTCTCAGATTGACCCCGTCCAACTCACGAGCTGAGAGAGAGAGAGAGAAAGAGAGAGAGGAAGAGCGAGCGAGAGATGGATAAAAAGGGAGAGTGAGAGAGAGGGAGAGATAGATAAAGAGAGGAAGAGAGAGAGGTTAGTAGCTCATATTGCTATGCAACAAAATACAGCTTTCATACAATTTTGAGTTAATAATATTTATAATAATATTTCAATTAGTAAAAATGTATATAATTTATCCATGCATTCACAATTCTATATTTATGATTTAGTTCATGATTCTCTGATTTCAGTCAAAGGTCACGTGACATGCAGGCCTAATCAAAAAAGAAATTATGACTTTTTTATCTTTACTTTTTCCATTTAAAATTTTATATTTTATTTTTGTAACAAAATTAGTTGTTGTGGGAAGGAGGAGGCGGGAACCGGCGAACGTTCAAACACTTTAATAATCACAAAGTGAAAGTAAACAAACAACAAAGTAAAGTAAAACATAAACAAAACACAACATAAGTGCAGGCCTGGTCCTCTCTCTCTCTCCACTGACGTCATCGCTCCTCCGCGAGAGATACGAGACCGGTGCGTCGCGCAGGAGTCGCTCATCCTCGATCACGCTCGCCACAACTTTATTTTTTATTTACCATTTTATGAATTATCAGCCAGGGTTCGTGAACAACACAGTGGGAAACCCAGATACAACACACACAGCACTGTTTCTCAAATATGTACACAGGTAAGAACAGGACACACAGTGTTCACAGATTAATCACAAAGGCTACTCTGTCAGGACACACACACACACACACACACACACACGAGAGGAAGCCACTTTGACTCAATTCGTACAGACACTGTAAAAAACCTTTATTGGGCTCAAGGAACAGATAGTCTCCTCCTGATCCATGTGTGTCACTCCATCTCAAAGGTCACTCATAAACCGCTCTGAGACAGAATTACAGCACGATGACCTTTGACCCCATGATGTCCATGTGACACCATCTCATAACTCTCATAAACAGCAGGATGACCTTTGACCCCATGATGTCGAACCTCAGAGGAAGTGGCTGATTACGTTCTGTTCTTGTGTTAGAACAGATAACACCAGATAACACACACACACACACACTCTGCAATACGGCTAATCTCTCATGTTGTTGTTATATAACAGGAACATGTTTCATAATCACAGCTCATTAGTGATGTTTGCTGAGGCAAGGCGCTCATATTATCATGATAGACTTCCTTTTTTAATCAAAAGTGTTGTTAAAACTTTTAGCATTTTTTTGAAAAACTTTCAAAACTTGTTTTGTTTCTTGTTTTTGAAATGATGAATGTATGATTTAGTTGATTTTTGAATAATGGTTTATGGTCTGGTTAATGGTCATGTGACATACGGTTAAACAAATACAAATTTTAGAAAGTTTTATATTTAGATTGTGTTTTTATATATATTTGATATTTTATGAATTATTAGCCAGGGTTTAATGGTTTAATGAATTTTTTTTAAAATGCTTAATACATGAATTTGATAAATAATAATGGAAGCAAACGAATGCTAAAAGTGGACGGTCGCTGTTGTGCTAAAACCTGTGATATTTGCCAAAAAAAAATATTAAAATGAAAATGTTGAAACAATAAAATCAATTAATGATCTAAGAAATATTAAAAGAAAAGAAAAATAAACAAAAATAATATAAGAATAAAATAATAAAATAAACCAAAACAAATAAAAAATAAAAATAATGATAAAATAAAATTAATATAATAAACTATAAAAATATGAATAAAATGAAAAAATAGTAAATAATAAAATAAAAGAATAATACGATATTTTCTCACCTTTCAGCGCCTCCTGCAGGTAGTCCCTGATATAGCGCTGTCTCAGCTGGTCATTATGGGATGCTTGATCATCCACCCCTGACGCTGTGATGATGATGGGCAGGCCATCGCCATAGCGATCCTTCACCCATCCCAGCACCCTGCGGAGACCCCAGGGCACAAACGCCAGTCCCAGGTGTGACGCCGGCCAGGTGACGTCGGTCATCAGCGAGTATCCGTGGTCCTGATTTGCTGGTTTGGGTGGGTTTGGGTTTCGTGGTGAAGGTTTGTGCAACGGTGACACCAGACGTGTCGTGAAGTGATTCAAAGCGATGAAATCCAGCGCCCCTTTAAGCTCCTCCCTCTCGTCATCGGTGAAGCCAATCAGAGCGTTGCCACGCCCCTCAAACACGGGGTCTAGAAAACGGCCCAGTTCGAACGACAAAAAATCCTGCCGTGCAGCTTCATGTGATTCTACGAACGGATTGGCCGGTTCGGCCCAATCAGCATGAAGTGCGAAACTAACCGTCGCCCCCTGTTGGTGGCGAAACCGCGTATCGTAAACGCGCCATGCTTTAGCATGCGCTAGTAGCAAGTGACGCGCTACCATCCGCCTGTCCTCCGCCGTCCCGTTGTGCGCTTCCGTTAACCGGTTCGGCTCATTAATAGTGATCCACGTCTGTACAAACCCACCGAATTCCTGGTAACAGTACGTAGCGTAGATTGCGAAGGCCTCGACGGTGCTGTGGTTCCTCCATCCGCCGTTAGCATGTAGCGGTTCAGGCATTCCCAGCGATTGCGACCGGTTGCTGGGATGATACAGGGTCACGACCGGCTGGATTCCTCTACGGACGAGCTCGCTCAACACACACCTGTAGAACCGAACCTTCTCCGGGTCCACAGATGACGGGTCGGCGCTGGGCATAAGCTGGGTCCAGTCCAGGGCGAACCGGTAGTGGGACGACCCCGTGACCCTGAGGAGAAACAGGTGGCGCTGGATGTAGAGGAAGTCAGTGCACTGGGCGGCCCGGTTGCGAAGCTGGATCCCCGTCACGGGTTTGAGAGCGCTGTTGCCGGAGTAGTTCCAGCGGTACAGGTGCGGATCCGTGAACTGGGGCGAGAACGGGTGCAGGTGAACCTGGGAGAACACATTAATATCAAACATTCACAAATAATATACATTGGATACACAAACACTAACAGTATACACACAACTGCATACAGTAGAGCGTTGGCGCTTGCAACGCCACGGTCGTGGGTTCGATTCCCAGGGAAAGCAAGAACTGAGAAGAATGTAAATGTGTACCTTGAAATGCAATGTAAATAAATGTAAATTGTACAAGCGATCTTCCCAAAATTTCATGTCACGATCTTATAACACCATTTTCCCAATTTAGAGATTGAATATCCAGACTGGAACAAACCTATGGATTTGTCTATTTGCAGAATTTAAAACAGTATACGCTGATTTCACATTTCGCGCAGCCGACATTTTGAAATAATTTTGAAAGTATCGCCTTTAATCATAAGAGAGTCGTGAATGCGATGGCGTGTGTTTAAAGGGTTAGTTCACCCAAAAATGAAAATTCTGTCAGTATTTCCTCACCCTCATGTTGTTCCAACCCCGTAAGACCTTCGTTCATCTTCGGAACACAAATTAAGATATTTAAGATATTAAGATCGCTCCTGCATACTAGTCCATAGGCTTCTTGAGGGAATGACTCGAAAAGTCATTAAAGACATCGTTAAAATAGTCCAAGTGACTACAGTGGCTCAATCTTAACTTTATCAAATGACGAGAACACTTTTGTGCGCAAAAAAACAACAAAAATAACGACTTTATTTCAACTATTCACTTCCTTCTCCATGAGCCTGTAAGTCAGTTAACGTAGTGTGATTGCGTAAAGCTACGTCACACGTAGGCTCACTATTGGCCGACGCTGGTCATGTGTGTGTGATGCGTGATACGTACAATAACAGAAGCTTATGCTATTAAACAAGTAACCTGACTCGCGCAGAGGGAGAAATAAACGAATAGTTGAAATAAAGTCGTTATTTTTGTTGTTTTTTTGCGCACAAAAGTGTTCTCGTCGTTTGATAAACTTAAGATTGAGCCCCTGTAGTCACTTGGACTATTTTAACGATGTTTTTAATGACTTTTCGAGGACAGCAAGAGCCAGTCCCTCAAGAAGCCTATGGACTGTATGCAGGAGCGATCTTAATATCTTAAATATCTTAATTTGTTTTCCGAAGATGAACGAAGGTCTTACGGGGTTGGAACAACATGAGGGTGAGGAAATACTGACAGAATTTTCATTTTTGGGTGAACTAACCCTTTAATGTAGAAATTAGTCTTTCTAAAAATGTACATACATTTCTTTCATACTTTATACTGTGAAATACATTTATCTTCATTATCATATGTACTTCCGGGGTTGTTCCCACCGGAGCCTCGCTTTCGATTTCAAAATGGCGGCTGTGTGAAATCAGCGCATAAAATTAAACATTCAGTTGTCAAAATAGTCATTAAATTCTGAGGTAAACTTTTAAACACTGTGCAGGTGAAACTCTAAAAATCTGAATATGGTGCAAAAGTACATTTATTTCGGTAATTCAACTTAAAAGGTGAAACTAATATGTTATATAGACTCATTACATGCAAAGTGAGATATTTTTCAAGCCTTTATTTTTATGGATTACAGAAATGAAAACCTCATATCTGTAATCATCAAAATTATAACAAAATAAAGGTTTGAAATATCTCACTTTGCATGTAATGAGTCTGTATAACATATTAGTTTCACCTTTACTGAAGTAAATGAACTTTTGCACGATATTCTAATTTTTCGACTTTCACCTGTAGTTACTCGCCAAGACGGACATTTTGGAAAAGTAAAGAGTTTTCAAAATGTTAAATCGATGCAAAATCACCTGTAATATTGATTCCGACACACCGAACTGGAAGTCGCAGGGGAAGCGGCCCTCGATGTGAGGCGTGCTGTGGGCCGGGAACCCGTTGTCCCGGATCAGTCGCCGGTAGAAGTGAGCGCTGGTCTTCGGGATCCTGCGGCGCTCGGGTTGACTGAAGTCGATGTAGAATAATCCCCTCCTCATGCTGTATCCGTGATTCCACTCGAACCCGTCCACCAGACTCCAGGCTGTGTATCCGAACACACTCACTCCGTCCACGGACACGGCTGAGGGAACACACATGCAAACACGGCGCCTTTCGTGTGTCACACAGGGGAAACTCGAAACTTTACAATATCGTAAGTTCGTGTATTTCAGTATTTCAAATTAAAAGCTGAAACTAATATAGCCTGTATAGTGTAAATAACTATATACATACAGGTGAATCTCGAAAAATTCTTGCAAAAGATATTTAATCATTTCAGTAATTTAACGTAAAAGGTAAAACTAATATATTATATAGACTCATTATATGCAAAGTGAGAAATTTCAAGCCTTTATTTGTTATAATTTTGATGATTATGGATTACAGAAATGAAAACCTCAAAGTCAAAATTAGAATATTGTGAAAAAAGGTTTTCATGTCTGTAATCCATAATCATACAATAAAAAGGAAGAATAGGCCATGGCAAAGAAATGTGCCTTGAGTTGAACTTTAAAAACATGTAGAGAGTCAGCGTCACAAACCTCTACTATGAATACAATTTATAAAAACTAAATGAAAAAATAAAGGAAATGTATGTATTTTTTAATAATGTATAAATAATTAAAAGATATGAATGTAAAATATACATATTTAGAAATAAAATAATTTATAAATATATACAAATATATATATATATACTTTTTATTTATGCATTTATTAAATATAATTAAATACTTTGTTTATTTATTATAAACAAATATAATAACTAAGTTTGTATATATATATATATATATATATATATATTATAAATAAATGTAATAATATAAAAATAAATAGTTTATATTGTATAAAATGTATTTATAAAAAATATTTAATTAAAAAGGAATGTAAAACAAACAATTAGAAATATATATATATACTTATATATATATACAGTATATATATATATATATATATATATATATATATATGTATTATTTATTATGAATAAATAATTATTTAGAAACAAATAAATGTGCGTTTATGCGTTTACAATGCATAAATGACTGAATGAAATGTTTTTTTGCAAATTCACATGAGATACATTTGCGACGCATGTCAATACCAGGTGTGAACAGGGTTTAAAACACACACACACACACACACACCTTGCATGACTTGAATGATGAACTTCTTCATCAAATAAATGGCCATCGTGTCCTCGACTCCGACAGAAGCGTCCGAGAACCAGCCGCTCTCGGCCACCAGCACCTGCGGATCACCGTACATGAGCCGAACCCACACCAGAACACTCCTCAGGTCAAAGGTCAACTTCTGCCCGAACCGGGCCAGTCCTTGGGCCACCCGCAGGGTCTCCGGGTCGAAGGCCAGAGAGAAGAAGTCAGCGGTTCCCTTCACTGAGAGCTTCTGTTGTGCAGTGAACTCTGGGATCACGCCGCGGTTCGAGGCCTTCAGGGACTCTGGGTAATCTCCACTTCCATATATGGGCTCTGCGAACCAGCCAATCACAGCCTCCATGGACTTCTGACAGTGCTCCAGATTCTCTGGCGAGGCCTTGCCGTCATGAGGCTCCACCCAATGAGAGCCGAGAGTGATGGAGACTTTACCGTTCTGATGAGCTCGGAAGTGTTGGTCGTAAACGTGCCACGCTTTAGCATGAGCCTGCACACACACACACACACACACACACACACGCACACACACACACACACACACACACACACACACACACGCACACACACACACACACAAGAGCATCATCACTACAGATCTACTGAGTGAGTGAGTGAGTGAGTGTGTGGGTGAGTGAATGAGTGAGTGAGTAAGTAAGTGAGTGTGTGAGTGAGTGTGTGTGTGAGTGAGTGAGTGAGTGTGTGAGTGTGTGAGTGTGTGAGTGAGTGGGTGGGTGAGTGAGTAATTATGTGAGTGAGTGAGTGATTATGTGAGTGAGTGAGTGATTATGTGAGTGAGTGAGTGATTATGTGAGTGAGTGGGCGAGTGTGTGGGTGGGTGAGTGAGTGTGTGTGTGGGTGGGTGAGTGAGTGTGTGTGTGGGTGGGTGAGTGAGTGTGTGAATGACTATGTGAGTGAGTGAGTGATTATGTGAGTGAGTGATTATGTGAGTGTGTGAGTGAGTGAGTGATTATGTGAGTGAGTGACTGTGTGGGTGAGTGAGTGAGTGAGTGTGTGGGTGAGTGAATGAGTGAGTGTGTGAGTGAGTGTGTGTGTGTGTGTGTGAGTGAGTGGGTGGGTGGGTGAGTGTGTGTGTGAGTGAGTGAGTGGGTGGGTGGGTGAGTGAGCAATTATGTGAGTGAGTGAGTGATTATGTGAGTGAGTGAGTGAGAGATAATGTGAGTGAGTGTGTGAGTGAGTGAGTGAGTGAGTGAGTGGGTGAGTGAGTGAGTGAGTGAGTGAGTGGGTGAGTGAGGGGGGGGGTGTGTGAATGAGTGAGTTTGTGTGTGTGAGCATGTGAGTGTGTAAGTGTGAGTGAGTGAGCGTTTGTGTGTGCGAGTGAGTGAGTGTGTGTGTGTCTGTTAGTGTGTGTGGCGTGTGCTCAAACGTCATTTGGTTGATGTCAGCCGACACACAGCTCTGTTTCTCAGAGAGATCTCATCATTTCTGCATGTGTGTGTGTGTGTGTGAGTGTGTGTGTGTGTGTGTGTGTGTGTGTGCATGCAAGTGTGCGTGTGAGAGTGTGTGTGCTCACGAGTGTGCGTGTGAATCTGTCTATGTGTGCATGTGACTGTGTGTGTGTGTGTGTGTGTGTGTACAACAGTGTGTGTACTTGCTTTTTTGCCCATAAAAAAAGACTTTGGTTAAATATTAAAATTATCACAGTAAATAATGTATGGCCCCGTAAAAAAATTCAAAAATAGAATTTGGCTTTATCTTCTCCATGCAAAATAAATAAAAATGAGCCACAGTGAATTTGGGTTGAAATGTGCTGTTTTGAACACCTGCTAATTGTCCTTTATGTTCTCCCACACTTGTGGCTAGTGGAGGCTCCTAAACGTCTGGTGACACACAGCTCTGTTTCTAAAAGACGAGCGTGACCTCTGACCTCTAACCCTAAACTCACCCTGATGAGGTTGTGCGCCGCGATGAAGGGGTCGGCGCGACCCCCGGTGACCCCTGGAGCGTGAGCCCCCGTCCCGTACCCCAGGACGGCCAGGAGGAACGGGTTATGCATCGTGATCCAGTAGCGGACCTCTCCGCCAAACGTGCGGAAACAAAACGCGGCGTAATCGGCGAACACGTCCTCCATGCTCCGGTTTAACCAGCCTCCGAAACGCTCCTGCAGGACCTGCGGAAGATCCCAGTGGAACAGAGTCACCACAGGCTCCACCTGGAGCTCCTTCAGCCTGCCGATCAGACGCCGGTAATGCTCCAATCCGGCCGGGTTGGGATTCTCCGTCGCGTCTCCGTTCGGGAAAAGACGAGTCCAGGAGAGGGAGAAGGAGTAGAAGTTCACTCCCAAATCCTGAACTGACTTCAGATCCTCTTCCCATTGGAGATAACTATCACTGGTGCGGGGATGATGTGTGAAACGATCCCACACAGACTCGCCCTTCCCGTCCGCATCCCAGGATCCTTCAGTCGGGAACGCCGAGGTCCCGACGCCCCAGAGAAACCCGCTGGGAAACGCTCCCGTCTGCAGGAACGTCACGTTCAGGGGCTGAAGCCACAGCTTGGATGCTTTATAATCCACAGCAGAGAAAACCAGCGCTGGGATCAAAGAGAGACACACGGATGAGACTCGCAACATCCTGAGCAAACTATCGGAGCACGAATGCAACCGGAAAACTGAAGAAAAGCATCGTCGGGGAAAGAAAAGGTGAAGCGCATTGAGATCCGTGCGTGAACACCGGAGATCTCGGAGTGCAGGAAGACGGACCTCGGATCAATGATTAACATGAACTCTGATCCTCTCATGACTTACAGCGCCTGAGAGAGAGAGAGAGAGAGAGAGAGAGAGAGAGAGAGAGAGAGGATGTTTTATGTGGTGTTGATTTCATTTGGCTTTTACTGAAACTGATGGGTGTTCCTGTAAACTCTGAACACACTTTTCATTTTCACGTGCCATATTTCATCTCAAACTCTTCATTAAGCAAGACTGAACACGTTTATTAAGGGGAATAGTGTTAGTAATGATGAAAACAGACATAATTTGTGAAAATAATGACACAATAAATTTCATACTATAAACATTGAAATGGCTGGACACATTAAACACATTAAATAAATAAATATCTTTTTTTTCTGAACCATCCATTTTCAAAAATGCAAATTTAATTCTAAAGACCAATCTTGCAAGCATTTTATATCATGTATCATTCCTAAATGCATGACATTTAACAATATTTGCACCTTTTGCATAGACTTATTATGCACAATAAAAATAAATAGGCTATCAAACAATAAAAAAATGATATTTACCTTAATTTTTCTTCGTTTTCTTCTCACAACGACTAAAGTTTATAGCCTTAAGGGTAAAACTGTTAGTAATGATGGAAATGACACAATAAATATCAAAATAGTTATTTATTTTTTATAGTATTCTAGTTTATCATTTTATATTATTATAGAATCAAAAATGGTCAGGGGTGAAGAAAATAATGTAAAGCATTTGAAAATAAATGAAATAATCTAAATCTTGGGTTGAAATATGTTAGTTTTCATAAAAAGTTGTAGAGGAGATGTTCGCTGAGAATCTCTCCATCATCTCGAGCAATGCGTTCAGCCCGTCACTGAATGAAGAACAGCTTTAATATGAAGAGCTGTGTTCGTCATGTGTGTTTACACGCAGGCTTGAAGATCAAACTCAATTGAAGTCAATGGCAGTTTCAGGACAGCTGGCTCTAGTTTTACGAGGGCAGAAACGCCTCGACGCCGCGTGTGATTGTGTTTCGAGACACTCTGATGCCCAAAGGAGCGTTTGATTAGATCAGGTGACTGATAATACAGGATGCTGGAGCAAAACAACAGAGGACCAGCAACACACACAGACACACACACACACACACACACACACACACACACACACACACACACACACACACACACACAGAAAACACGTCGAGAGATTATTTTCTTCAGCATCCCGACTCAATACAGCTCTAGGTTCAAATAGTCAGTCTTTAAGTTATTTGTTCACTGAGCACAAAAACGATTTGCCATAATTACATTTATAAAACGGTTAGTTCCAATCCTCGATTCTGATTGGTCAACAGTTGCGCTTTATTCACGATAAAACCTATTTTTTAAAGTCTATGGATAAAACACGGCTATTACCGCTTCACCCAACGGTTCTATGTATCACTGCGCAACACTGCGGTTCCTATGTTGTGCAGGGACTATATTTTTTTAGCGGAAGGAAGGTTTTAGTGATTTCACTTCATGAAAGTTGCACTATACATATTTTTTTACTTTAATATTTTTATTGTGTGGTAACCGTTTTTTATAAAAGCAATGAGGAACTCGAGGCCAGTGCTGTTGATTAAGTAACGGCCGAAGGGGTTACTCCGCTTCATGTCGAGCCTAACAACGCCCTTCAGCCGTTACTTATTCACGATACAGCACAGCCTCGAGTACACTGTTAACATCAGGAGCAAGCCGTCGCCTCGTGCATTAAAATACTTCAAATCATTCGATAAAAGACGCTCAAATAAAATATTATGGTTACTTAGTCACACACACACAGCCTGGAGGGTGTGGTGAATAATTAACACTTAACAGTATTTGCTGAGTCTGAGGTAAATAAAGTGCTTTATAACTGAATAACTGAGTCCTCATGACTGCATGCTTCAAGTTCATTCAAATAGGATTTCTCTTATTAAAGATACCAGCTTTATATATATATATATATAATATATATATATAAATCAAACAATAGGCATGTACAGGGACTAAAACTAACTTTTTGCCACACCTATTCTCTGGCTGGTGACTTAAGAAAAAAAAATGTACCTGCCATTAAAACTGTTTATGGGAAAATAGGCAGTAATAACTCCAACATTTGAGCTACCAGTGAAAATTCACAATGTTCTATTACAATTTTGACACCACAGCAAAAACTAATATGAATTAAAAACATTATTAAAGACAAGAAGTCAGTAATAAAATAAAACTCCAATAAAAATCAAATTACAAGCAAAAGCACGTATAAAGGAAATATAACAAAGATACAAATGAAATAAACAGTGATTTTCAGGTTTTTCAGGACACAAATGCTTTCTCTGATGGAGAAACTTTAAGACGCTTGCCTACGAATTGAAATTATTCCTGCCATATGAAGCTCCATCTCTCAGTCAATAACGGGTGACTGTCGGTAAGTGTCGTTTAGAGAAGTGAAACAGCGGAAAAGCAGAAGTGCAGCAACATCATTTAAATATGATCTACAGTTTCATAAGATGGAGATCAACCAAGTGTAAGCAGACCTCCACAGCGGACGGGTAAGAGAAATATCTATCTATCTATCTATCTATCTATCTATCTATCTATCTATCTATCTATCTATCTATCTATCTATCTATCTATCTATCTATCTATCTGTCTGTCTGTCTGTCTGTCTGTCTGTCTGTCTGTCTGTCTGTCTGTCTGTCTGTCTGTCTGTCTGTCTGTCTGTCTGTCTATCATTTAAATAATATGTAATTTGTCTCACAGTAAAAGTAGCAGAAACTGCAGAACTGCCAAAATTTACATTGAAAAAGTAAATTTCAGTAAATTAAAATACTGCTAGTGTAACCACAATGCAAACTAATGCTAGGGACTAAAAGTGAAATCTGAGACAAGTCAATAATACGGTTGACTTAAAATAGGAAATGAAAATGACATTTTTTTTCTATCCCACAGACTCACTCGTGTCAGAAAGATGACGGCGTCGGGCTGGTGGTTGGTGTGTGTGTATGTCACGAGTTTCCACCCATCTCTCAGTCTGGCCATAAAGAGGATCATAGTGAATTACTCATCTCAAAACCTGTCCTCGGTCCCTCCCGGCCTGAACCCGTCCACAGAAGACCTGGACCTGTCGCTTAACCGCATCCAAACGCTGAGCGGCAAAGACTTCCGCACAACACCACGACTCCATTCCCTCAACCTGTCCTGGAATACGCTGGAAAACATTCACACGGACACATTTAACTCAACGCCGGCTTTGGAAATCCTGGATCTATCGCACAACAAACTCCAGAATCTCTCCGATCAACCGTACCTGTTTAACACGGGAAATCTCCAGTTCTTAGACTTGTCATCCAACATGTTTTCCGTCATGGCGCTAGGGAAGGAATTTTCCACCTTGAAACGCCTGCGATGGCTAGGCCTGAGTGCGACATCAATCAGCAACGAAGACTTCGCTCACATTGCTAGTCATACCTTGAAAACGCTCTTTATTAATACCGACAAACTCCAGATGTACGAAGAGAGGAGTTTAACGGATGTGCACGCGGAGAAAGCCATCATCGCCTTTTCCAGCAGTAACCACGATATCGCAATCGCGAATGATGTTTTTGCGTCGTTTAAAGAGGTCGAGTTCACCAAAGTGGACCGTGAGATGAAGGTCCTCCAGGAGATACGCCGTCGAGGAACGGTACGCACCGTTAGCCTGGAAATCTCCACGGTTGAAACCACATGGGACGTTCTGACGAGATGTGCAAACACTATATTTGCGTCCGTCATTCAACGGCTTTCCTTTTCGGATTTAACCTTGACTAGCATGGAAAAGGGCGGGAATGTGTCCTCAAGCCGCGTGTTGGACTCCTTCTCTACAACGCGAGCGTCTGTAACCCAATTCATCTTCGACCAAAGGGTGCTCTACGACTTCTTCATAAACATGCCCGCGAGGAACGTCAGTTTAACCCAAACGCCCATCATCTTTATGACCTGTCCGCGGACTGTTAGCACGATCGCGGCGTTGGACTTGTCCGATTGCGCTCTGACGGAAAAAATATTCTCGATTGGTCCGGACAAGGAATGCGATACATTTACAAACCTGGAATACCTGGTTTTAAGAGGCAACAACCTGAAACATCTCAGACCGCTGACCTCAAGAATCACTCTCATGATCTCGCTGAAATACGTCGATCTCAGTCAGAACACGCTTAGCTATTCCCAGGAGCAAGGCAAGTGCGTTTGGCCTCGCGAGGTCCTCCACGTGGACCTCTCCTCCAATGGGTTTGACCAGAGCGTCTTCGAGTGTTTGCCCGACTCCATACGCATCTTAAACCTCCGGAATAACCGAGTGGCCTTAGTCCCGGCGGATGTTCGTGTGTTGGAAAACCTGAGCGTTTTAGACCTCACCGGTAACCGTTTGCTCGACCTTCCCACTTGTCAAGCATTCCCAAACCTCCACAAGCTCCTATTAAGATCAAACTCCCTCCATTCGCCTTTCCCGGACTCCCTCGAGACTTGCCAACATCTTAAAGATCTCGACTTGAGCCGTAACCCCTTCATCTGCACGTGTGCTTTGCGTGAATTTGCGGGACTTATCAATAACCGAGCGACACACACCAATAGCGTGACTCTTTTCCACTGGCCGGAAGGATACCGATGCAGTTACCCAGAATCCCGAAGCAACACAATGCTTAAAGACTTCTACCTTCCCGAGATATCCTGCGTCGGCTGGATTCTCGCTATTACTATTCTAATCCCGACAATCACTTTGATAGTTGGCGTCGGCCTTCTTTGCCGCCGCCTGGATGTCCCCTGGTACCTCAAGATGATTTGGAAATGGACACGCGCCAAGAAACACGCAATAACCTCCAAAACGGCGGCGGAGGATATGAAGGAGTTGCGCTTTCACGCGTTCGTATCGTACAGCCAACGAAACGCCGAATGGGTCAAAGCTCAATTTCTTCCCAAACTCGAAGGCGATTGTGGGTTGCGAGTGTGTCACCACGAGCGGGACTTCATCCCGGGGAAAACGATCGTTCAGAACATCCTCCGATGCATCGAGCAGAGCAGAAAGTGCGTGTTCGTTCTCTCGTCTCACTTCGTCCAGAGCGAATGGTGCCACTACGAGCTTTACTTCGCCAATCACCAACGGGTAATGCGAGGGATGGATAGCATTATACTAATTCTCCTCGAACCTCTGCCGTCATATCTCATTCCCTCCAAGTATAACCAGCTCAAGGCCATGATGTCCAGACGCACGTATCTCGAGTGGCCACAAGAGGGAGCCAAGCAGAAGCTGTTCTGGGCAAATCTTCGAGCGTCTCTGCAGGCCAACCTTCCCATTCAGTCGGAGTGATCGAACATTGATATATATTTAGATCAGTGGTTCTCGACCAGGGACAGTCTAAAATCAAGATACAGTCAAATCTAAATGTATTCAACATTTCTCACTTTATCACAGTTTATTCACTGTAGTTTAGAAAATGGTAATAAAATATGGCATTCTCAGATCAGTGGATATTTGACTGGTTTTGTCCGTCCTTCTGTTGGACTCTCACACTTGAATATCTGTTAAATTTAACTACACAATTAGATAACACCAGTTTAGCTCAACCAGGGACCAAGCAATGCTTCATGTTGTTCAGTGTGTGTGTAAAAAGAGCATTAGAAATTACAGAAAACACACTGAAGAAAACATCATTAGCTCAAAATGGAGGAATCATTTTTGGTCCCAAATTTTTATAAATTTAACTGGCATGAAGAATTATTGTGTATAATACGTCACATGTTAAAACTCAGAAACCCTGTACTAAAAAAAAAACATAGCAGAACTAAAATATTCCAGACTCTTAATCAATCGAGAAAAATCTGGGATTCTACTTATAAACCTAAGGGACTGCTGTGCTACTCACACATGATAACTTTGTCACACTGTCGTAGAACGCTATTCAAAAATGCTGTTATTTGCAGTGTTGTGTGTTACATAAAATGAAACTTATTGTAATGTCTTACTGATGATCAGTGTTAGGTAACTTACATCTTTAGGGCAAGTAACATAATCAGATTAGCTTTTTAAGTTACTAAAAGTAACACATTATTTGTACGCAATACAAGTTACTTTTTTAAATAAGTAACAGTTACTTTCTCACATTTATTGAGTGACAGCTCTCTAGTCTCTATACTGGTACAAAAGCATTTGAAACAGCACCAATATTAATGATTCATTGGGAATATGTTGCATTTCTTACATTGATGTGTTGATCTTTTGCGTTAAACTGTCACGGTGTGGCTCTGGCAGAGGAACGAGGAGACCGGAGTATCGGGAAGAACAGGTTTTAATATATATACTGCCCTACAAAGCAAAAAGGCAGTAACTGCAGTTTTGGTAAAGCATTAATTATTACAATTTTCATGACATTTAAGGCATCCTTTGTTATGTAACAAAACATCTTATCTTAAATGCGTGTCGTTTTAGAGAAAAATGGTAGTTGTTTGTACAGTAACTGCAAAAAGCCCTAGCAAAAGTCATTTTTCTCAGTTCTGCACTCTGCGTAGTTACTGCCTTTTTGCTTTGTAGGGCAGAATATATATATATATATATATATATATATAAACAGGCAGGCAGACAGGAACACGGGCACCACACGGGTTCACAATGAACATCAATAAACAACATCGACCGACCAAGACAGACTGAATGGGATGGAACTAAATACACAGAGGAATCAAACTAAACGAGGTGCAAACAAACAGGTGAAAATAATGATGACAGGACGAGGAACAGGTGGCTGATTGGGGAGTGAGTCCGGGAGTAGAACAAAAGGATCCGGGGAAGTGTAGTGCAGATGACGAGACAGACTGGTGCAGACGGAGGACTGTGACATAAACATTAATCCTTCATTTTTTAACTGCAGTTCAAACGCGCGCGCGTGTGTGTGTGTGTTTGCGTGCGTGTGCATTACCTGTTTGAAATGCCTTTATCCTCATAAATGAGAGTTTGTCACAGGAATGCTTCACAGCTTCACATGATGGTGATTTATTACAAGTTGGTCTACAGCAGTTCTCAAACGATATTATTTATTGTTATAATTTACAGTATTACAAAACATCACAGATTCATTCTTAAACTGTTTCCGTTTTTCCTTCTGACATCCCCTCTACTAGTTCACGTTAAGTCCATCAAATTGTACAAAAAGCGGAACCGTTCATCATCAGAACTGATAACAGCTAGTGTGAGGAGAACTCATTCGCAGAACAGCAGCGCCATCTAATGGACAGAGAACTGATAACAGCCAGTGTGAGGAGAACTCATTCGCAGAACAGCAGCGCCATCTAATGGACAGAGAACTGATAACAGCCAGTGTGAGGCGAACTCTCACAGAACAGCAGCAGCGCCATCTAATGGACAGATATCACACAGTTCCTGCAATACAACTTCAGCTTCACAGTCGAGAACTTACATAGATGTAAATAAAGGAATCATTCTGTAGGTTTTAAATCAGAAATGTGATTCTTGTATTTTTGTTAAAGCACTTAACATTAATTATTCCCTAAAAATATGCACTATTAGAGCTGTGTAATGTCTAAATCATCATTGAGTTCAGACTACTATTTTAGCGAGATTAACTTCTAGTGATACTGATAAAATCCCGGTGTATATTTTTCTTGATGTGTAAAAAGTGCTTTTTCTTGTGTCTTGTGTGTAAAGTTGACAGGGTTTATCATCACACACGGCTCATGTCAGCACATGTCCAACGTTCAGGTGTTTGGGTTGTACACACGTGTGCATTTTAAAGTGTCTTGTGTTTGGCCGGTTCAGCCAATCTGGAGATGTTTGATCTCATTTTCCGTCGGGTCATTGTGACCCGAAACACATTTTTAAAAAATGTTTACTTTTTTTTTTTGTGGTTAAAAAGTAACAAATCCTTCCCTCACGGGTCAATTTGACCCCCATAGAAATGAATAACATGTGAGGATTGCTTCAATAAACATTGAAAAACCTAAAAATTTAAACTAAAACTTTACAAAAAATTTTTTTTATAATGTCTACATGTGTATCTAAATGCATACTGAAAATAAAAACGTACTTTAGGACCCAGCGGAACAGCTCATTTGCTCCATTTAGAGCTATAAGTCATGAAATATCATGTTATATATTTTTTTTCCACAAAAGGTCCCCAATGTAAGATATTATGAGCTGAATTAAAAGGTTTATGCATTAAATATGCATATGAAATATACAAGTTATTTTGAATTTAAGTTGAAAGAATGTGAGAAATGTGCTTAAATTATTTATTCATTAAATCTAGTAATTTAAAGGTAAATAAAATAAATACATCGAAAAAAAATTGCCTTAAAGAAAATCAAAAAAATATTATCAAAATAAAATAAATATTATTATTTATTCATCAAATCTAGTAATTTAAAGGTAAATAAAACCAAATAAAATAATACCCCAAAAAAATTATCTTAAAAAAACGAAAAAATGTTATCAAAATAAAATAATATTATTATTTATTCATCAAATCTAGTAATTTAAAGGTAAATAAAATAAAATAAAATAAATACCCCTCAAAAAATTGCCTTAAAAAATCGAAAAAATATTATCAAAATAAAATAATATTATTATTTACTCATCAATAGTAATTTAAAGGTAAATAAAATAAAATAAATACACACAAAAAAATTGAATTAAAACAATCGAAAAAATATTATCAAAATAAAATAATACAAGTTTTCTGGACCAAAAAATATTTAAAAAATAATTAAGTCTAATTTAAGGGCTTCGGGTCATTTGACCCGCGAGGGAAAGCTGTGTTATAAAGTGCGCGGGAAGTACGAGTGTCGTGTGTGTGTGGTGAGGTTTGGGCGAGATGGTTAGTAGTGTAAGCGGCCGGGTCTGTGTGCGACCCTCATCATGTGGAACCTCTGCGGGACAGCGAGTCTCTGCGCCCTGACGTTAACCGCTCTCCTCTGCCTCATCCTCCTCTTCCTCAGCACAGAGATGATGATGAGCATCGACACGCTGACGGACACACACACGCTGAAGAACAGCAGCGGTTTGTTCTCTGCGATGTGTCTGCAGAGTTCACAGCTCGTCCAGGTGTCCGCGACCTGGCAGGTGAAAGGTCGGAGGTCGGCAGCAGACGGAAAGCCGCGGCGGGTGATGATGTCACGGTAAAGGGCGACGGATGCTTTGGGTCGAGAGTGACGAGCGGCGGAGGTGAAGAGACCAAACTGAAGACCGTGATGATCCTGGAGCTTCGAGATATAAAACCCTCTCAGATTGACCCCGTCCAACTCACGAGCTGAGAGAGAGAGAGAGAGAGAGAGAGGAAGAGCGAGCGAGAGATGGATAAAAAGGGAGAGTGAGAGAGAGGGAGAGATAGATAAAGAGAGGAAGAGAGAGAGGTTAGTAGCTCATATTGCTATGCAACAAAATACAGCTTTCATGCAATTTTTAATTTAATAATATTTACAATAAAATTTAAGTTAAATAAGTAAAAATTTAAATAATTTATCAATGCATTCACAATTCTATATTTATGATTTAGTTCATGATTCTCTGATTTCAGTCAATGGTCACGTGACATGCAGGCCTAATCAAAAAAGAAATTATGACTTTTTTATCTTTAGTTTTTCCATTTAAAATTTTATATTTTATTTTTGAAACAAAATTAGTTGTTGTGGGAAGGAGGAGGCGGGAACCGGCGAACGTTCAAACACTTCAATGATCATAAAGTGAAAGTAAACAAACAACAAAGCAAAGTAAAACATAAACAAAACACAACATAAGTGCAGGCCTGGTCCTCTCTCTCTCTCCACTGACGTCATCGCTCCTCCGCGAGAGATACGAGACCGGTGCGTCGCGCAGGAGTCGCTGATTACGTTGTGTTCTTGTTCTTAGAACAGATAACACTAGATAACACACACACATTCTGCAATACGGCTAATCTCTCATGTTGTTGTTATATAGACCATTTCACAAGATGTAAACAACACTGGTCCAGAAGCACTTCCTGTTTCCGTTTGTAACTGTTTTCTTTATTTCACATGTAAAGAAAACATCTTAAAGATGTTTGTTTAACTTTTTGATTCAGTTTTAAATGTTCTGTTGGTTGTATTTTATCCCAGCTTTTATGTAGTGTTAAAAAACTGAAACAGGAAGTGCTTCTGGACCAGTGTTGTTTACATCTTGTGAAATGGTCTATAATAGGAACATGTTTCATAATCACAGCTCATTAGTGATGTTTGCTGAGGCAAGGCGCTCATATTATCATGATAGACTTCCTTTTTTAATCAAAAGTGTTGTTAAAACTTTTTGCATTTTTTTGAAAAACTTTCAAAACTTGTTTTGTTTCTTGTTTTTGAAATATATTACATGTATGATTTAGTTGATATTTGAATAATGGTTTATGGTCTGGTTAACGGTCATGTGACATACGATTAAACAAATGCAAATTTTAGAAAGTTTTTTATTTAGATAATTTTTTTATATATATTTGATATTTTATGAATTATTAGCCAGGGTTTAATGGTTTAATGAATGAATTTTTATTTTAAATGCTTAATACATGAATTGGCAACATGACATCATGACTTTTGCGTAAACATACACGCCACTTTCGAGTCGGGTGGCGTGTTATCTCTACGCATTTTGACATGCATGTATCCGCGCGTATGTCTACGCCATTAACGTCCGCGTCATTCCGTGTGTCATAAATGCCATTAACCCCAGTGATGGTTAGGTTTAGGGACGGGGTTGAGGTAAGTCATATATTTATATAACGTTAAGTCAACGGCGTTCATAAACACGCTGAAAGGCGATTATGCGTCTTGATAGCACGCCAAAAATGGAAATACGAATTGGCGTGGCATACACACGCTACTTCATGAGATCAGTCTGGAATTGGATAAATAATAATGGAAGCAAACGAATGCTAAAAGTGGACGGTCGCTGTTGTGCTAAAATATGTGATAGGCTATTTGCCAAAAAAAATATTGAAATGAAAATATTGAAACAATAAAATCAATTAATGATCAAATGAAATATTAAAAGAAAAGAAAAATAAATAATAAAAGAAAAATAAAAAAAATAATATAAAAATAAAATAATAAAATAAACCAAAACAAATAAAAATAATGATAAAATAAAAATTAATAAAATAAACTATAAAAATTGAATAAGATTAAAAAATAGTAAATAATAAAATAAAAGAATAATACGATATTTTCTCACCTTTCAGCGCCTCCTGCAGGTAGTCCCTGATATAGCGCTGTCTCAGCTGGTCATTAAGGGATGCTTGATCATCCACCCCTGACGCTGTGATGATGATGGGCAGGCCATCGCCATAGCGATCCTTCACCCATCCCAGCACCCTGCGGAGACCCCAGGGCACAAACGCCATTCCCAGGTGTGACGCCGGCCAGGTGACGTCGGTCATCAGCGAGTATCCGTGGTCCTGGTTCGCTGGTTTGGGTGGGTTTGGGTTTCGTGGTGAAGGTTTGTGCAACGGTGACACCAGACGTGTCGTGAAGTGATTCAAAGCGATGAAATCCAGCGCCCCTTTAAGCTCCTCCCTCTCGTCATCGGTGAAGCCAATCAGAGGGTTGCCACGCCCCTCAAACACGGGGTCTAGAAAACGGCCCAATTCGAACGACAAAAAATCCTGCCGTGCAGCTTCATGTGATTCTACGAACGGATTGGCCGGTTCGGCCCAATCAGCATGAAGTGCGAAACTAACCATCGCCCCCTGTTGGTGGCGAAACCGCGTATCGTAAACGCGCCATGCTTTAGCATGCGCTAGTAGCAAGTGACGCGCTACCATCCGCCTGTCCTCCGCCGTCCCGTTGTGCGCTTCCGTTAACCGGTTCGGCTCATTAATAGTGATCCACGTCTGTACAAACCCACCGAATTCCTGGTAACAGTACGTAGCGTAGTTTGCGAAGGCCTCGACGGTGCTGTGGTTCCTCCATCCGCCGTTAGCATGTAGCGGTTCAGGCATTCCCAGCGATTGCGACCGGTCGCTGAGATACAGGGTCACGACCGGCTGGATTCCTCTACGGACGAGTTCGCTCAACACACACCTGTAGAACCGAACCTTCTCCGGGTCCACAGATGACGGGTCGGCGCTGGGCATAAGCTGGGTCCAGTCCAGGGCGAACCGGTAGTGGGACGACCCCGTGACCCCGAGGAGAAACAGGTGGCGCTGGATGTAGAGGAAGTCAGTGCACTGGGCGGCCCGATTGCGAAGCTGGATCCCCGTCACGGGTTTGAGAGCGCTGTTGCCGGAGTGGTTCCAGCGGTACAGGTGCGGATCCGTGAACTGGGGCGAGAACGGGTGCAGGTGAACCTGGGAGAACACATTAATATCAAACATTCACAAATAATATACATTGGATACACAAACACTAACAGTATACACACAACTGCATACAGTAGAGCGTTGGCGCTTGCAACGCCACGGTCGTGGGTTCGATTCCCAGGGAAAGCAAGAACTGAGAAGAATGTGAATGTGTACCTTGAAATGCAATGTAAATAAATGTAAATGGGTCAATGACGTATAAGGCCTTTGAGAGGCCCATTTTTAAAATACTTGAAATAATAATATATTTGTCTATTTTCTAAACATGTGGAGTGTAGTCTACACATGCAAGTGTGTGAACACTTCAAACAAAGATATTTTAGTGCTTTTAAACTCAAATGAATAGGGCAATGACCTTAAAAAAGTCATTTGGGGCAACCGTAATTTATCTTATAATTAATAGATTTCCTTTGCATAAGTTATATTTTAAGAAGTATCAGTAATTAATTGAACTGTTTAAAGGAACACTCCGACTTTTTGGGACTTTAGCCTATTCACCTTACCCCCCAGAGTTAGATAAGTCCATACACACCTTTTTCATCTCCGTGCGTGCTATAAGTCTGTTTGACGCACCCACCGCTAGCCTAGCTTAGCACAAAGACTCGATGTGACTGGTTGCAGCTTTCATACTAATCCAAATGAGTGGCAAAATAACGCAAACGTTTTCCTATTTACATGTTGTGATTTGTATAGTCACATAATGTACAAATAACAAAGTCAAATGAGACACAGACATCTTTTAACCGTATAAAACCTGGGAACTATTCTCTGAAGGCGAAGCACTGCTACTTTGACGGCGTAATAACCGCATCACCGGAGACAAGCCGTGGTGAGGAGCGGAGAGTTCGCTCGGTGTTTGGGTAACAGAGTCAGCAATTTAGAAATAGTAAAAGCGTAGTTTAGAGTCATGGGTTTTCGCTCTATTGTAAATAGCTGCGACTGTAAACAGGGGAGGTAACCATGTTTCACAGAATTCCAACTAAAAACGCTGACTGGATGAAGAAATGGCTAACTTACTCTGGATATTTATCCAAACACACCTAAGATTATCAAGGGACATTATGTTTGCTCGGTACATTTCAATGAGAACGACTATTTTGAAAAAATGGAATTTGCCACACGGACCATAATGTGCTGAAGGATACGGCTATCCCATCGATAGCACAGACAGGACAAGTGGATCACCTGCGGCTGAGGTAAGTGTTATGTTTTTAGATGACCTACTGTAACAGTGCCTTTAGCCAGATCTAATGTAACGTTAGTGACACTATTATATGATTAGGGTATGAATATGTTTTTATCTTGATGCGGTGCGGACGCGCTTGGGGGAAAAAAACGAGCGCGTTCACCGCGTTGAACTTGCACCCTGCGCGCGGCGCGCCTAGTAGCCTAAATTTGAAATAACCATGGAAATAACGAACTTGAGCGTGCAAAAGGGTACGATAGGCTGTGAGTTCATTGTGCAAAAACAATTTGTGCTATTACTTTCCCCTTATCTATAGTAATGCAATACTGTATATATAGGCTACTGTTGAATACATTTGGTTCAGCTAAGAAATTGCATTTAAAATATATTGATTCCTGTAATAATAATTATTTATTCATGTGATATTTATAAATCTGGGTGCGTTTTTGGTTGGAAATCAATGAAACATGGTACTGTATTACCTGGTCTCCCCTGTTTATTGTCACAGCTCATACAATAAAGCAAACACCCATGATAAACTATGCTTTTCTATCTAACGTTAGTAATTGCTGACTCTTTATTCCAACGCTGAGCGAAGCGAACTCTCTGCTCCTCGTCACGGTGCGTCTCAGGTGATGGTTATCACTCTGCCCAAGTAGCAGTGCTTCCCCTTCAGAAAATATAGTATTTATACGGTCAAAAGATGTCTGTGTCTCATATGGCCTTGATATTTGCACACTTTGTGACTATACAAACCACAACATGTAAATAGGAAAACGTTTGCATTATTTTGTCACTCATTTGGATTAGTATGAAAGCTGCAACCAGTCACATCGAGTCTTTTTGCTAAGCTAGGCTAGCGGTGGGTGTGCGTCAAACAGACTTATAGCACGCACGGAGATGAAAAAGGTATGTATGGACTTATCTAACTCTGGGGGGGTAAGGTGAATAGGCTAAAGTCCCAAAAAGTCGGAGTGTTCCTTTAAGAAAGATATACTCATGTGTCCTTTCATTTATTGCAAATGATGTTAAATACATTTTTATCTATAATGGCAGTGTCACCCTCATAAAGCAATTACATATTTTTTTACTCATAAAATCCATAAAACTGATTTAAAATGTGTAGATATAGTATCCACTTATTGATGTTATACCAATGAATTATATTTCAACCAAAATGGACAGATATTATTTTTTGAATTTACTGCAGAATTGAATATAGTTGGTTACCCCACATGACAAATGGTCGCCCCACATGATGAAAAACAGCAGGCAATTAAGACTATTCAATGATTTTGATAGTTAAAACACATTTAATGGAATTTTATGAAGAATCAGCATATTTAATGAAATTTTATGAAGAATCAGCATATCCATTTCATTTGACACATTTCATAACATTAACAGTTTCCTCACTATTTCATTTGACACAAAACCATCATATTAAAATGTTCAATACTAATGCATTAAACGCTTGGACATAACATTGAACAGCATTTTCCTTTTTCATTTTCATTCCATTAATCACTTAAACATACAATGTTTGCATTTTCATTACTATTTTCATTTAACAGTTGAATATAGCAGCATTCTGCAGACACATTGAACAGCATTTTCCGCTGCCTGTAGCGAGCAGTCTTTTCTTTGCTTGTTAGTGGGGCCATCTAGAAAAAAACGTATATTTAAACATACACAGAGTTAGAAAAAGAATTGGAAAAAGTAGAATGAATGCTTAATATTCACACATTTCTTTGGTAAAAAACATAATAATCAAAAAGAAGTAAGCTTAGTCCTCTCTGAAGTAGCAGGGAAATTATTGAAATTTAGAAAAAATATGTGGTGAAATTTAGAAAGTTATTTAAAACAACTAAATGCATAATGAATGTAAACATTTGCATACAGAAACTACAAATACATGATATGTGTTTTCTATAATTTAAGCAATCAGTGGCGGTCGCCCCACATGATGCTTGGTCGCCCCAGATGATATTTTCAAGTTTAATCAAGTATAACAGGCTAATGCTTAGCTATAGAGCCCAAGTTAGCTTCTTCTAACCACATATCACTGACAAATTTACAATTTACAAATTTAAAAATAAAGATTTGCGTATAAAACTTATAATTTACAGTTTTAGGTTGGTCGCCCCACATGATATCAAAATGTGACGTATACACTGCAGCAGTTTTAAAGAGGATTTGTTTGTAAAAATGAGAGTGGCAACTCACCTGCTAGTTGTCTCTGTGGGACCCTCACCATGAGGCTGGCTGATGCAACATCCTCTTTGAGATGATTATCAGAATATAAGTCCCTTATTTGTATTTTCTTGATGGTCGCCCCAGATGATATTTCAGATAATGTACTTCTTCGGATAAGATTTGTTTGTTTATTATGATTGAAATGTGTGTACAAATGTTTCATAACTTTGTCAATCAATGGAAAACAAGTTTAAAATTATGCCAAATAGGGTAAGGATTATATTTAAATTATTTTAGTTTGATTTAATACCAGTTGTCCAAACAGAAGTCAAGGCCGGACGGTCGCCCCACATGATGTTTTCACACTTTAGGTGGCAGAAAATGCCAATAAACCAATTAGTTTTAGAGAAATAAGAGTGGGCATATGTATAAGGGAGGTGGTAGACATACATGTTATAATTTTATTAATTTTAATGTTTATTAATTGGTAAAAAGTTCAGTCGGACAGAAAAAGCAAGCGTCACGTCATTGACCCAAATTCTTCCCAAAATTTCATGTCACGAACTTATAACACCATTTTCCCAATTTAGAGATTGAACATCCAGACTGGAACAAACCTATGGATTTGTCTATTTGCAGAATTTAAAACAGTATACGCTGATTTCACATTTCACGCAGCCGACATTTTGAAATCATTTTGAAAGTGTCGCCTTTAATCATAAGAGACTCGTGAATGCGATGGCGTGTGTTTAATGTAGAAATTAGTCATTCTAAAAATGTACATACATTTCTTTCATACTTTAGACTGTGAAATACATTTATCTTCATTATCATCTGTACTTCCGGGGTTGTTCCCACCGGAGCCTCGCTTTCGATTTCAAAATGGCGGCTGTGTGAAATCAGCGCATAAAATTAAACATTCAGTTGTCAACATAGTCATTAAATTCTGAGGTAAACTTTTAAACGATCTGAATATGGTGCAAAAGTTCATTTATTTCGGTAATTGAACTTAAAAGGTGAAACGAAATATCTCAATTTGCATGTAATGAGTCTATATAACATTAGTTTCACCTTTACTGAAGTAAATGAACTTTTGCACGATATTCTAATTTTTCGACTTTCACCTGTAGTTATTTTGGAAAAGTAAAGAGTTTTCAAAATGTTAAATCGATGCAAAATCACCTGTAATATTGATTCCGACACACCGAACTGGAAGTCGCAGGGGAAGCGGCCCTCGATGTGAGGCGTGCTGTGGGCCGGGAACCCGTTGTCCCGGATCAGTCGCCGGTAGAAGTGAGCGCTGGTCTTCGGGATCCTGCGGCGCTCGGGTTGACTGAAGTCGATGTAGAATAATCCCCTCCTCATGCTGTATCCGTGATTCCACTCGAACCCGTCCACCAGACTCCAGGCTGTGTATCCGAACACACTCACTCCGTCCACGGACACGGCTGAGGGAACACACATGCAAACACGGCGCCTTTCGTGTGTCACACAGGGGAAACTCGAAACTTTACAATATCGTAAGTTCGTGTATTTCAGTATTTCAAACTAAAAGCTGAAACTAATATAGCCTGTATTGTGTAAATAACTATATACATATACAGGTGAATCTCGAAAAATTCTTGCAAAAGATATTTAATCATTTCAGTAATTTAACGTAAAAGGTAAAACTACTGTAATATATTATAGACTCATTATATGCAAAGTGAGAAATTTCAAGCCTTTATTTGTTATAATTTTGATGATTATGGATTACAGAAATGAAAACCTCAAAGTCAAAATTAGAATATTGTGAAAAAAGGTTTTCATGTCTGTAATCCATAATCATACAATAAAAAGGAAGAAAAAATAGGCCATGGCAAAGAAATGTGTCTTGAGTTGAACTTTAAAAACATGTAGCGTCACAAACCTCTACTATGAATACAATTTATAAAAACTAAATGAAAAAATAAAGAAAATGTATGTATTTTTTATATAATGTATAAATAATTAAAAGATATGAATGTAAAATATACATATTTAGAAATAAAATAATTTATAAATATATACAAATATATATATATATATATATATATATATATACTTTTTATTTATGCATTTATTAAATATAATTAAATACTTTGTTTATTTATTATAAATAAATATAATAACTAAGTTTGTATATATATATATATATATATATATATATTATAAATAAATGTAATAATATAAAAATAAATAGTTTATATTGTATAAAATGTATTTATAAAAAATATTTAATTAAAAAGGAATGTAAAACAAACAATTAGAAAAAAATATATATACTTATATATATATACAGTATATATATATATATATATATATATATATATATATATATATATTATTTATTATGAATAAATAATTATTTAGAAACAAATAAATGTGTGTTTATGCGTTTACAATGCATAAATGACTGAATGAAATGTTTTTTTGCAAATCCCAAATAAAATAAAATTTTACAAATTCACATGAGATACATTTGCGACGCATGTCAATACCAGGTGTGAACAGGGTTTAAAACACACACACACACACACACCTTGCATGACTTGAATGATGAACTTCTTCATCAAATAAATGGCCATCGTGTCCTCGACTCCGACAGAAGCGTCCGAGAACCAGCCGCTCTCGGCCACCAGCACCTGCGGATCACCGTACATGAGCCGAACCCACACCAGAACACTCCTCAGGTCAAAGGTCAACTTCTGCCCGAACCGGGCCAGTGCTTGGGCCACCCGCAGGGTCTCCGGGTCGAAGGCCAGAGAGAAGAAGTCAGCGGTTCCCTTCACTGAGAGCTTCTGTTGTGCAGTGAACTCTGGGATCACGCCGCGGTTCGAGGCCTTCAGGGACTCTGGGTAATCTCCACTTCCATATATGGGCTCTGCGAACCAGCCAATCACAGCCTCCATGGACTTCTGACAGTGCTCCAGATTCTCTGGCGAGGCCTTGCCGTCATGAGGCTCCACCCAATGAGAGCCGAGAGTGATGGAGACTTTACCGTTCTGATGAGCTCGGAAGTGTTGGTCGTAAACGTGCCACGCTTTAGCATGAGCCTGCACACACACACACACACACACACACGCACACACACACACCCACACGCACACACACACACACACACGCACACACACACACACACACACACACACACACACACACACACACACAAGAGCATCATCACTACAGATCTACTGAGTGAGTGAGTGAGTGAGTATGTGAGTGTGTGTGTGTGAGTGAGTGAGTGTGTGGGTAGGTGAGTGAGTGTGTGAGTGAGTGAGTGAGTGAGTGATTATGTGAGTGAGTGAGTGTGTGTGTGAGTGAGTGAGTGAGTGATTATGTGAGTGTGTGAGTGAGTGATTATGTGAGTGAGTGATTATGTGAGTGAGTGATTATGTGAGTGAGTGATTATGTGAGTGAGTGATTATGTGAGTGTGTGAGTGAGTGAGTGATTATGTGAGTGAGTGATTATGTGAGTGTGTGGGTGAGTGAGTGATTATGTGAGTGAGTGATTATGTGAGTGAGTGATTATGTGAGTGTGTGAGTGAGTGAGTGATTATGTGAGTGAGTGATTATGTGAGTGTGTGGGTGAGTGAGTGATTATGTGAGTGAGTGATTATGTGAGTGAGTGATTATGTGAGTGTGTGAGTGTGTGAGTGATTATGTGAGTGTGTGAGTGAGTGAGTGATTATGTGAGTGAGTGATTATGTGAGTGAGTGATTATGTGAGTGAGTGATTATGTGAGTGAGTGATTATGTGAGTGTGTGAGTGAGTGAGTGATTATGTGAGTGAGTGATTATGTGAGTGTGTGGGTGAGTGAGTGATTGTGTGAGTGTGTGAGTGAGTGATTATGTGAGTGAGTGATTATGTGAGTGAGTGATTATGTGAGTGAGTGAGTGTGTGAGTGAGTGATTATGTGAGTGAGTGATTATGTGAGTGTGTGAGTGAGTGAGTGATTATGTGAGTGAGTGATTATGTGAGTGTGTGGGTGAGTGAGTGATTATGTGAGTGAGTGTGTGGGTGAGTGAGTGATTATGTGAGTGAGTGAGTGAGTGATTATGTGAGTGAGTGATTATGTGTGTGAGTGAGTGAGTGATTATGTGAGTGCGTGAGTGAGTGATTATGTGAGTGAGTGATTATGTGAGTGAGTGTGTGTGTGTGAGTGAGTGAGTGAGTGTGTGAGTGAGTGAGTGAGTGATTATGTGAGTGATTATGTGAGTGAGTGATTATGTGAGTGAGTGAGTGATTATGTGAGTGAGTGAGTGTGTGAGTGAGTGAGTGAGTGATTATGTGAGTGCGTGAGTGAGTGATTATGTGAGTGAGTGAGTGATTATGTGAGTGAGTGAGTGATTATGTGAGTGAGTGATTATGTGAGTGAGTTAGTGATTATGTGAGTGAGTGATTATGTGAGTGAGTGATTATGTGAGTGAGTGAGTGTGTGGGTGAGTGAGTGATTATGTGAGTGAGTTAGTGATTATGTGAGTTAGTGATTATGTGAGTGAGTGATTATGTGAGTGAGTGATTATGTGAGTGAGTGTGTGAGTGAGTGAGTGTGTGGGTGAGTGAGTGATTATGTGAGTGAGTTAGTGATTATGTGAGTGAGTGATTATGTGAGTGAGTGAGTGTGTGAGTGATTATGTGAGTGAGTGAGTGATTATGTGAGTGAGTGAGTGTGTGAGTGATTATGTGAGTGAGTGATTATGTGAGTGAGTGTGTGGGTGAGTGAGTGATTATGTGAGTGAGTGAGTGAGTGATTATGTGAGTGAGTGATTATGTGAGTGAGTGATTATGTAAGTGAGTGTGTGTGTGGGTGAGTGAGTGAGTGATTATGTGAGTGAGTGATTATGTAAGTGAGTGTGTGTGTGGGTGAGTGATTATGTGAGTGAGTGAGTGTGTGAGTGAGTGAGTGATTATGTGAGTGAGTGAGTGAGTGAGTGAGTGTTTGTGTGTGTGTGCGAGTGAGTGAATGTGTGTGTGTGTGTGTGTGCTCAAGCGTCATTTGGTTGATGTCAGCCGACACACAGCTCTGTTTCTCAGAGAGATCATCATTTCTGCATGTGTGTGTGTGTGTGTGTGTGCATGCAAGTGTGCGTGTGAGAGTTTGTGTGCTCACGAGTGTGCGTGTGAATCTGTCTATGTGTGCATGTGACTGTGTGTGTGTGTGTGTGTGTACGACAGTGTGTGTACTTGCTTTTTTGCCCATAAATAAAGACTTTGGTTAAATATTAAAATTATCACAGTAAATAATGTATGGCCCCATAAAAAAATTCAAAAATAGAATTTGGCTTTATCTTCTCCATGAAAAATAAATAAAAATGAGCCACAGTGAATGTGGGTTGAAATGTGCTGTTTTGAACACCTGCTAATTGTCCTTTATGTTCTCCCACACTTGTGGCTAGTGGAGGCTCCTGAACGTCTGGTGACACACAGCTCTGTTTCTGAAAGACGAGCGTGACCTCTGACCTCTAACCCTAAACTCACCCTGATGAGGTTGTGCGCCGCGATGAAGGGGTCGGCGCGACCCCCGGCGACCCCTGGAGCGTGAGCCCCCGTCCCGTACCCCAGGGCGGCCAGGAGGAACGGGTTATGCATCGTGATCCAGTAGCGGACCTCTCCGCCAAACGTGCGGAAACAAAACGCGGCGTAATCGGCGAACACGTCCTCCATGCTCCGGTTTAACCAGCCTCCGAAACGCTCCTGCAGGACCTGCGGAAGATCCCAGTGGAACAGAGTCACCACAGGCTCCACCTGGAGCTCCTTCAGCCTGCCGATCAGACGCCGGTAATGCTCCACTCCGGCCGGGTTGGGATTCTCCGTCGCGTCTCCGTTCGGGAAAAGACGAGTCCAGGAGAGGGAGAAGGAGTAGAAGTTCACTCCCAAATCCTGAACTGACTTCAGATCCTCTTCCCATTGGAGATAACTATCACTGGTGCGGGGATGATGTGTGAAACGATCCCACACAGACTCGCCCTTCCCGTCCGCATCCCAGGATCCTTCAGTCGGGAACGCCGAGGTCCCGACGCCCCAGAGAAACCCGCTGGGAAACGCTCCCGTCTGCAGGAACGTCACGTTCAGGGGCTGAAGCCACAGCTTGGATGCTTTATAATCCACAGCAGAGAAAACCAGCGCTGGGATCAAAGAGAGACACACGGATGAGACTCGCAACATCCTGAGCAAACTATCGGAGCACGAATGCAACCGGAAAACTGAAGAAATGCATCGTCGGGGAAAGAAAAGGTGAAGCGCATTGAGATCCGTGCGTGAACACCGGAGATCTCGGAGAGAGAGAGAGAGAGAGAGAGAGAGAGAGAGAGAGAGGATGTTTTATGTGGTGTTGATTTCATTTGGCTTTTACTGAAACTGATGGGTGTTCCTGTAAACTCTGAACACACACTTTTCATTTTCACGTGCCATATTTCATCTCAAACTCTTCATTACAAGACTGAACACGTTTATTAAGGGGAATAGTGTTAGTAATGATGAACACAGACATCATTTGTGAAAAAAATGACACAATCAATTTCAAACTATAAACATTGAAATGGCTGGACTTTTCTTTTTTTTCTACTAACAACACATTAAATAAATAAATATCTTTTTTTCTGAACCATCCATTTTCAAAAATGTAAATTTAATTCTAAAGACCAATCTTGCAAGCATTTTATATCATGTATCCTTCCTAAATGCATGCAATTTAACAATATGCACCTTTTGCATAGACTTATTATGCACAATAAAAATAAATAGGCTATCAAACAATAAAAAAAGATATTTACCTTAATTTTTCTTCGTTTTCTTCTCACATCGACTAAAGTTTATAGCCTGAAGGGTAAAACTGTTAGTAATGATGGAAACAGATATAATTTGTGAAAATAATGACACAATAAATATCAAAATAGTTATTTATTTTTATAGTATTCTAGTTTATCATTTTATTTTATTATAGAATCAAAAATGGTCAGGGGTGAAGAAAATCATGTAAAGCATTTGAAAATAAATGAAATAATCCAAATCTCGGGTTGAAATATGATAATTTTCATAAAAACGTGTAGTTATGAGCAGGATATGTTCGCTGAGAAACTCTCCATCATCTCGAGCAATGCGTTCAGCCCGTCACTGAATGAAGAACAGCTTTAATATGAAGAGCTGTGTTCGTCATGTGTGTTTACACGCAGGCTTGAAGATCAAACTCAATTGAAGTCAATGGCAGTTTCAGGACAGCTGGCTCTAGTTTTACGAGGGCAGAAAGGCCTCGACGCCGCGTGTGATTGTGTTTCGAGACACACTCTGATGCCCAAAGGAGCGTTTGATTAGATCAGGTGACTGATAATACAGGATGCTGGAGGAAAACAACAAGGAACAGCAACACACACAGATGGAGATGATTTTCTTCAGCATCCCGACTCAATACAACAGCTTTAGGTTCAAATAGTCAGTCTTTAAGTTATTTGTTCACTGAGCACAAAAACGATTTGCTATAATTACATTTATAAAACGGTTAGTTCCAATCCTCGATTCTGATTGGTCAACAGTTGCGCTTTATTCACGATAAAACCTATTTTTTAAAGTCTATGGATAAAACACGGCTATTACCGCTTCACCCAACGGTTCTATGTATCACTGCGCAACACTGCGGTTCCTATGTTGTGCAGGGACTATTTTTTTAGCGGAAGGAAGGGTTTTAGTGATTTCACTTCATGAAAGTTGCACTATACATATTTTTTTATTTTAATATTTTTATTTTGTGGTAACCGTTTTATAAAAGCAATGAGGAACTTGAGGCCAGTGCTGTTGATTAAGTTACGGCCAAAGGGTTACTCCGCTTCATGTCGAGCCTAACAACGCCCTTCAGCCGTTACTTATTCACGAATCACGATACAGCACAGCCTCGAGTACATTGTTAACATCAGGAGCAAGCCGTCGCCTCGTGCATTAAAATACTTCAAATCATTCGATAAAAGACGCTCAAATAAAATATTATGGTTACTTAGTCACACACACACAGCCTGCATGGTGTGGTGAATAATTAACACTTAACAGTATTTGCTGAGTCTGAGGTAAAAGTGCTTTATAACTGAATAACTGAGTCCTCATGACTGCATGCTTCAAGTTCATATATATATATATATATATATATATATATATATATATATATATATATAAATCAAACAATAGGCATATACAGGGACTAAAACTAACATTTTGCCACACCTATTCTCTGGCTGGTGACTTAAGAAAAAAAAATGTACCTGCCATTAAAACTGTTTATGGGAAAATAGGCAGTAATAACTCCAACATTTGAGCTACCAGTGAAAATTCACAATTTTCTATTACAATTTTGACACCACAGCAAAAACTAATATGAATTAAAAACATTATTAAAGACAAGAAGTCAGTAATAAAATAAAACTCCAATAAAAATTAAATTACAAGCAAAAGCACGTATAAATTAAATATAACAAAGACACAAATGAAATAAACAGTGCTTTTCAGGTTTTTCAGGACACAAATGCTTTCTCTGATGGAGAAACTTTAAGACGCTTGCCTACAAATTGAAATTATTCCTGCCATATGAAGCTCCATCTCTCAGTCAATAACGGGTGACTGTCGGGTGAAATCATCTTTTGGATATTGATCTTAATGCCTTAATTAGAAAAATGAGGAAAAGTCCAACCTTTAAGGACACCAATTTTCTTTGTGAATGAATAATGTATCATAAATAAATAAATGTTTTTCCTTTAAATACAGGGTGCATAAGTCAGGGCACCCCTGTGTTAAATTCCCATAGAGTCAGGCAGATTTTTATTTTTAAAAGCCAGTTATTTCATGGATCCAGGATAATATGCATCCTGATAAAGTTCCTTTGGCCTTTGGAATTAAAATATCCCCACATCATCACACACCTTCCACCACACCTAGAGATTGGCATGGTTTTACTTCAGTTAGCCTAATAGCTGGTTTGATTTGCATTGAAAGATGATCTTATGGAAAGTACCCCATGCCAATCTCTAGGCATGGTGAATGGTGTGTGATGATGTGGGGATATTTTAATTCCAAAGGCCAAGGGAACTTTATATAAAGCATTATACTTCTGCCGTCATATCTCATTCCCTCAAAGTATAACCAGCTCAAGGCCATGATGTCCAGACGCACGTATCTCGAGTGGCCACAAGAGGGAGCCAAGCAGAAGCTGTTCTGGGCAAATCTTCGAGCGTCTCTGCAGGCCAACCTTCCCATTCAGTCGGAGTGATCGAACATTGATATATATTTAGATCAGTGGTTCTCGACCAGGGACAGTAGTCTAAAATCAAGATACAGTCAAATCTAAATGTATTCAACGTTTCTCACGTTATTTATTCACTGTAGTTTAGAAAATGGTAATAAAATATGGCATTCTCAGATCAGTGGATATTTGACTGGTTTTGTCCGTCCTTCTGTTGGACTCTCACACTTGAATATCTGTTAAATTTAACTACACAATTAGATAACACCAGTTTAGCTCAACCAGTGACCAAGCAATGCTTCATGTTGTTCAGTGTGTGTGTAAAACAGAAAACACACTGAAGAAAACATCATTAGCTCAAAGTGGAGGAATCATTTTTGGTCCCAAATTTTTATAAATTTAACTGGTATGAAGAATTATTGTGTATAGCCTAATACGTCACATGTTACTTTATTTTGCTCTCCTCACTTACCTAAATGAACTTGTCTTGCACACACTAGTAAGAATATATCTAATTAAATCTGTTTTTTCAATAATATTTGGTTTGACTATATTTAATTCACCCATTAGCCATGGAATGTTGCAATACATATTTAAAAGCATGACATTAATAAAGCACGTAGCACATAATAATTCAGCTCAATTTCTATAATCGAAAAACAAAGCAATTATTTCGAGCTCGTTTTCTAGACTTTGATATGCGAAAGTGAAAATATTCATTTTTAACGCAAATTTCACATTGTTGTTTCTATTTTCATATATAGGCTAATGTTGACATTTTTCTGGTCACTTTTTATATTACATTTCATGCCAAATTTAGGAATATATGTATTTATTGCAATAATTAATTTGTGATATATTGATCAGTTTTATATCATCTGCATCAAGGTGTACTTTTTATGATTTTAAGGCATATTTCATGTCCTTTTTCATTTAACATGAAAAGCTAAATTTATTTATAAAGCATATGTTTTTTTGCATAAGTACAATGTTGCATTTTAATTTAGTCTGTATAGTCATTATGTACTAGGAAAGTCATGTGCATTAATAAAATCTTAAAAATGAATGGGCATTTTTTTTCTTTTATGAATACACATTTTACTGACCATGCCAAGCTCTAAAATCTCTGTGGTGGGAATACAGCTTTTAATGTTGTTTATGTGTGTCTGTGGTGTTTTTAATACGCTCAAACTGTGTGTAAATTCAAAAGTGGACAGCATTGCTGAGTATTTCCTCCTTAAAAATGCAGTGAACCAAAGACCGTCTCAAAAACACGCTGTGAAATCGCTGGTGACGTCACAAACGACCTTGTAACCAATCAGATCAACGTGTGATCGTCAACCAGTGGATCTCTGAGTAAGTGAGTGGAGGCGTGGCTAATTTGCATATGCATAGAACCGCGCATACTAAATGAGGCAAGGGTGTCGAGTTACATTCACAATATTTTAAGGCATGAATCATTTTTTTTCAGGAAAAAATATTTAAATATGTGATTTTGGTGATCAAAGATGAGTTTTAAGGGATAATATGATTGACTACAGGGGAACATTGTTGGGAAAGACTACATGAATGTCTAGTAATGAATGGCCTGAAATTAATAAAATATCTCAGTATACATCTAGAGAAACACTGTTTTATTTATCATGAGCTGCCAGCAAACAATACATCACACAAAACACAGTTCATGAAGTATTGTACAACAATGCAATGTAAAAAAACATGAATTTAACAGTATAATCTCCATTTACAGACAAAGAACATGGAAATGCTGAATATTTTTTATCGTTTGTTAATTAATACCTCAAATAAAACAATGAGTTCTGCTGGATGTGACTTTAAACATGTCTGTTATCATGAGGCTCGTGTCAAATATGTCAAATAAGTCGCTCAGGGTAAAGACTGGATGAGGATGATCTTTTCATTAATGCAGAAACGATGAAGCACGGTGAACAGGTTTTCTCCACACCGCGACACCTGACGCTCCATCGCCAGCCGGAAATCCTCTT